GTACGTACTCGTTGCCTATCAACAAGTATCGTGAGCGTCATCAGTTGACATCATTGTATTAAACAAATTCCACACGACACTGCTCCTTTTCCTCTTTCCTTTTTTCCTTCTTCCGTTTTACGCAAGAAGATGCAGACACATGCATACACGCACGCACGCACGCACACACACACACACACTCTCTCTCTCTCTCTCTCTGCTCTCTCTGCTCTCTCTGCTCTCTCTGCTCTCTCTTCTTCAGTACATCGTCATCACCATCGTCCCGAGTATGTCGACGAGACGTATACACTCTCACTGCGTGTCTCAGCCACTGACACGTACCCGCCGTCCTCACCTGGCTTCCTGTCAAAGCTTCTTTGCTCTGCCGTTACGCCATTCCTCCATTCCCAACCTTGTTTCTTCTTCTTCTTCTACTACTACCTCTTCCTCTTTCAAGTGTCTAGAACCGCGTCGCTCCGTATCCATGACTGCCAGAGGTCTCTGACCGCACCCCCTCCCCCCTCCCCCGATCCAATCGATGCTATGTGACATTGCGAACGCTAATGATAAGCCTGTAAACTCTGTCGGACCTCTCTCTCATTCGTTCAGTCACGGAAGATGGAGAACTAGATCAGAAGCTCGATTGCTTCGGGCCGCGCTTGTCAGAATAGGTACGATGAACAACCTCGAAGTCCTTTCAAGGTTTACGTTTGACGCCTCCTCTTGTGAGTGTGTATATGTATATGTGGGTGTGGGTATGTATATATATATATGAGTGTATATATATAATGAGTGTATGCACATATATGCGTGTGTATATATATATGCGTACATACATGTATGTGTATATATGCCGCTCTAAGCTCTCAAGACAGATGGTGGTGCAACTCTCTCCATTTAATAGTACCGTTTAGTGTCTCCCCACTCTCTACAGATATAATCACATACCATGAGAACTCGTGGCGTCCGGACTTACTGCTTACTCCGTCAATCCACGCCGTCGATCAGATGGTTCCCTGACGGTTTTTCTCTCGCATCCATCCCCCCCCGGCTGATTGTACTCCGGGCAGAGAAAGAGAAGGAGGAACGGCAGAGACGGGGGAGGTGGGAGGTGATTTGCCTTGCATATTGCTCGTGCGGCGCGATGTCCTTGACACCCTGATGACATCATCTTTCCAATAACTGCTGCCTTTTTTTCTTCTTCCCTTCCCTTTCCCCTTCTCCCTCATTCTTCCTCTCTCTCTCTCTCTCTCTCTCTCTCTCTCTCTCGGTCTCCCTGCATCTTTCTTTTTTTTTTTTCAAGAAAATAAAATAAAACCATAGTCACCATGAGCCAAAGACAGAATGACATTACACTATCCATGCTCGCATGTCACTGATACAGCGCGGTCGGCCATCTAGCAAGTCATGGTGTGATTGTTACCCATGATATTCTCTTAACCGAATCGTGGAGCTCTCTCCTTCGATCGTACGATTTTCCCCTACATTCTTGATGGTACCTGCCAAGAAAGAAGAAAAAGGAACACGCACACACACACGCACACACAAAGATGGAGTATAGACAAGTGTAGGATAGGGATTTCACCCGAGAGGTGACAGTATCTGATTATTATTCCACGGATATCTTGTGCGCTATTGTTTCTCTCCCCCGAGACGGTAGGACGCATCTAGTACTTCTTATCTGTTTGACTCTCCCCAAACCCCCCAAAGGTAAACCAGCTGGTCTCAATACTCGTCATGATTGTGGTTATTATTATTATTATTTTCCATCACACTCCATTACACCATTCCGATACCCGTACAGTACAGAGAGGAGGGGGTGTTTTTTTTTTTCTTCCTTCTTTTCTTTTCCTTTTTTCTCTCTTCCGCGACAGCAACCTACACCCGGGTATATATCCTCATGGAGACAAGTGAACCGCAACGTCAAACGCAGGACGGTTACGACGGGGATTGACCTTGTTGATGCCAAAGGCAAAAGATTCCGTTGTATCTTGCTTTCTTTCTGTCCGCCCGTCTTGAATGTGTCATATAGGGTGGTGGTGGTCTTCATCAAGAGATATTCCCAACAACCACAGACAAGAAAGTCGAAAAAGAGCAAGTAGTACTGAAGCGGCACGGGCGCGCTGGCTTACCGTAGTCCGGAGGAGGGTGAGAGGACGACGGGTATTCTTCTTTTGGATACATTCCCTCTTTTTTTTTTTCATATCATGGGTCTTATTCCTCCTCTTTACCTTGGGAAAGGGGGGAGAGCTTCTTCCTGGTTAGTTGGTGAGAAGCCATGATGGTGTTACATGATCATCATCGATACGAGCTGAGAGGGCGATGGACTTTTTTACTCTTCCTTTTAATTTTTTTTCTAAATCTTCTTCTCAAAAAAAGAACCTGTCCCCGAGATTGATATACTTTCCGTCTCTTCCGTTGTATGATGGAGTAACCTTTCTCTTTCTCTCGCTTTTTGTCTTCTTCTTTTATCTTACGTCTTCATTATTGTATACGCAGTCTTCCCTTGTCGAGTTGGGAGGGAAGGGGGGGGACGGGGTTTGGTTGATTGTCTCCATGTAGAGTCCATGTAGACTGACCGTGTACGGGTATGCAATTACTATCATCACCTCTTCCCATAAGGCTGGCAAGGGTAGTCCAGAGGGAAAGTCACACTTGAGAGGCGGCAATCATATGCACATACAAAGCAGTAGCCTCGACCTCGAACCCATGTCCCCGTGCGTATCCCCCAAGTACAGATAATATACCATGTCTCCTTTTGTCAGACCCCGTGTCTTTCTAGCGACAATGCTACCAACGGTGACAGCCGAAGCCTAGACTCTTCCCCCCCGGTTCCCGACTTTGATCCAACAGTGCGGGACGTGACTCGTCAGAATTGAAGGCAGCTCTGCCTCTGTGAGACTTTGTGGCGCTGTACCGGTTCGAGGTGGGTGTTTCTCATCGGACACCATGTGTACATGTAGGTATGCATGTACGAGTATGACTTCCCGTAGTAGTGAGTAATACATGCATGTATGCATGTACGGATATGTACGAGTCTGCGACATGCATGTCCCACGCTTTGGTTGTAAGTACGAGTATTGCATTGCATGTATGAAGTCGTCATGCAATACTGTATCGAGAAGACGAGTCATTGCCATGCCTGAAGCAACCGACACGCATTACATCTCACTCGCCGCTTTGCTTACCGCCTCTCTCTTTCGGATTCAGATGAGAAAGAAGAGAAGAGAAGAGAAGAGAAAGGATGGAAAATGATTTTTCTTTTTTTAAAAAAAAAAAAAAAATCCTCCTTCTGGAACACGCGCGGGACAAAAGGACAACAGCCCTTCAGTGTTTCATCCCATTGTCAAATATTACTACCCAACATAAGACCCGCGCGTTTCTTTCTTTCCCTTTTTTTCTTTCCTCTCCTTCATCTTTATATATATATATATATTTTCTTTTTTTTTTAAATAAAAAAAAACTCATTTAAAAAATTCAATGTTGGGGGGGACCTACCAACGTGTACTGTACTGCACATGCCCCCCTCCTTTGTTCGATGCATTCAAATGCTTGGCCTTTCGCTCACACCACAGACTGCTGCATCACGCACACCTCAACTGGCATACGACGTGATACATATGCATTGCTCCGTGCACAGGAACCCCGATACAGGAATGGATTGGTATCGGTAGACAGAGGTAGAACAGCACCGTTGCTACGCACACGATGACATCGAACAAGCCCTCGCGGTCGCCGAAAGTCCGCACAGTCACCCGAGGTTGAAGCTTGATTCAGTCCCGGTCACCCCGTAGCCAAGAGAGGGTCCCTTCCAGACTCTCTGCCTCGTTCTCTCTCTCCCTCTCTCTCTCTCGTCATCTAAAGGGGAGGAGGTGAGAGAAGGGGTGTGTGAGGCGGAGGAAAGACCTACAGCAAGCACAGACCATGGCCGGACGCCGGTCAGGCTCCCCCCTTCTCTCGTGTTGGGTGTTGGGAAAGACACACAGAGAGGGAGGGGGAAACCGTACACCGCAAAGTTCAACTTATCGGTATTGTCGACGCATTATGATTATAGGCATGTCGGGCTTGATGGAATGGAGGTGTCATTATCGTCCATTATATCTAAGCCCTGTGTGAGACTCGATACTGCCGTACTCCGTATAACCCTCAACGCTACCGTCGCTTATGGCGGAAACGGTTCGGCCGTCGTGGCTACAATGTACCATCCTTTTTCTTTTCTTTTTTCTCTTGTTTTTTTTTTCTGTCTCTTTTCACTCGAGAAAGATGCTACGATGTCATGATAGAAATATATATATGTAGTATTGGCTTACACCCCTTCCCTTCCCGGACAAGCCTCGATGTTACGATGCAAGATCGAGTCATGCTTCGGATGATACATTCTATTGTTTTTGGCCACTATCGAGTTTACCGAAAGGCATGTAGATGAATGATGAGCGCCTCCACTGTCTTTGTTTTCTTTCATTAGACCTCTCTTACTTTATTCCCAGATCTCTCTTCCCCTTTGTTTCTGCGTAGCAAAAAGTACAGGGTAGCCACGATTCGAAGAAGCTTACGTGATTTATTACATCTTACGGAGTGGACTGTCGAGAGTATGGAGTGAGGGAATCACACCGGGAAGATGCAGCTGTGAAAGCCTAGAGCTCCGCTCCAGTCAATAGACAGACATGGTGAGATGCATTCTCATTCAAGAAGAACGAATAGTGAATCCTTCTTTTTTTCAGCAGCCAAATGGGCCTACGGGCACGTATCGCACGTACGAGATGGGCCCCAGTCCAAATGCGTATCACGTGCTCGGCCTCAAAGCCGTGCGTCATTCCCCAGAGTGGGTCCCGCGACGATTGAACGTGGCTTCAAGGAGTTCTGATAGCGCCGCTGCTGCTGACCAAGACGATCATCGACCACTTCGAGCGCACTCCATTCAGAATCCCTCGCTCGTCCCATCGACAAAGATGGATGTGTAGAGCCGCTGCCAACGACCTTTTGCCTCCGCGAACAGACCCTCACCATACTCGATGCCTAAGATGCGGCTAGGCTGGTACGCCGGGGTAAGCAGCTAAGCTAACTCTCTCCCTCTCTCTGGGGATATCACGGCCGACCCGGAATCATCCTGCTACCGGAGAACCTGCCGATGCAACACGGCCAGATGCGAGGGGAAACGGAGAGGATATGAAGTACTGACTGGATCCGCATAATAGGTCTCCACCGCCCTTGCCGGCTCCGTGGTCCTCTCGGCCTTTCACCAGAGACCCAACTTCTACTCGGCTATGGTCTATCTATCACAGAGCAACTTTTGCCTGCTGGTGAGTGCTCCGCACAGAATGGGGAGGAGAAGGACATGGTGAGAGGGCAAACACTGACTGGCGGCGCAAAAAAAAAAAAAAAGGTCCTGGTGAACTTTACATTATTCCTTTACAGCAGCTTCCTCTACGGCCTCACGCGACTGTGCTTCGGCCACCTTCGAGCCATCGAGGTCGAGCAGCTGACGGAGCGGGCCTGGTTCGCCATCACCGAAACGTGCCTGGCCATGACGATATTCCGCGAGGAGATTGGCGCCTGGTTCCTCATCATGTTCACCGCCCTGGTGAGCGGCAAGATCTGGGGCTGGATCGCCGATGGCCGCGTCGACATACTCGAGCAGCAGCCGCCCGCCAACCCACGCCTCTTCCACCTGCGCCTCAGCTTCTCCGTCCTCTTCAGCGTCGCCTACGACATACTCATCCTCCGCTACGCCGTCAACACCGTCATCCAGCAGGCCCGCCCCAACATGATGGTCATGTTCCTCTTCGAGTTCGCCGTCCTGTCCACCGCCTCGGCCCGCACCGCCCTGCGCTATCTCCTCTCCGTCACCGAGCAGAGCATCATCAGGTCCCAGACCGACTCCCGCCTAGCCGAGAGGAGGCGCGAGGTCAGGGCCCAGAGGGAGTCCATCCTGCGTCAGAGGGAGCAAGCCGCCGCCGCAGGCGAGGAACCCTCCGCCGCCGCCGCTCAGGAACCCCTCCCCAACGAGGATGACGTTGATGAGATGGACATTGAGGTGCCCGGCTGGGCTGCCAAGGGTGAATGGGTGCTGTGGCTGGACCTCTTTACCGGTAAAGACCCATGGCTCCTTCCTTCCGTTCCAGACTGATCCAAGCTGACTCCCCTGGCAGATATGATCAAGTTGGCCATCTACAGTGCCTTCTTCTTCATGCTCCTCGTCTTCTATGGTCTGCCCATCCACATCATAAGGGACCTGTTCATGACATCCCGGGACTTCCTCAAGAGGCTGAATACCCTCCTGCGCTACCGCCGGGCTATCCAGGAGATGAACCAGTACCCCGACGCCACGGCCGAGGAGCTGGCCGAGGAGAACACCTGCATCATCTGCCGCGAGGAGATGCACCCCTGGGACCCCGTCGCCAATCCGGGTGCCGTCGACCGGGTCCGACCGAAGAAGCTTCCCTGCGGCCACACCCTGCACCTCGGCTGTCTCAAGAGCTGGCTGGAGAGGCAGCAGGTCTGCCCCACGTGCAGGAGCCCGGTCGCTTCGGACCGCAACCGCCCCGCCCCCGCCGGCAACCGCCGCCTCGGCCTCCGCATACAGCTCGGTGGTCCGGCGCAGGCGGCGCAGGCGGCGCAACCACAGCAGCGGCCGCAGCCGGGTCCTGGCGGGCCTGCAGACCGTCACCCCCAGCACGGCGGCGTGCAGCACCAGAACCCCCAGCTAGGCCAGGCCCCGCCGCAGCCCGCACCGGGCGACCGTCCTCGCATCTTCAACCTCGGCCCTCTGCGGCTGGGCTTCGGTGCTAACGGCGCTCAGGTGCGCGAGCTGGCCCGCCAGTTCGGCATGCCGCAGCCGCCAGCCGCGGCTCACGCCACCAACGGCGCCCAAGCGGCAGGAGCGGCCACCCCCACCTCCCAGCCGGGCACCGTCCCCGGGGACAACCTGCAGACGGCGGCATCTCTCCTCCTCCAGGCGGAGCAGGCTCTCCAGAGCGAGATGCAGTCTCTCAACCTCCGCCAGCATGAGCTCCAGACCAGCCAGCTCCTCATGGCGGAGATACAGCGACTGCGCCAGCGCCAGCAGCAGCACGACCAGATCCAGCCCCAGCTTCCCAACATGACGCCTCTGATCCCGCCCAACGCGGCGACGTTTCCCCACGCGCCGTTCGGCCCGCAATTCCCCCCCGGGTTCGCCGGCGCCATCCCCGCCCGGGCGAGCAGCCCCTTCCTCGGACGTCACGGGACGTCAGCGTACACCACGTCCATCCCCGCGGGCAGCCCAGACCTCCCCGAGGGAGTGGTCCTGCCGCCCGGGTGGTCACTCATGCCCCTCCAGCGTCTGGACAATGTCCGACAGCCATCCCCCCAGCCATCACACACCCACGCCTTCTCACCTGCACCGCCCGCATCTGTACCCCCACCACCCCCAGCAGCCGCTGCTGCTGCCGCCGCCGCCGCCGCCGCCGCCGTACCACCTTCCCCCGCGACAGCAGCGGGGGCCGAGCAACAGCAGGACGCCACCTCCTCCACCGCCGGAGCGGGAAGACCCCGAGCCGCGGAGATGACGGCGGCGTCCCGGACTGACGGCGGCCCCAGCTCGCCGCGCCCCTCGGCCCCCCGCGCGGAGCCGACGCCAGTGATCAGCCCGAGCCCCGTGGCGCCCAACTGGGGCGCCTCGACGCAGCTTTTCGGCACGGCGAGCAGCAGTGCCAGCCGTCTAGACCCGGGCGACACCGCGTCGCAGGCTGGGTCGGCAGGTTCGGTGTCGGGGAGTACCACCACCACCCAGGCTAGGACTGCCACGGTGGAGGATGCATCTGATGGGTCTGAGGAGGATGATTGAGGATGGAGTAGTAGTGTAGAATTGTTCCATTATTATAGCGAATTTTTGCTTTTTTTTATTTTATCGTTCTTATTGCCATCATTCTTTCCTTTTTTTCAACCTTTTTTTTCTAAAAAAAGATTGTCCACCTCTCTACTTTGAGATTTTTAAAAAAGTAAATAAATCATGACTAGTCCTTCTTTCTTCTCTCACCTCACCCGTCATGATGTAGCCCTCGTAAGTGATGTAATAACTCTTTTTTTTTAACCCTCCTTTTTTTCCACCCTCTCTGTTATCGTGCAGCACTGGTTAATGTTGGAGATAAATATTTTCTTCTTTTTTTTCGTTCTCTTCTCTCTGCCCAAGAAGCCTGACAAGACTGAGACACCCTATAGATCAAAACACGACAGAAAACGTCCATCAGTTCAATAGCCTGCCCGGCTAGCTCAATCGGTAGAGCGTGAGACTCTTATTCACGCTTTTCGGCTGAATCAAGAAGGTTCCACACATCTCAAGGTTGCGGGTTCGACCCCCGCGTTGGGCTTTTCCTATAAAATTTCGATTGGTTTTTTTTCCCTTTTAAGGGGTTTCAATTTCCTTCTCATCAATTTTTTTTCGGTTTATTTTATTTCATAATATAATATAATATATATTATTATATTGAAATTTTGGATTCATTCTTCATCCCTCGTCTTTTTTTCTTTTTTTCTCTACCCCTTCTCTTCCCTCCCTTTCTCTTTTTCTCGTCTTTTCCTCTCTCCTACTCTCTCCTACTCTCTCCTACTCTCTCTCTCTTCTTCTTCTTCTTCTTCTTCTTCTTCTTCTTCTTTCTTCTTTTCAATCCCTTCATAATCTCTTACTTTCTACTACTCCGTATTCATTTCATCTACCTGTACTTTCTCCTTCTTCACATCGTCATTGCCAACTCATGGTACTGGTCTCACCCTACATAACACTGAGGGAGGAGGTATGCGTAATATTATCATGACCTTGTAAGTGCTACGACTCGGAGGTATTCCATGTTTAGGTGGTACCTTGCAACTGTCGTCTAGTAATATATCATGCACGTGAATTTGGAAAACAATCGATGGATGCCAACACAAACTTCCTACGTAGCAGCACACACGCACAAGACGTGCTACTTTCGATATCCACGATCATGACTTCATGCATATGTTGATACAAAAAGGTTTTTTTGTCGAAGCTGTCCTGTCCGTGTTGGGCTGTGCATGGGAAGTGACGTCTAAATCACCCGTCCCAGAGTTCCTTACGAAAGGCTTCCCTTACACTCATGGCATGGTATGGGGCAAGTGCAGTTTAGATGGCAACGAGTCTGTGCAAGTGTATAGAATAAAAATACCAGATGTCCAAGATAGAGAGTAAGTACTATATGAGAAAAAATCAACATGACAAGAAAGGACGAGATGATACAATGGATGCATACAAAGTATAAAAGACGCTTATAACTCGCATACTTGTAGCAAAAAAAAAAAAAAACGACAAAAACAAGACAGAATTAAAAAAAAAAAACACGAAAGATTTTCGTTTTGGCAAAGAAAGAAAGAAAGCAAGACAGAGATGTAGAGTAAAAAAACGGCCAGAAACAGTAAAAACACACATAGACAGCACCCTTCTCCATCGCAGACTTGAGCGACCTTCCCCTTGGTTCTAGAAAGAGTCGCCATCTCACCCGAGTCCTCCCCTCTAACCGTACAGGTTACCGACTCTTCTTCCCCTCTCCCCCGCTACGTGTTCCTCCGTCGTGAAGCCAAACTGTACAGCCTTGCCTTGGGTATCCGCAGCACCGGCACCGGCACCGGCACCGGCATCCGCAGCAGGCGAAGCGGCGGTAGTAGAGGACATGGAAGGAGAGAAGGGCGTCGTCTCCGTCACTCCCGCAGCCGCTGCAGTGGTGGCGGCAGCACCGGAAGCACCAGACCTAGGCGCCATCTGAGAACTATACGTCGGTGACCTGGCATCCTCGGACCCGAATGGCATCTCACGGTTGGGAATCGCCATCTCTCTCCCCCCTGCTTGAGCAGCTGCAGAGTCGCCACTCAACTTTCGGAGGATGTGTTCATGCTGCTGCTTGGCGAGCTTCTGGAGCTGCAGCTCTGGATCCTTTTGTGGCGCGTGGGCCTCGTCAGTTTGGGCGCACAAGCAGTCTGCGGGTGTCCACCGTCTCCCGTGAACACATACCCAGTCGGACTGGTTTGGAACCCCCTCGGCTGGTGGAAGCACCGTCATTCCAGCACCGAAACCACTCGGCCTCTGACCCTGCCCGCTCAAGCTGCGTTCGCCGCCACCCCCACTGTCGCCGTGGTCATCATCTTGACCCCAAAAGTATGATCGGCCAATGGGTGCTGGGGTGACGGGCAGGCTTGGGCGTTCGGCCTCGGTGGGAAAGTCGGTCAGCTTGAAGCCGCCTATCCGTCGATGTTGGAGGCTTGGGGCACCCGACGGGAAGGCGGCTCCCTGCTGAGGGGAAGAGACATCCGCCGCGTTCGGGCCCAGGCTCCTCACACGGCGGTGCTTCTGCAGGCTGTCGACGTAGCGGCCAATCTGGGGGACCTGATCCCACGCGTTGTTGAGCTGGAAGGATGACCAGGGCCCAACCGAGGGCTCCGGGGATTTGGGTGTCTCCTTTGTCGGCGTAGACGGCGCTTTGCCGGATCTGTCTGAAGACGCAGTGTGCTCTGTGACGGAATGATATTATTTAGCTGAAGGAGTTGCGAGTATGAGGTGACAAGGCCGTACTCACCCTGCTCCGAGACGGGGTCGCTTCGTTCCGCAGAAGAAGAAGACGGCTCTTCTTGGCCGGCAAATGTCCGTGTGGGAGGCGGCCGTCGGTTCTCCCACGGAAACATCGGTTTAGGTGGTTCGGCAGGCGTGGTCGGCTCCTTTGGAACCTCGTACCACATATCCTTGGGAGGGCTGGGATACCTCGGCGGGGCGACAAAGGGCGCAACGTCGCGCGACATTGGGTAGTGCGCAGATGGGAGGTCGATCGCCTCGGGTTTCGAACCGGCCGGCGGGGGCCGTCTTGAGAGTGTATCAGCACCGTAATGACTTGGCGGGTAACATTGAAGGAATGCTGTGACGAACCGTTGCGCATCCCAAGTCTCCTCCATGATGACTGGTGCTCGGGGAGGAGACTTAGCGTGATGCTCAGCATGGTGCTGCTCAGCACGGTGCTCAGTATGAGTATATTGACGGGGCGGTATCGACGGGGCGGAAGGCTCGGAAGCGTGCTCCTCAAGCTCAGGCTTGCCGACTCCGGCAAGACCGCGCTCCGAGGCGAACAGAGCAGCCTGAGGATCAGAAACAGAAGAGCCCGTTTCCGGCGGGGGATCCGAGGGAGCTGCGCTCGTAGGGGGCGCACCTGGAGGGTGATGTCCTGGGTGCTCGTGGGTGCCGGTAGCCGGTGCGTGATGCCCTCGCGGCACTGCTGCCGGGGATTCCTGTACGTTGCATGATCTGTTAGCCGGTGCCGAATGCTGAGCGGTATGGCCTCGTGTACCTTTCGATAGTGCCTATCATACACGGCCCACCACCTCCCAACCATCTCATCAAAGGGCGAGTTCCCATGGGGCGCGTGCCTCCCAGAAAACCAGGGCTTGTCGGGGCCGATGAAGTGAACCATGTTGATGCTAGACTGAAAATGACGGAAGGCGGGTATATACTGGTAGTGGGCCGAGGGAGTGACGTTGTAAGCGAAGCTAATGCGGCGGTGGTCGTTGCGGAAATGCATGTTGAGGAGGCCCTGATCGGCGCCGTCAAAGGAGATCCCCCTGTCGGCCATGGCCATCATGGCGTAGTAGTCGCCCATGTTGGGGGTGAGGACCATGACGCCCGTGTTGAACAGGTCGGGCCATCCAATGTCGGGAGCGGCGGCAAAGGGGTCCTCGATGGCGAATAGCTCGTCGGGGGCACGGTAAGCGACGACGTCGGCGTCGATGTAGACAATCTTGGAAAATTCAAGCTGCTTCCACAGATTGATCTTCGTGAAGGCCGAGTGGAGATCACCGCGGTTCATGAGATGCAGGTTTGCCGGGTGGGCGTTTTGTATCCTCGGGACGGGAATGACATGGTCGTAGACGGTCTGGGAAGGCAAAACCAGTCAGCATAGCTGGATCGGACGCGATAAAGAGGCAATTGGAGTCGGGAATCTACCTTGAGCTGGGTTACCGAAGCAGCCGAGACGGTGTCGAGCGTGACCAGGACGGCCAGCTGCTTCGTCGTGTGCGCATCGCGCAGAGAGTGAGCGAGAACAAGGGCGCCTAGGGGGGGTTCAAGTCAGACGGAGAGTTCGGGCGTACGAGTGAAGAAGTCGGGTATTCCTACCGGGAAGATATGAATCGTTCAGTAGAAGCTGCAGCAGTTGTCAGAAGAGAAATGTATCGATTGGACTCGGAGACGGATTTACCGTCGCGTAGACGTGGGCGGGAACCGTCGTCATTGCGGCCGTTGGAAGGTGGCGCGTTGCATACTCGGGAGAATGGAAGCCGAAGAAGCGACTGACAGCTGTCCCAGGACCGACCCGGAAGAGGACAAGGAGAGGTGGGCGCGTGAAGAGAGGAGGATATCAAGATGGTAGAATACGTGCGAGCAAGTGTGTGTGTGTAAGGGGTGAAGGGAGTAACGTTGTCGGAACGAGGGAGGAGAGGAGAGAAGGAGGTAAAAGGGCAGAAGGAAGGAAGGAAGGAGGCAATAAACAAAAACAGCTGACTACTACGACGGGTAGTTATTAGCTACAAATTACAACACACACACATACACACACACACACACACACATACACACACACACACACACACACACAGTACAAGCGGGAATACAGCTTGTATATGTAATAGTACTGCATCACGCATGGTAGGGTAGTAGAGGAGTATTTTCTTCTTCTTCTTTTTCCCCCCCCTTCTCTTGCTCTTGATTGTGTTCCGTAATATTCATTGACTATCACTATCGAGAAACGGTTGAGAATCACGGACTCTTCTCTCTCTCTTGTTTAGCCTGCCCATGTATCCATCCATGTAGAGAAGATGATATATACAAGACCCAAGAGCTGTTGTCTCTCTGCTGCTATCTCAGGCTTCTCTCTCCCGTAACACGACGTCATCATAGACAAGAAAGTACAGCGTCACGTCACACATGCCCTCGTCTCCTTCTTCCTTTTTCACGCTTCCCCAGATTCTCCTGGGCCTTGGTGCTGGAAATTTCGCCCCCTCGCGATCGACAATTGCTCACGGGGACAAAGCATTTCTTGAGTGTCTGATGCCTGTCGCTAGCTTGTTGGTCAGGATTGATTGGAGAGGGGAGGAAAAGGGGGGGGGGGGACCCCGCACTAGGAATGGAGACCTGGAGAGGCCCTAGAGAGGCCCTGGAGTTGCTCCACTGGATCCCCAGACTCGCCACCCTTGCAAGGGATCGTCAAGGGCTCCGACTTTTATTTATTTATTTACAATGTGGACTTGCTGCTGCTGCTGCTGCTGCTGCTGTCGTTGTTGTCGATGATGATCCTCTGCTCGCGCGCGTGCTGTCACGGTGGTACTGTGTGCATACAATGGAAGACTACATCTATAGCACCATTACTGCGGTAGTGAGAGTAGTGAGAGGGAAGAAAGGAAATATCGAAAAAAAAAAAAAAGAGTTTGGAAGAAGAGATCATGATACATCAAACACCTCCCCCACCCCATCTACATATCCTTCTTGAAAGCATGCTCAGGCTTATGCGTAGTCTCGTAATCGATATGGACATAGGCTCGCTCTATATCCGGCAGACTCTCCAGCTTGAACTGCAGGGCCTCGGCGACGTCGTGGGCCTCGATGAGCGAACCCTCGGGGTCCATGACAATGTCCACCTCGGCAATGAGCCGAGGCCCGGAGTGATAGACGCGCACGGTGTCGATGCCCAGTATAGCGTCGGAGTGGGTCAGGCATACGTAGGTGATGAGCTGCTGGTTCTCGACCGGGGCGGCGACGCCGACGAGCAGGAGGAACTCGCCGAAGGCGGTGCGCAGCCAGATGGCGGAGATGAGGACGGACAGCAGGATGGCTCCCATGGGGTCGATCCACCAGACGAGCTTGGCGCCGCCCACCGAGGTGAGGACGCCGAAGCCGTTGATGAAGAGGTCGTTGCGGTGGTCCTGCCACAGGATGTTGACGTGGCTGTACCTGTCCTTGATGGCCCAGCAGTACAGGAAGAGGGCCAGCTTGGTGCCGAAGGCGACGCACACGGCGATGACGGACGGGAGGTGGAAGTCCTTGGCCTCGTCCGACTCGGCCAGCTCCTGCGCCGCAAAGGCGATGATGATGAGCGACACGGCCGTCATCAGGAAGCAGAAGACGATGTTGCCCACCGTCTCCAGCCGCGCCTTGCCCGCCGGGAACCGACGCGGGTCCACCCGCGCGATCGCCCGGTTCGACAGGATCAGCGTCACGTTGCTCAGCGGGTCGAATATCGCGTCCGCCATGGTCGTGAACAGCGACAGAGACCCGGACGAGATGGCCGCGTACAGCTGCAGCGCCGTCAGGAAGACGTTGGCCGCCAGCGACCCCCACACCGCGATCCGCACCTTCATCTGGTCGTCGCCCGCCTCCTGAGCCGCGTCGGCGCGGTGCTCCTCCACCGTCTTGAGCATCCGTTCAATCATCGCGTTTTGGTTCTCGTAGAAGCCCTGGATCTGGCGTCGCGACACCATCGGCCCAGCCTCCCCCTTCTTCCCCGATGTCTGCTGCTGCTGCCCCTGCTGCCCCTGCTGCCCCTGCTGCCTGTGTGATGACGACGACAGGAGTGAAGGTAGGGCATCCCTCTTGCGCGAGGTATTGGCCTTCAGCTGCGCAATATCCGATTCCGTCTTGTATGCTAACGATAGACCATAGGGATCATTCTCCAGGCTGACGTGGGGGAAACGAGACTGTCGTCCCGCCGTCACCTGGCTCTCCACGTCGGTGGCCTCCGGGTTGGAGTGATGCCTTGCTATGGGGATGCCGGCATCTTGCTGCTGCTGGTGCTCGCCGACGTGGAGATTCCCGACGTGATGGTGCTCGACGCTGGTGCTGTGAGAGGTGAAGGCCATTGGCGAGTGTGTTGAGCTGTCGCGACCTCCTCGATCCATGTGCTGTAGATTGTACACGTTTGGATGGTGTGTTATGGTGTTGGAACTGTCCGGAGTCATGGCGTAGTATGGTAAATTTTTTTTTTTTTGATTGTCTGTTTGGTTTGTCTGTTTGGTTTGTCTGTTTGGTTTGTCTGTTTGGTTTGTCTGTTTGGTTTGTCTGTTTGGTTTGGTTTGGTTTGGTTTGAGGTTGGGGGATTTTTGGTTTGTCAAGATTTAATATGAACCTTCTCTCTATCTTTCTTCTCTCCTATCATGTGGAAAGTAAAGAGAGAGAAGAGATGATGAGATGATGAGATGATGAGAGAGAAGAGAAGAAGGAGGAGGGGTGGGGGGGAGTTGTGTGTGTGCATGTGTTGTCAGCGGTCTGTAAGCTCACCTCACCTCTAAGCTTTGGTAGCGTTCAGCCAGACCAAAACGTATCCATCCAGTATAGGGAGGCAGCCGAGCACGCGACTGGGGGGGGGGGGTGAGTGAGACAATGGATCATGGCAGCTGTCTTTGCATGATCTGCATTCTATGAGCTTTAGTTCATTGCAACATCCTCTCTTATCCAGTCACGCCAACGCCATCGATGCATCTGCACGTTATACTGCCGGTGGTAATACCGAGTATAACTCCGTGCCTAATACTCCGTAGACGGCCCAGACATGATATCAGTAGGAGTTTTACTGATGCTCCTCCGTAGTACGAGCATGATGCGTATATGTGCACGTAAATACCGAGGATTATCCCCACCTCCCCTCCATCGCAGTTGCCTAGAATCGACCAAAGAGGTGGTTGTTGGTGCGGTATAAATACCGAAAGCCCCATCCCACCAATAATCTGCTGCCAATTCCAGCACGTGTGCCCAATTCTCCCGCCAGTACGGAGTACGGAATATTCTTATACGAGCTACAGAGTAATACATGTATTATGTGACCAACGCTACGTGTACAGAAAGCTGTACACGTATTGATTGATACTCTCATGTCCATTTTCACCCCATAGTGAGCCCCCTCTCTCTCTGCCATCACATGATGCAGTTAGATGCGGGTAAAGCAAGACTAGCATTGGCAAAACTACCATGTATTGCTGCTGTATAGTAAAGGCCAGCACTGAATACCCCGACGTGGGGTCATCTTTACTCGCTGCCACAACTGCCACTGAAAAATGGGATGCGTATGCCGAGGCGAGATGAGGATGAAGACGAAACGAAACATTCATTCCCGTCCTTGTCCGAGAGTTCACAGTTGCAGCGGGAAGGGAGAGGGAACTTATATAGTAACATACAACACACTGCTGGGGCAGCGCGCAGATCATACACTACTTCGCATTTCATACTACTCATACAATGCAGCATCGATATATCGCTAGCAAACATGCTCTGAAGGAATGGACAGAGGGGGAGAACCTACAAGGTATGGACGAGACGCCGACACAAGCTCATCACGGAAAACTTCAAAGCTTAGCCTCGACCTTTTCACTGCGCTCCAGAATCCACGCCACCAGGTCGGCCGTGAACTCGGCCTTGCAGAGGTCCGTGTGGAGCTGGTGGTAGCCCCCCTCGTAGCTCTTGGTGACCCTGTCCGTGACCTTGGTCTGCTGATCCACCCAACGAACCGCGGCATCGTAGCTGCACGTAAGATCGCCGGTGCCGTGCTGCAGGAGGATGCTCTGGACGTTGCTGCCGACCTGGACCGTACCCGAGGCGAGCAGGTTTGTGCGGTCGAGCATGGACGCGAGGCCCTCGAGGGTGCCCGTGTTGTGGCAGAGGGGGTCGTTGCGTATGGCCTCGACGGCTGCGGGATCGCGCGTGATGTTCTCGGGCGGAATCACATTCTTCATCTGCCGACGGGGGAATACGCGGCCGGCCAGGCGACCGAGAAAGACTTTGAGGACGCTCGGCTCCGCATCGGGCGTGAAGCCGATGAACGGGCACTCGAGGGCCCAGCCGCGCACCTGGCTGACGAGGTCGCTGTAGCGCGTGTCCCCCATGAGCGTGCATACCTCGCCGCCGCCCATCGAGTGTCCCATGACGAAGAGCGGCACCTTGACCGGATCGGCCTTCAGCTTGTCCTGCACGAAGGCTGCAATGTCGGCCAGCACCCGGTCCGTGTTACCCGTGAGCCCGTACTCGGACGCCCCCCGGGCTGACCGGCCCCATCCACGCTGGTCCCAGCTGAAGACCTTGATGCCCCGCGCTGCCAGGAGAGGCATGAAGTCATTGTAGGTGTTGACGTGCTCGCTGTATCCGTGCACGAGAATGAGCTTGGCCTTGACGGGGCCGGTGGGCTGATATGCAGTTCGTCAGCCAGAGTCCGACTTGTCATTCTTTTTCAATCGAGCGTGCCTCGTCCTCACCGTCCAGGTTTTCGAGTACAGCCTGACGCCGTCAACTTCGAACTGGCCCTCGCTGTCGGTCGACATGTCGAGGGTATGTGTATGCGAGTGTATGCGAGTGTGTGTATGGATGGTACCAGAGGAATGAAGTACGCCGAGGTTGATATTCCTAGGGGATGAACGGCTGTCGGTGATAGGAGGAAGTGAGATGGAAGAAGAGAACGGCAGAGATGGAGGAAGCGAATTGTCGTCGGGTAGTAATGAAGCGTGACTGCTTACCAATTGATAGGGAGGCAAAGTTGGAAGGAAGGAGCTAATGAACCCGTTTATGCCGAAAGAGCCATGTAGAAATCCATGTAACGATCACGAGACACAGTAGCCGTAATTAGTGAGCGGGTGAGTGAATTGGTGGGGAGTACGAGCGGTCTGTAGGAAACGTTCGGTTCTCCGTATAAGCATGTGACAAGGCGCCGAGCAAGTGGGACTCTGGCTAAAGGCTGCTTCTCCTGTCGGGAATTGTCAATACTCTGCCTATGGTGGTAGGCAGTGTGATTTCCATCATACAACCATACAACTCCGGTGATTGAAAAAAAAAAAAAAAGCCCAAGATGTTATTGAGAGTAGAACATGGCAAATATATAAACAAAAGGCATCGTGCTTCCCCTAGAGTACTCCTTTTTTTTTTGTCCTATGCTCTATCTTTGAGAGAGTAGAGAGCTGCCGTATTCACACGGGTTTTCTTCCTTTGCCCTCCCCCCCCCTTGGCCTCGTCAGCCAGACATATGAAAGAAAAATATACAATAATCAAAACCACCGTCTTCCTCTCTGTTTGGCATGTGTTTGACAAAGAAAAAGCATGCATAGATATAGAAAAAAAACTAAATAACTGTGATGCCTTGAATTACGGCTTGGATTGGCTGTCCTTCTTCTCCCCAGCTTCCTTCTCAGCCTCCTCACTTTCCCGCTCCAGCTCCTCATCCGGCTCACGAGTCTCGAGGTCCTGCTCCAGCTCCTCAGCTTCAGTGATATGAGCGTGGGCCTCGGTAGGCCTCTTGTCAGATGGCACGTCGCCACCGCTCATCTGCCACTCCATGAGCTTGCTAAAGGCGCTCTCGGGATCGGCCGCGAGCTCGGTGTAGCTGCCAATCTCGGCCACCTTGCCGTCATTGTTGAGAACGATGATCTTGTCGGAGCGCTTGATGGTCGAGAGGCGGTGGGCAATGGAGATGGTGGTGTTGTGCCCGTGCAGGAGCTTGGCGAGGGCCTCGTTGACGAGCGTCTCGGACTCAGCGTCCAGGGCCGACGTGGCCTCGTCCAGGATCAGAATATCCGGGTCCTTGAGGAGGGCGCGCGCGATGGCGATGCGCTGCTTCTGCCCACCGGACAGCTGCGAGCCGCGTGCCCCGACCTGCGTCTCCAGGCCGTCGGGGAGGTCGCTGATGAAGTTACAGTTGGCACGGCGGGCCGCAGAGATGATATCCGCACGCGACGCCTTGGGAAGTCCGTAGCTAATGTTCTCGGCAATCGTGCCGGAGAAGAGGACAGGCTCCTGGGATACCATGCCGATGCGACGACGGAGCGACTTGACGTTCATAGTTGAGATATCCACACCGTTGATACTGATGGAGCCCGCAGTAGGGTTGTAGAACCGGAGCAGCAGCGACGCTACCGTCGACTTGCCGCCGCCGGAGGGTCCCACGACGCATACGTTGCTGCCCGAGGGAATCTCAAAATCGAGTCCGTTGAAGATCTTGACGGCCGGCCGAGTGGGGTACGCAAACGACACATCCGAGAACTTGATGGGACCTTGAGCCGACTTGACGGGCACGCCTATGGTCTGGTGGATTCCGGGCTTACGGTCCTGCAGCTCAAACAGCCGGCTCGCAGCTCCCACGCCCTTCATCAGCTCCGAGTAGAACCCGGATACACCGAATAGGCTGGACCCGGCAAAAGCCGTGTACATCATAAACGACGTCAGGTCTCCCAGAGACATGCTGCCCGACCGGACGAAGCTGCCTCCGACGACGAGCATAGAGAGGACCGTCATGTTACCGGCCCAACCTGTCGAGGCGAAGAAGGTGGCGGCAATGAGCGACTCCTTCTTGCCGAGGGCAAAGATGCGGCGGATCTGCTTGTTGTACCGGCCCACCTCCTGCACCTCGCCGACAAAGGCCTGGCTGGTCTTGATGTTACCCAGGCGCTCCTCGGCAATCTTGGTCAGGGTACCTAGGTTCTTCTGGATCGACCTGCTGACGTTTCGGATGGCCCGACCGTAGAAGAAGGCGCCCACGGCGATGGGTGGAAACATGAGCAGCAGGAGTCCAGTGAGTTGCGGGCTGGTCCACACCATGATGGCGAATCCGGCGCCGCCGCTGAACAGGGCCCGGAGACCGTCGCTAAGGTTCTGCGTCACCGACTTGCCCACAATGACCGTGTCGGAGCTCAGGCGCGAGATGAGGTCGCCCACGCGGTTGGCGTCGAAGAACTCGGCGTCCTGCACGTACGTGCGGCGGTACAGCTGCGACCGGAGCCGCGCAACGACACGCTCACCCACAATGCGCAGCAGGATCACACGGCCAAAGTTAGCCATGGCCCCCACCGTCAGGATCGTGCCCAGCCCCACGAAGAACTGGTTGAGTGTCAGGCCAAACAACCGAATATCCTCAGTGTCGCCTTTGGTAGAGATGTCTAGTATGCGTCCGACCGAGAAGGGAATCGACATGGTCACACTCGATGAGATGACCAGGAACACAAACGCCAGCCCCAACCATCGAATCTCCGGCTTGGCCACCTTGAGCAGGCGTATGATCTCGCCCGACCCCGAGCTTCCGGAGCCCTTGCCCTCCTTGGAAAGCTTGGCGCTGAGGTTGACCTGCGCCGCCCGGGCGGCCTTTTCGCTCTTTTCAAAGTCGCTTGGCGCCTCGTGTTGTTGTTGTTGTTGTTCGGATGCTGTCTTGGACTGTTCTTCCTTTGTCATCTTGACTGCGTCACCGAGACGCGGACCGACAGAAAACGCACGGGAAGCAGTAGGCAGACGAGCAGTGCTCGTCAGGGTAGACCATGTTGCCCTTGGCTTGCTGCTCCTGCTGCTTCGGTAGGCAGTCTTCGAGAGGGAAAAGGCCGGCAGCGGAGACGACGGCGCATTATGGAGAGTTCGAATCAATAAGGGAAGATGGCCTTCGCTCTTGGAGACGGAAGGCAGGGTTCTGCTGGTCCAGGCCGGCATGGACCGCGGCGCCGATACCGTCGTGGCATCAGCCACTCGCGGCAACAGCGCTCTTCGCACCGGTCCCGACAACATGACGCACACGATCTCCCACTTCGAGGAGACGAGAGGGAAGGGGGGGTGGGAGCGGGAGAGCGCACAGAGAGCGCTCAGCTGCGCATTGTCGATGGAAAACAGAGAGGTCAAGCCGCGTGGTAGATTGTTGACGAATGAGGGGGAGGATGTTTTCTGGTGCGATTTCTCAATGATGAAATGGGTCCGAAGTCGAAGTTAGGATTGAGAATGGTGTGGAAATTTTGGGTGGAGCTTGAATGGAGAGGACTTTCCTGCCTCCGTCTCCCCCATGTACATGTATCGCCCCGTCCTAATTCCTAATCCAATTCCCTCGCTGCTCGGCCGCGGTCGGAGTTCCGGCTTATTTTTTGCAGTCGCTCGTTTCGGTCAATGCTGCACTTTCTTTCATGAGAACAGTATTATGTGACACTTTTACCGGCAATGTTTCCTCCCCCCCCCCCCTGTTTCCCTTTCTGTAATACTTAGTAACAGTAATCAATTTAAATATGTCTTTTTCTGTGGCTATTGCTATTGATACCCTAAGACGCTTTTGGTTTGCAGCGCCAGAAACACCTCCTCGTCGCACATACAGATCTGAGCTAATCCCCCGTCCTCCGGCAGCTTCCAGTGATACAACTCCCATTCCGGTAATATACATGTACTACAGCGATGAAACGAACAACGAGGCCCCCCCCTACTCCTCCAAGGCAGAAGGAAACGAACATGACAAAATGATTACACACCGGAGAGTCTGCGCTCAAGACTTGGAAGAATCCTTGATTAGAGCGTCGACGTCGGCATCGAGATCGTCGCCGCCAAGGTCAGGGAAGTCATCTCCGCCATCGACACGTCGTCTCTTATTGGAGCCGTTGGAAGTCACCGTCAAAGTCTGGTACGTCGGCTCTTCAGTCTCGGCCTCGGGCTGTTGAAACTCATCGTTACTCGCAGGCAGTTCGACCGGCTCCCCATTCATGGACGGCGGCGTCAGAGCCTCCATCTCAGGCCGGTCAGGCTCAGCAGCATCCGGGTTAACCGCCGCTGAAGTAGAATCACCCTCAGCTGGGCCGCCATTGTTGTTATCCGACGACCCAAGGGCCTGCATGATGGCCATCTCCACCCGCTGCTTCTTTTCCTCGATCTCCTGCTTGCGGGCGGCGAACCGCGCCGCGTCCTCCCTATCCTTGTCTAGGGCGGCACGGTTAGACTCCAGGAGCTTCTCCAGCCCTGAGACTAGTCCCTCGCGGGCCTTGACGCAGTCCGCCACCGCGCTCTCGGCGTGGGCCAGCGTGTTGAGGAGGCCATTCAGACGGGCCGCATAGACCGGGGCAGACGGCGCTAGCGTGGAGGGGTCCGTCTGCTTCTCATATTCCTGGTCCGCCGAGGAGACGGTGGCCTTGAGAGGGATGCTAAGCTTCTGCACCGACTGGTGGGCCGTCACGAGCGGTGCAAACTCGGAGGGAATACTGGGGGCACTTCCAAAGGGAGACCCGGTGAACCCGGGCTTGGAGGCGCCTCTGGCCTTGTCGAGCTCTACACAGTCAAGTCAGTTGCATGTTCCAACGCTCGCTAGGCACCGATTATTCATAGAGGCATACCGTCAAGACGAGATTCAATGGCTGCTTGGATCGGGGGTTCAAAGATGGACCGATCCTTCCAAACTTCAACAACCCGCCTTAGTTTACCCTGGATTTCAGCGGCTGCTCCCTTGTACGCAATGGACGTCGCCTCAGCCACGACTGGGGAGAAGGCAATAATAAAGTCCTCCTTGTGCCGAATTCTGGATTGCTGGGCCACCTCTATTGAGTCCACAAATGTTAGAGATGGTCCCTACGAGCAGATAAAAGGGGAAGATGATCATACCATTTACCAAGTAGACTAGACTTAGCCGACGTGAAGCGGACGAGTCTTTCAGCCGCTGCATCCACAACTGGACTGTCCTGTCGGCATGTCTCCTGTGATGTGGTATCAGCATTTTATCAGTTGCCCTGCCGCAGAGAAGACGGCGGGAAGTAAGAAATCAGCTTGGGTGATCATACCTGTGAAACATGATCCATTGGGCAGCCGTGGCGATGCTATCATGGCTATCATTGAGGGCTGAAAGACGGGCCAAGACGGCGTCGTCGTTGTAGGCCATGCTTGCAGAGTTCGGATAATGAAACCAGTTTTGGAAAGCTGGACCAGAAAGGAAGATGAGAAGGTTCGATGCGATTGTGACGCCAAAATTCTGGATGGCCGCTCGACTGGGCTTGCGCCTACTCGTACATATGGATTTTTTCTCTTTTTTTTAGTCTCTGATGTACGCCGTCGCTATGACGATGAACGCGTCTACGACAAATAGACAGAGGGAATCTTAAGGTACGAGAAGTCGCGAAATAAAAGAACTGTGAGCTGAGGCAACTAAGGACTCAAAGTGACCAACTGACTCCGCCTGTCCCAGCGATCGAAGAAGACGGAAAACGGCCGTGATGATGATAGAAACGATGGTCCACGGGGGAGCGTTACGTTGTGAATTGAGAAGGCAACAACTGACATATATTATCTGTTGAACAAGCCTGATACGTCTCGATAATTGCATAAACCATGATAAATGCATAGAGGCTCCATGCTCTAGTACGCTTTATGCAATATATACAGCAGAGCTAGACCCACATCCCCTGTCCGTAGTCAGTCACCGCCCGGCAGATTCCACCTCATCAGGATCACGACCACGTACCTGCTTTAGTTGAATACGTTTGGAGAGCATACACTTCCAAGCTATTCGCCCCAATCGATCATATCGTACATACGCCCACCACACACTGGCAACCCGTCTTGCGTTGATCGAGCGATCAAAGTGCGTCGCATCGTTTCAAATACCGCACCCCCTCATCGTCTTCGACCCTTTGGCCTCCGCACCTCACCCTCTCCTTATTCAACATGGCCGACAGATTCCCCTCTCTCGATGACTTCGATTCGGGCGGTAGGTACTTGCCTTGTTACATGACTTTAATCTATCGACAGAGGGAATCTAACGCGTGAATTTATCTTCCCGAAGCACAAACCGATGTCAAGGATACCTCGGTGGACCCTTCAACCGATGACTTCCTAGCCCGCGAGAAGGCTGCTCTTGGCGATGACGCCGACCAGTTTGCGACGGCGCAAGATGTGTCAGTCCTCGACGGATCAGGCGGTGACCTCCTCGGCGAGAACGAGCCTACACAGTCGACGTTTGAGTCCCAGTTCCCCGACCTTGCTGGCCACACCGTCGTGAGTTTTAAAACCAGAAGAAATGACGGGGATTGGAAAAACAAAGAAATCAAATGATGCTGACCGCCAATACCCACAGGGCTCTGGCCTCCTCCCCGGCGCCCCCACGATGACTGGTCCCTCGGTGACGTACAACTCTGGATTCCAGGCCACCGTCCAAGACGAGGATGAGCCGGCTGTCATCAAGGAGTGGCGCGAGCGCCGCAACGCGCAGATTGAGAAGCGCTCCCAGCAGTTTGCCGCCCAACGCGAAGAGACGATACAGGAGGCTCAGGCCAACATCGACGACTTCTACAACAACTACAACAGTAAGAAGGAGAAGGAGATTGCGAAGACGCGCAAGGAGGCCGAGGAGTTCCTCGCCAACCGGGACGACACCGTCTCAGGCGGCACCAGCTGGGACCGCATCGCCAAGCTTGTCGACGTCAGCGGAAAGGGTTCCAAGGGCGGAGCTAACGGCTCTGGCAAAGAGCGCTTCCGCGAGCTCCTCATGAGCCTGCGAAAGGACGAGAAAGCACCTGGCGCGACCGGCTATTAGAAGGGCCCAAGGGAGGTATCCATGCACATGGAGCTGCGGTGACTTTGGAGATGAATTTTGGCCTCGGAGGCTTCAGAGTCCCCCCTAACAGAAGAGAGTTTTCCTTCTTACATCTGTATTTCTCCGAGGATAAGGTCTGTTATCAGGAGCAAGCAAATGAAGTGTATAATCTAAGACTTCGACTATTCGTGCAGTACTCATGTTCCTTCTCCTTGTCACATTGTATTTTACAGAAGATAGTGTTTTTTACGGGACCGGGGACGAGGGGGGTTGTTGGGAGGAAACGAAGGATGCGACAAAGGGGACAACACATTTGAACGAGTGCTATCGGCCGTCAAGCAAATCTGTGAGGACTTGATTGTCTATAGTAACTGAGTTTCTTCGTACTAATAATAACACCTCTGGGTGATACGCCGTTCCCGTACAATGCATAAATTGCTTTCCGTGGCGATCTGTTTAGCTGCTGAACCAGGTGTTCTTGCCGAGGACCTTGCGGCAGCCAGCGTACATGGTAGCTAAAAGGGGGGGTCACAAACGCTTGTCAGCAAGGATCGCGTCTTGTAGAGAACATAGCGGTGATGAAGCATATACGAACCGGCGAAGGTGCCCCAGATGAGGGCCGTGTAGGGGACGATGTAGAAGCGGCTGCGGCTGTTCTGTTGTGGGTGACGTCGTTGTCAGCTATACATCGATTGCTCCGGTAGCGACGGAAAGATTCGGAGAATGGGTCCAAAAATTCATACGATCATCCAGAGGCGGGTGTGAGCCTTGTAAGCGGCCTGGTAGGCGCGCTGGTGGTAGGGAACGTTGTTCTTGGCGTTGATGAGACTGCATGCCATGTCGACGTGGTCAGTAGGCAGGCCCTTTGTTTTGACGATTTTGGTTGCTTTGCAGTAGGATCGTCGACGAAGGGGGGGGGGGGGAGATTGCGTGCGCAATTGACGGCAACCCTCTAACATCTCTTCTGCAGTAGAATCAATCAAGGGATAGATCGACTTACCCCATTGTGGCGAATTGTTGGCAAAGAGCTTCGGAGAGGTTTGCGGTCGGGGTGGTGGTGGTAAGTACTGGCCGGGTTCAGTAGGAAGAGAGAGGTTCGGGAGCGGAAAGTGAGGCCATAATGTGATTCGGGAATTAGGTCCCGTTGATGAGTCAGCAAATTTTCATTTTTCTATCCTTGGTGCCTTAGGTGCTTCGTGCGAATTGCTGCGAGGAGAGTCGAGGACCACCGGGAGACGAGGCCAGCCAATGAAATACCAGGGAAATACAAAGCGTCGGTCATCACCAATCGTCCCCAATATTATATGGGTCCTGGGGTAAAGTAGCCTGGTTTCCCCATGGAACCCCAGCTCTCCACGTTAATTACTACTCGGCTTCTCCTCAATTTGATTTATCTTCTTCATTTGCTGTTGGTTTTCTTGTTTCCCCCCAGATGTTGCCCTTCGTTTCATGACAGATTTGGAAGCCTCACGAATGTCTTTTATGGCTTCATGTGCCAACTGCCCCTGTGTGAGCCACAGGAATGCAGGCATCTTGCCATGGTGTGCAACGGAAGCAAACCGGCGTCCGGTTACTGCTGACTGCCGCCAGACTGTCAACTTCAAAGACCGCGACGGCAACGACGACTTCAGCATGCCGCCATCGACACCAATGTCGACATTTCGCGTGCAGCTCCTTCAAATGCACCGGTCCCACAGACACTAATACTACGTATGGGCCGCCCAGAGCTGGCTCTCGGCCCACCACACGATGGACCGCCACAGCGGAGACGAGGGATGGTCGAGGATCAGTGACGGCATCGGGGCTTCGCTCGATCTCGTGCCCAGAACGACATCATAGGAGATTCTCTTGCACCGAAAAGGTCCGCGAGCCCGAGAGGAAGTTTAGCAAGGCTATCCAGACATCTCTCGAAATGGCTGACACTGAGTTAATACCGGGCGACATTGGATCGTGGAAGCGCCTATTTTCTTTGATGGAAGAGAAGCATGGGCAGGATGGGACCTGGGCATGCTTCGGATTCGTCCGCGAGCGACACCAGGTACACCTTATTCTCCTTCCGGCCGGCAGCGGGATGCGCGACGCCATTATCGATGCGGCGGTGCAGAGCGACAGCAGGCTGGAGACTGTGCTGGAGCTGGCCATACGGCTGCAGCCCTTCTCGCGCGAGTGGCCCGAGTTATATGCCAAGGTTGTCCATGCCCTGCTAAAGAGAGACGAGTTTGACAGGGCGGTTAAATGGCACCTGCGGCTGTCGCGCCACTTCCCACCGGGACCGGACGTGCTCAGCGGACTCATCTCCGCCTTCGTTTTCGATCCGAGGCCCGAAATGCGCCAGACTTTAATCTCCATATACATATTCAGCTCTGAGCGCAGCCTCTATGACCGTCTGGTCCCGCTCCTGTTCGAGTCCGGCCACGAACGGTTGACGCGCTACTGGCGTCGGACAATGGTTCAGGTCGACGACAAGCCGACCTCGTCGAGGGCTTGGCACTTTATAAACTACATGGATCGGTTCGGCATCATGCTAGCCCCAGAGGAAGAGGAAGTCATTAAGGGCACAATGAACCCCAGCGGCGCCAACACCGAGCATTACGATTACAACAACAACCCCACAGACGCCTCCACCGACCGGTCCACATCTTCCCTGTTGCGGGGCATCTATCACGACGACTTTGTCGCTAAGTGGCTCGCCAGCTCATGGCTGTCTGCGGAATTCGCGATCAATCTGATGCACAAGTTCGGCGTGTCCGTGATTGGCACACGGTCGCTTCAGGCCCTAGCGCTCCGGGAACCTGATGCTCGAGCCGTTGCCGCGCAGATAGCTCGGCTCGATGCGCTCGGCATCCATGTATCGCAGCATGCGTACTGCAGAGTACTCGTCTTCTTCGCACGTACCGGGAAAGACGGTCTTCTGCAGAGCCTCTTGCGCACAGACATACACCCAGACGAGTTTGACGACCCGGCAACGCGCCGCAGAATCATGGATGACGCCGTTGGTGCGCGGGACATGGCACGGCAGAAACTCCTTGCGGCCGTCGAACTGGCCCTCGAGACTGACGAGAGCCCGCGACGCCTGAACATGCTGCTGCGAAACGTCCTCAAGACACGACCGCTGGGCAAAGCCAAGCTGATCGTGGACCGCATGGACGCCCTGAATGTGACCATGTCCCAGCATAATGCGGCCACTCTGCTCAACAGTGCCCTGTTGGGTGTATCAAAGCACCCCACCCGGTGGAAGCGGCATATCCATCGAGGAAAGGACGACGTCGCGCTGGATAGGGCCATCGACATCGTCCGTCGCATCGCTTCGCACAAGATCGGCATACCGATCCGGTACTGGGAGCTTCTCCTCTACAGCCTGGGTCGACACGGCCGCTTCGACGAACTCCTCCAGCTGTGTCTCGAGGTGGTGGATATTTACCACCCTCCAGGCGGCGGATTAGCCCCAGTATACCGTAACGATATGCCTCCCAGTCGGTTCGACACCAAGAATCATAGTATCGCTCGCCACAGACACGACGACGATGACGACGACGGAACATGGCGGCCTCGTCACCCCAGCCAGGAAGAAGCGCATAGACAACAGCCGCAGCAACAGCAGGACACGCATTATATCCCCGGTGACCTACGCTTCACACATATCCACCACCCCATCGGCATACTCTTCGACACGGGATTCCAGCGAGACATCGTCCGATGGGGTTTCGACGACACACTAGCCGAGCGGCCGGTGGCGGTACGCACCAGTCCCTCCCAGCTAGCCGAGCACGACATCGCGTGCGGCGTGCGCATTCTTGCCGCGCTGCGCGACCGCGGCGTCCCTGTCAATCAGGCCGCAGTCAGAAACACACTCTATACTCGCATCATTCTCGGGGAACTGCCCGGGCGAAGACATCGCTCGCGAGATATGCAGTACGTCGAGCCAAAGTATGTGAAGACCCTGGTTGAGAGGGCGTGGGCGCCTCCAAAGGACAAGTACAATAGCGACAGCAAGAACAAGGATAAGGAGAAGCCGCTATTGCCGTCGCTTGAAGAGATGTATAGAGAATTAGAGAGGTTGCGACCACGCGTTTGGAAACGATACCCAGTTTTGTTCAGGTCTTGTTACGGAGGCGAGATGGCAGAGGAAGATGAGGTGGAGGTGATGGGGGCAGCATATGAGGAATGCAACATGGAGTAATGGCAACCATTATTGTCCAGAGAAATGTAAAATAAAAATGATGGATACATCTGTATATATACAAGATACACGAAAAAAATGGGCTTCTTGAATAAAACGACAGTATGAAGAAATAAAAAATAAAAAAACCCCTTTAACACCTGTTTACTCCCTGGCTTTATTTTTTATCAAACCCGACATGTTTATACACGTGTTTTTTTCCTTTCCTTTTTCGTTCCTTTTTGTTTTCTTTTGATACATTGCGCCAACGGTCTTTAACCTCCCTTGGGCTTGATCAAGAGGAGTATAAATAGTCCGGCGACGATGAGGAAAAGGAGGAGTATAATCTTCCTCTTCGTTGTACGGCGCTGATACCCCGAAGCTATCTTGACCTCCCTCTCGGCACCCTTGACGTCGGTGTGCATGCGCTCGACGTTGTAGTCTATGCGGTCGAGCATGGTGCCCTGGTCGATAACCATGGTCTGCAGGTCGCGGAACAGGTCCGACAGCTCAATGATGCCCTGGGCAATGTCCTCAATCTCGCGCTCGCGCTGGGCGATGACGGCATCGTTGCTTGACTGATGCATCATCTTTTGCTGCGAGGCGGCCTGTAGCGTTGACTGAGAGAAGGACCGGTCGGCATCGGACTCGACTATTGAAGGATCTAGGTAGGAAGAACCGCCGGGTTGCGGCGTGGTCGAGCGCTCCCCTCCAGAAAATGACGATAGCGGCCCTATCCCGCTCATGCCGCGGAGTTCTGTTGTCCTCGATTAGCATGTATGCACATACGCACGCACGCACGCACATATATATATATACATTGGTGGGAGCGAGGACAGAATAGGGAAGCCGAGAAAGGGAAACTCACTCTTCAGGTAGGCACTCTGCTTTTTCCGAAAGTTTGCGCTGGAATCTTGTACCCGTGTGGCAAGCGATATCTGTATGTTTTTGGCCATGGTCTCCTCTTCCCTGGAGATAGTGTCGGCCTGTTTGGACTCGCGGACCATCTGCTCAATGCGCTGGATGCACCGGTGGCATTCGTGGAACCCCTTCGTCATTTCTTGAGTGAGCTGCTCAATCTGCCTCTCCTCGACCCTCTTGGCGTCATCATCGTTGAAACCGGGCAAGACGTGCTTCTGGTGCAGCTTATCCAGCTTCTGGCCCTTGAGAGCAATATCGGCCAGCAAGTCGGTGATCTCGGCCGAGATGTCGGCCCACCGCGGCGGGAGGAGGTCCATCTCTATGACGGCGTCGCCATCGCTGTCAAATGCGCCGGCCGACAGGAGCCCGCGGCTGTCCTCGGATGCATGGTCCGTGTAGGGCGTACTGCTGGGCCCGGAGGCACCGACAGCGTACTTGTTTCTTTTAGTCGGATGATGCGCATACGACTGTCGATAGGAGATGTAGCTACAACCCAGGACCTCTCCGTTAGTTTTGGCTGAAGTTGGGGACAATGTTCAAGGAGAGAGAACAGGGCAAGAGGTTACAGGTTTGTACGATCGCGCCACATGGCGGTTGATCTGGCTGTGTTGTTGTTCGGCGGGGAGGCCTCTAGATTCCAATAACTGGAAGAGAGACGGAAATGGTTGGATTATAATGCTACCGTTTGTTTGAGCCGAGACGTCATGGGGATGTTGTGATATTAGGAGCTGTGTCGTCGTGTTGGCGAGATTCCATCATTGTTCCAAGTTGGCCAGCGTCGGGGCTTAATTACAGAGAGCTTGCTACTGTAAGCCGCTGGCAGCTGTTACGACAGCAGGTCGAACCCCCAGACGCGAAAGGTACCTTGAGCGGGTCATGTGCACTGTGAACTGGCCCGCGACGTTAGTGTGTATGAGCGCTATGTGTAGCACTGTGACCTCACGATTAGTTCCCTATTGGACGTTCTCTCACCAGGAACTAAATACAGTGCTAATAGTTGATACGTGGCGACGAGTAAAATACTGTATACATGATGCCATCTCAACCCTCCGGGAACAAAGGCAGCTAGCTGTGACTCTCCCTGAGGTCACTGGTTGCTACTGCCTGTTGTATTTGCCGGTTGGTGCTGCTGGCCCCTTCTGGGGAATCTTCAGGAAAGACCCCGCCAACCTCCTGACTCTTTCTTTCGTTTCAAGCATCGGCGCAATCCTCTCTACAACTTTTTCACCACCGTCGCTACAACACTTTAGCAACAATGGTAGGCCTTCCCTGACGATCGACCTGGTATTTAGTGTTGTCCATTTTCTGGTCCTCATCTACCGTATCGCATCGACGCCGCCGCCGCTGACCGTGTTGTCTTGTCGGAGGGGTTGCTGTCTCTTCCCCCTTGATGTTTTGCTGGTGCTAATCAACGCTCTCTATAGGCTGATTCTCTTACCGAGGAGCAAGTCTCCGAGTTCAAGGAGGCCTTCTCCCTCTTCGTAAGTACTCTTCTACGGCTTTGTATTTGTCGGCGGCATACACATTAGCGATCAAATGCTAACTCGACATTGTCGCTATAGGACAAGGACGGTGATGGTGAGTAGCTGCCTGCAATCGCTTCCCGGACACATGCCCCTCACACACACACCGCTCGATACGATGCGCCCCTGTCCCCACGCCCCTCGGACAGCCTTTCCATTGAATGCGTTCGCTTTTCGTCCCTTTCCTTGAACCCAACGTATATTGAAAACGAAGTCGGCACGAGATCTGTGTTGACACTTGTCATGACCAGGCCAAATCACTACCAAGGAGCTGGGTACCGTCATGCGGTCCCTCGGCCAGAACCCTTCCGAGTCAGAGCTTCAGGACATGATCAACGAGGTTGACGCTGACAACAACGGCACCATCGACTTCCCCGGTACGTTGTCTTGTTTTACCCGTCTGGATCGCCATACATGGTGCGAGACACTAGATTTGCTAACGATACTGTCCAGAGTTCCTCACCATGATGGCCCGGAAAATGAAGGACACTGACTCTGAGGAGGAGATCCGTGAGGCTTTCAAGGTACAGAGAAGCTCCCCTTGCCGGTATTACATCTGCGGGCGCTGACCAAGACAACTAGGTGTTTGACCGCGACAACAATGGCTTCATCTCGGCTGCTGAGCTGCGTCACGTTATGACCTCGATCGGCGAAAAGCTTACCGATGACGAGGTTGACGAGATGATTCGCGAGGCTGACCAGGACGGCGATGGCCGCATTGACTGTATGACGACCCCTCCCAAAGTCCGTTCTGGATTCCACCCCGGACCCTTACTGATCATACACCTTGATACATAGACAACGAGTTTGTGCAGCTCATGATGCAGAAATAAACAAAGATGACCAACTCGGCGCCACGGGCCGTTGCGACAAAGTGAAGGATCGAGAGGCTTTCCAAGAGACACAAAGCTCGAGTGCTTTGGCCGTAGGGCTCCAGCGTCTAGGCTATGGAGGGGGCGCATGTTCTTCTTTCTTTCTTATCTCAAGCTGTTTAAACTTCATGAAAAGCAAAAATGAAAAAGGAAATTATGTTGTGCTAGGAGTCTTGTCCGATATATATATATATACATGGCTTCGTCCTTGGGACGCGTCTGCATTACCCCATATCGTGATGTATTCACTGCCACGTCGATGGCCTTGTCGGTGAAATTAGATACCAATGTCCGGATATTATTCTAATTTGCCAGTAAACGGAGACTCATTACCGTATTTTCCCTATTCTTCGAACAACACCAATGCCACATTCCAGGTACGTGATAATATCAGGATTATCATGATACGATAATACGACACTAAAGGCATTACGGATAAGTGCATATAGTGCCAGTCAGACAAAGCCACACAGAGAAAGTTGCCGTGCGGCTCTCGGGGCTAGGTGTATACTTTTTTCCGAGGTTTACCCTCCCAGTAAAGCATTAGGAAGCTGCAATGGTCAATGGACGAGCTCCTTCCTTGGTGGTGGGCAGTTGCCAGTTGGGCATTTGGTATGAACGAGCCCCACGTCAGTACAAGGTGTCCGCTTGCTCGCGCTCTGTCCGTCCATAACCATCTTGAACGGTAGATTCGCGGCTCACACTCTCTCCCACCGACGTCCCTGGGTTCTGGAGAGTGTTGTCTTCTTTCTTGCCTTTATCCCCAGATATAGAGCCCGGTCTGATTCCTCCTCCACCTATCATTCTTCTTGCGCCCCGAGTGGCATCCTTGCAACGACCATCCGTCCTCTTGATCACCGACCCCCTGGGCCACACACGGCATTGATACCAGGCGATCCTATCCTGTTGGGTCGACCCGGAGCGATATGAGTTCCCGTATGGCCAAGACCGAAGCGGAATAAGCGCCCTTGTTATGATGTTGCATGTGCTTACTGTTGTCGTTGCCCCCTGTGTCCAGTCAAACAGTTTATCCGCAACGTTCGTGCGGCCAAGACGATCGCAGACGAGCGAGCTGTGATCCAAAAGGAGAGCGCCGCCATCCGTACCAGCTTCCGAGAAGAGACGCATGACCACAATGTCCGGTACGAATCTTCAGACCGCCCCGATTCATATGCCTCTTCCAACGAGGGACTAATAATGGGTCAACAGTCGCAACAATGTGGCCAAGCTACTATACCTCTTTACGCTCGGTGAGCGCACGCATTTCGGTCAGATCGAGTGTCTAAAACTGCTGGCGTCGCCACGGTTCGCCGACAAGCGCCTGGGACACCTCGCAACTAGTTTGCTCCTCGATGAAAACCAGGAGGTGCTGACGCTGGTGACCAATTCCTTGAAAAAGTAAGTTCGTGTGCTACTTTCCCCCCTATCGAATTCATATGAGAGTAGCAAATTCACTGACACTTGTCTACCTTTGCCAGTGACCTTGGACACTCTAATCAATATGTTGTCGGGCTCGCCCTGTGCACTCTCGGAAACATTGCCTCGGTCGAAATGTCGCGCGATCTCTTCCCGGAAATCGAAAACCTCATCTCCACGTCCAACCCTTACATCCGACGCAAGGCGGCCCTTTGCGCTATGCGCATATGTCACAAGGTTCCTGACCTCCAGGAGCACTTTATTGAAAAGGCTATCCAGCTCCTGTCCGACAGAAACCACGGTGTCCTTCTCTGCGGTCTGACCCTGGTGACGAGCCTCTGCGAGGCCGACGAGGAGGAAGGCGGTGGGGAGGGCATGGTGGAAAAGTTCCGCGCATTCGTCCCCGGCCTCGTCAAGACGCTTAAGAGCCTCTCTACTTCGGGATATGCACCGGAGCATGATGTCACTGGAATCACCGACCCCTTCCTCCAAGTCAAGATCCTGCGCCTCCTGAGGGTTCTGGCCGTGGGCGATGCCGAGACGAGCGAGCAGATCAACGATATACTGGCCCAAGTTGCCACCAACACGGACTCGTCCAAGAATGTCGGTAACTCTATCCTGTATGAGGCTGTCCTAACTATTCTCGATATCGAAGCCGACTCGGGCCTGCGCGTCTTGGGTGTCAATATCCTGGGCAAGTTCCTCTCTAACCGCGACAACAACATCCGCTACGTCGCTCTCAACACGCTCATCAAAGTCGTAGCCATTGAGCCCAACGCCGTCCAGAGGCACCGCAACACTATCTTGGAATGTCTCCGGGACCCTGATATCAGCATCAGGCGACGGGCCTTGGACCTGAGCTTCACCCTCATCAATGAGAGCAACGTGCGCGTGCTCATCCGTGAGCTCCTGGCTTTCCTTGAGGTGGCCGATAACGAGTTCAAGCCTACCATGACGAGCCAGATTGGCATTGCTGCCGACAGGTTTGCCCCCAACAAACGCTGGCACTTTGACACGATGCTTCGGGTCATGTCTCTTGCTGGGAACTACGTCAAGGAACAGATCCTCTCGTCATTTGTGCGCCTCATTGCCACGACGCCTGAGCTGCAGACATATGCTGTGCAGAAGCTGTACTTGAACCTTAAGAAGGACATCACCCAGGAGAGTTTATCCCAGGCTGGAGCATGGTGCATCGGAGAGTACGCCGACGCGCTCTTGAGGGGCGGACAGTACGAAGAGGAGGAGCTAGTCAAGGAAGTCAAGGAGAGCGACATTGTTGACCTGTTCAACCTCATCATGAACAGCAGCTACGCGACCCAGGTGGTTAGCGAGTACATCATAACGGCCCTCATGAAACTGACGACGCGCTTCTCGGACCCCGGGCAGATTGGCCGCATCCGCAACATGCTCGAGCAGCACCAGACCAGCCTCGATGTCGAGGTGCAGCAGCGTGCGGTCGAGTACGGCAACCTGTTTTCCTTTGAGCAGATCCGACGGGGTGTGCTGGAGAAGATGCCGCCCCCCCAGATCAAGGAGGAATCCCGAGTTCTGGGCCCGGCCACGACCAAGAAGTCCAAGGCCGCCAACCGCAAGTCCAAGATCATCAAGCCCTCGGAGCAGGATCTCCTGGACCTCATGGACACACCTTCGATGGAGATTACCAGCTCAGCACCCTCAACCAACAACTCGGATCTGCTGGCCGACATTCTCGGCGGCGGCCCTGCCTCTCCCGGTCCCGTGTCTCCGCCTCTGCAGCAGCCGTCGAGCAACATCATGGACCTGTTCGGATCGGGTGGTGGCGCCTCGGGGACATCGTCCCCGGCCCCTCAGACGTCCAACTTTGACCTCGTGGGAAGTGTCTCTACCCCGCCACCCCAACAGCAGCAGGCCCCCGCGGCTCCCACCGTCGGTGGCCAGCCCTGCTACAACGGCCACGATCTCAACGTGACATTCCACACCCAACGCAACGCCGAGGGCATGATCCAGGCCACGGCACGCTTCCAGAACACCTCTACTGGAGCGTCCCTGACCAACGTCGGTCTCCAGGCTGCCGTGCCCAAGTCGCAGAAGCTGCAGCTCCAGAGCATATCTTCATCGGATGTAGGACCTGGAGCCGAGGCTACACAACTTATGAGAGTGTCTGGATGCAAGGGGGTAAGTTTTGACTAACCAAATCTCATATCTCTTCTTCATATGCTAACTATCTATGCCTGCTTTAGCCTCTCCGATTGCGTCTGCGCATCTCGTTTACGCACCCTAGTGATGGACCGGTGCTGGAACAGGTCAACTGGACGGAGTCATCGTAGGTGTTTTGGCGTCTTAGATTTTCAATACACATGGTATATCAAGCTTGTTTTTTTATTTTTATTTTTTTTTGTTCACCACGTACAATGGCAGGACGTGGAAAAGTGAGTGACTAGAGAGAAAAAAAGGTTGTTGTCCAGTCGAGAGGGTATTATTGTACAAGGACGCCTTGGTTAGGACGACAATAACAGGAGATGAGGAATGTTGATTATAGAGTGAAATGGCCTTTGAACAGAGCTTTGTTTACTCCCACGCCATCGTGAACATTATCGTGACTATCACTGCTACTGGTCTCATTCCCATCGACTATCTCAATCACATGTTCGTCCGACTAGGGATAGTATACGTGATTCATTCAATGTGATTAGTGTGCCTTCCAATGCTTGGCATAATATTGATACCAACAAGTGAGGTCGCTCTGCCGGGCAATAAAAGTGTAGCTTGCAGATCTGCGGGGAGACATGGGCAACTGAGAGCTATAGAACCGTGGTACTAGTTGTTAGGTCCCTTTCCTTTCCTTTCCCTTATTTGACGAGCCATGTAAACATCTCAACCATCATATACGTCAGATTGCAAATTGCCTCAGTCAAAAGCAGATGTCAAAAGTCAGTACAGGGCGTAGCCAACATGTCAGAGCAAGCACCCAAGACAAGTCATCTAGAGAGGACGGCAGCGGAGCCGCGGGGAATGGTAATGCTACTACTATCACTACTACCACTTCCCTCTCTCGCTCATCTCAACCCCCCCCCCCCCCCCATTCCTCATTCCGTCTAACATGCTTCCATCAGAAACTCCACGGCGTGAGACTCAGCCATATCAGCCAAGTCAACGACCGAGTCCGTCTCTTCCGGCTAGACCTCACGTCGGGGCCCGTCGGCTTCCTACCAGGTCAATGGGTAGACACCTTCGTCCCCGACACGCCGAAAGCAGGGGGCTTCACCATCACCAGCGCACCGGGAGACGCCTCCCCGACTTCCACGCACACCCCCCACATCGAGCTGGCCGTCCAGAAGTCGCCCGACAACCCCCCCGCAGCGTGGCTGTGGCGTCCTCCTCACGAGATCATCGGGTCGACCCTGCACCTGCGCATAGGGGGAAGCTTCACGTTCCCCCCCGCGGTCGGCGGCCCTCTCGCCTCGACGGTGAAGAGGCTGGTCCTCATCGCCGGGGGCGTGGGCGTGAACCCCTTCATGAGCATGCTCAGCCATATCGGCCACAGCGATGTTCCCGGGAAGCCGCGGGTGCGTCTGGCGTATGCGACCAAGCTGCCGTCCGAGGGGGAGGTCGTCTTCCTCGATAGGATAGCGGGGCTGTTCCGCGAGGGCCGCGTGAGGGGTTCGGTCGACCTGTTTGCTACGGGGGGAGGCGACGGCACGTTTCCGGATGTGGTCGACGTGCATCGTAGACGGTTGTCTGTGGCCGACGTGGAGCGCCTGGTCAGAGAGGACGACGACGACCACCTGGCATCTACACTCGTGTACATCTGCGGTCCGCCCGCCATGACGGACGAGTTTGCGTACGGCCTGACGACGGGCAATTTGAGGATGGATCCCAGTAATGTCATTACGGAGAAGTGGTGGTAAGAATGTGTCCCCCTGCACACAGCCAAATTTGAAAAGAGGTCGTGAACCATGATAAATGCCGTCCTAATTTTTTTTTTTCAATTGTTGTTTGTTGTTCATATTGCTGCTCCCTCCCCCCCCGCCTCTTTTTTCCCATGGCAGAACGAAGAAAAAGAGGGGAGAAGAACAAATGCATCTTGTTCTATCCGAAAAGATCCTCGGCCTTCCGCCTGCTAGGCCTCTTATCCAGCAACTCCTTGCCCGCATTAGTGCTACTCCCATTGCCATTCCCGCCCAACCTCCCGGGAAACAGCTCCCTGGCATTCGCCGCGGAGCCCTTGATGTTGAAGCCCAGTTGTCCAGCAGCGGCACCACCTGCGGCCGCGCCACGGATCTTGATCCCGCCGTCCACGATCCTGGGCATGTCCTCATCCCTGAGCTGGGCGGTTCCCAGCGCCGTCTCGAGCCGGTCCAGCCTCCCCGAGCGTCCCGACGCGGCCTTGGCCTTGGACGGGAACAACTCCTTGGACTCGTTTCTATGCCTGTCGTCGCGCAGGGAGCGTGCCCTGACGCGGCTGTTGCTGCTCGACGGGGCGTCATCGTCGACGGCGTCGACGTCCATGTCCCTGTCTCCGCGGGGCGATGCAGACCTGCTGCTCACCCTACGACGGCCGCTGCCACCGCCGCCGAAGAGTTCTTTACCCCTGTTCTCGCGGGCGTACGGCCGACGGTGCTGGTCGGGCGAGTATGAGCGGTCTCCGTCGCGACGACGGTCGCGGGAGCGCGAACGCGAACGCGAACGGGACGGTCGAGTGGGCGCGTCGTCGTACATGCTCGCCTCGAAGCGCGGGGGGCGTCTGTCCGAGTCGCGACGACGACGATGGTGATGGTGGTGGTCGCGGTCACGGTACCCGTTGCCGTTGCCGCTGTTGCGCTGCCGGCGCCTCTCCTCCGGGTCGTACTCTGGGTTCATTAGGTAGAAGCGGCTGCGCATCGCGGCGCCGGGCTGCTTCCTATCCGACTGCAAGGCCGTGCGCACGTGCAGGGTGATTTCGGGCCTGGACTCGACGGGCTTGGCCGGGAGGATCTCACCCACCGCCAGGGCTGTGGGGTCGGCGATCTCGGTGGCCGACAGGGCGACCAGCGCCTCCCGCGCCGTCGACTCCCCCCCAAACAGCAGGTTGGCCGACGTGTCGTCGATCCATTCCACCCTGTCCACGGGGCCGTAGTGCGCCTTGACGTAGTTGCGTATGTCGTCGGTGCTCAGGGTGTCGAGGCCGCGGATGTGCACTTTCGTCGGGACCAGGGTCTTGGATTCGTCTGCGATCGCGGCTGCCGCACCGGCGCCGCCGTCTTCCTCTATCACTTCGCCTAGCTCTTCCGGTTCGTCAGGTTGCTAGGTGCGCAGAGAACGTGTCAGCTTTTCGTCTTCTTCTCCTTCATTTCGTCTTCATTGCATTATCAAGAGCCTAGATGTTGGAAGAAAAAGTACCAGAATGTCTTCGGCGTGCGAAGGTTCCTCCTCTACCAGCGGCGCCTGCTGCGCTGCATCGTCCATCTCGATATCCAGATCCATCTTGCCGTGCGAGGTCGGAGAATAAAGACGAACTGGTAGGAGCGGGAGAGAAGACGGTCGGTGTCTGTCCGTAACGAGCGCGATCTGCGCTGTTTACAGCCCGGTTCTGTGGTTGGGAGGGGGTGGTGGGGGTGCAGGAGAGTTACAAACGAACAAAGGATGGATGCGCGGTCAGAGAAAGGCAGAGAGAGTGAGGCTGACCGAAAACGCGCTCTCGGGGAGAGAGAAGAGAGTGGAGCTGCCTCAGCAGGCTGAAAGTGCTTCCACTCTCTCCCCACATTAACGGCTCTGGCAGCTCCCCAAGTATCAGACATGCAAAAGGAATAATACTAGTTATACTGATCGTCAATGGGTCTTTTACTTTCTTCTCTTCTTTTTCAATTGAATATTTCATTTCATTTCTCAATTGGTTTTAGTCTATTCATGTGTGTGAAGTGTCCAACATTTTCCCTTCTCTTTTTGTTCCCCCTCTCCTTTATTCCTCCTTCACGGGTATAACAGGATTCTAGTAGAAGGCCGAAAACAAAATCGTCACGATAAAAGATGAAAGAAAAGATGGCCAAATGAACCGTACAAGCTTTTTTCTTCTTCTTCTGGTCCTCTGCATAGAACCCAAGCAAGCATTGAAAGTAGAGATAAATGTGGGTGGAAAAAAAATTAAGAAGAGGCTACAAGGTCTCAATCATGCCGCGCATGACTCTCCGACTCTTGGCCATCCTACCATCATCATCGCCGTAGCTCATGACGGCACCACCAGTGTGCATCTCCGACGCTGCACGCTTAGCCGCCGATGGCGGCTGCGGCTGCGGCGGCTGCGAGCGAGAGAAGCATGACGACGGTGGGGGTAGAGACTCTCGGTTAAAAGAAGATGGGGGAGGCGCGTTCTCCTTCTCGTCGGCGTCACCTCTGTCGATATCGAGGTACTGGTCATACCCCCAGCTGGCCTCCAGGCCGTCAAGCGAGACGGGCAGGTTTCGAATGGTAGGCCACGAGAAGGAAACGTGGCGCGGAGCGAGGTACAAGGCCTGCAGGTTGCCGTGGGCGTCGCAGATGGCGCAGTTATCGCGCAGGAAGGCGCGCGAGTACGGCGAGGGACGGTCCCCGCTGACGGCGGCCACGACGTCGGCCTCCAGCGGCCGGAGCATGGTCTGGCCCTCGAGGCGGCGGGCGTCGCACGTCTTGGCCCGCAGGGGCTCCCAGGCCTGGTCGCCCAGGATGTGGCCAAAGGTGCGGGACACGGCGGCGGCAAAGGCCTCGCCCGACGTGCCCTGGATGGCAATCATGCGGTGCAGGCCGCGCGACAGGCACCTCTTGTAGGCGTTCGTGTCCTTCTCGTAGGGGAAGGGGCGCTCCCTGGACGGCATGAGCGACACGTGGACGGTCCACGCCTCGCCGTCCCCTTCCCGGCCGGCGACGACGGATGTGTGGCCGTCACGGTTGCAGGCGTCCACTGGCGACGATGACAGCGACGGCGGTGCCGAGAGCGGCTGCTGCGAGGGGAGGAGCAGCGTGCGATGACGCCCGTCGAGCAGGCACGGCTTCGTGGCGGCAGCGGCAGCGGCAGCGGCAGCGGCGGAGGCGGAGGCGGCGGCGATGGGGGGTGAGGGGGAAGTGACGGCGTCGTCCGGGGGAGGAACCTCCTCGAGCTTCTCGATCCTCTCCTCTAGCATCTCGTCCGTCTCCAGGAGTTCGAGATGCCTGTTCCGCAGGTCCTGCAGCTCCTTGCCGGCGCGGGCGAGCTGCTCGCTCTGGATGCGGTGCGTGGCCTCGACAGCCGCCATGCGCTGGCGGAGCTGCTCAATCAGCTGCCAGGCCGCCGAGATGTGGTGGTAGGACCCCTCGAGCTCGGCCTGGACGTCGTAGCGGTTCTTGTCGACCGTCTCTTCGAGCTGGCTGACGCGCGAGACTAGATGGTTCATGCCGTGCTGTTGCTCCTGTTGCGGGGGGAGTAGCTGCTGCTGCTGCTGCTGCTCTAGGACCCAGAGCCTGCGCGCCATGATGCACATCATGTCTTCCTGGCTGATGTTTCGGCGCTGCTGGTTGGGGCTATCCTTTCCTGTTGCTGCTTCTGCTGTCGCTCTTGCTGTTGCTGTGGCTGCTGCCGTTTCTGATGGCGACGGTGTTGTGCTGTCGGCCGAGCCTAGGTGGAAGCAGGCTAGGTGACCGCAATCGCACATGGCTCCTGGTAAGGCCCTGTCGCGGCTGAAGTTGACGCAGGAGCATCGGTGACCTCTGAGCTCGGGAGCGATCAGGATGTAGCGGCACCGGCCCTGGGGCAGCTGGGGGGAGGCGGTATCATCGAGTCGTTGAGGTGGCGGAGGTGGCGCCGATGGCTGCTGGGTCAGCGATGTTGGAGATGTCGGGGAGGTGATGGTGGCCATGGCAGCGACTTGTCACGATGCTGCGTCCATGAGGGGAAATGATGGGCAGTCTCTTTCTATGAAATCTGGTCCGCTCTACATGAAGGTGAAAGGGATGAAGGGTGGGGTGGAAGGGATGAGGGGAGGGAGGGAAAGGATATATGCGTACAGGTAGAGAGGGAAGAGGGACAAGGGTCATACATCTATCTACATACATGTACTGAATGCTATTGCCATATCACTCGGTATTATCAGTACCAACATTTTGTATATTATCTCTGTGGATAAATGACATGTACACAAGTAAGTGGTTCTGTTCTTGTGTGGCACGAGATACGTATATTGTGCATGTAGGAGGAGAGCCCCCCCTTCTCACTTGGCAGCATGTAAATTGTTGAGCTACAAGTACCGATCATTACTACTTGGGAGTTGATACTAGGAGGTAGCAATCGTAGTGCCAGTAGCATTCCCGGCTTTCACGACAGTTCGAAAAGGAGAAGAGAGAGAGAGAGTCTGAGAGAGAGAGAGAAGCCGGGAGCGGCAGAGTAAGGGTTTGGCAACTTGTGCCGGGGTGGCTTGCTACGCCTGTACTGGTTGGTGTCTTGACGGTTACAAAGGTTCATGTCATGATGGGTACCGACGACTTGAACGGCATTGCAAAAGCATGACTAGGTCGTCATGATGTACCAGCCACGAGAGCAGCGGGCGCAGAGAGGGAGAGGAAAGACGGACAGGCAATGGGTTCATTACGCCATGTCATCCCACGCTCTCTGGACCTCTGCCGGGGTGTGAGTTGGGTTGGGTTGGCGGGTTGATCCCTCTGGCTCTCTCTGGCTCTCTGCAAGGGTTGGCTGGGGACAATGCCAGGTAAATCAGGATGGAGAGAGGAGGAGGAGGAGGAGGAGGAGGAGAAGAGGTGTGCAGGGGTCTGGAACGGGTCCTTGGTATGGGGCTCATGGGGCGGGCAAAGGGAAGCCCCATGGGATGGGCCAAGACGTGGGCCAAGACGTGAGCCAAGTCGCGCCAGAGCGTGGGGGTTTCTCTATTCAGTCATGTCAAGACGCGGGCCTCCCATACAGATCCTGTGGTCGATGTGCTGATACGAGAGTGACGAAGCGGTCTCTCTACAGTCTCTCTACAGTCTTCCTACAGAGAATCCCAATGGGTTCTGCACTCTGACTGCTGAGCTGCAGATGCGCATGTTCGAGTATAGTACGTGACGTGGGCCGTGTGATTGACAGCTCCTTGCCTGGTGAGTACTAATAGTAGATAGATAGTATTGATATCGAGCATTGCAGAGAGTATCGATTAATATCCAGCAGCAAGCATGTACAGATTAAGCATCACCAACTTGTCCAACCCGAGAGAACACACATTATCGTCATACCATGTATTGCAGGCGGCAATATGTGAACGAGCACTCTGCCACTACGAGCGTCATCATATTCCATCATACTAAGCATCGTATAATGCTACTAATACTGATACCCCGTAATACCCCGTATCGTATGCATCTTATGCACCTCGTCCCCATCCTGTCCATCCATCTAACAACCTAACGGGCCGACTTTAAAAATCTCTCTCTCCATCCATCCATATCATCATCCTTGATCCTTGCCATGACATATTCTCTCTCTCTCTCTCTCTCCCTCTCTCTCTCCCTCTCTCTCTCCCTCTCCCCCTCCCCCTTTTCCGTTCCAATAACGCCATGACATAAATGTTGCATGTACCTCGATAATTATCAAGTAATAGACTGTCACTCGTCGGTCACCGCAATATTCCGATACCACCATCTCACACCTTGCCTTCCCACTCCCTCTACTCTCTCTATTTTGCCGTCGCCAAGGATGGTCAGACAGGAAAGGAGAAGAATTGAAATGAAGAAGAGGCGACCGTCGGTCGCCATTAACCCGAGCTAATACGTGGGCAGTAATATTGAACCGTGAATGCTATTATATCAGCCTGTGATGACGAGTAGCATGCCACATTCGAATGATGAAGCCCGTCTCATCCCATCCCTCCCTCCCGAACGGTTGCCGACATCTTTTTCCGATACATCACTGTGATGGATATCCGATCCCTGGAAGAGAAAGGATCAGTTTCAGTTTCAGAGTCGTAACGAGCTGTCATCATCGCGCCGATGTAGATGCTACGCACACGTTCGAATGTGAGAGTGAGGGTGAGAGAGAGGTCACCACCACCCCTCCGGTCGCTGCGTACGTGCGTGTGTGGTATCATTGTAGTGCACGGTACGGTGGAAATATGAATGGGAGCTGTCAATGAAAAAGAAAAAACATGAGGTCTGTATCTCCCCCCCCCCCTTCCATCACCCAGACTCTACGGGGTGCAAGTACAGATGTACAGATAGAGAACAATACGTACAGCTGGTTGGGAGCCATAGCCATGGCTCATGGGAGAAAGAAAGTGCACATATCCGGTCTTACCGCCGGCTTCTTGGCATCGAAGCAAATCTACCAGTCACCACCACACGTAGGCTCGTTGGCTCGTAGCACACAATGCTCTGTCTTTTTGCCGCAATCTGCAAAGCCACACGGGCCCTGCTAGTACCCTGGCCTGATCTGCGCGCGCGCCATCGCCACAGGTTGATGATCGAGCATTCTAATCTCTCTTCTGCGCCCGTTCACGCTTTGCTGAATTGTCCGCCCGCTGACTATCTATGTCGTGTCATGTCGTGGGGGTGCGTTGTGTGTCTGTGTGTCTGTGTATGTGTATGCGTGTGTTGAGCCGCATACTTTGGTGATTAACCTGCTCGTTACTCCTTTCTTCCTTTTTTTTCTTCTTATTTCCCCCCCTAATGCTTTGATTCATACTCACACGTGTTTATTCATCTTTCCTGCCTATTCCTCCTTTCATGAAAAAAGATACGCCATGTACAGCATCAGATTCGTGATATCTCAAGCGTCACACACACACATTCTCAACTGCTTCGTGGGTTACCCGGTAGCTCTTCCAACTTTTTGTGTGTGCTAGTAGCTCTAGACTAAGATTTCATTTGACAACTTTCTCAATTCTTTTTGGGGGAGGGGGGGGGGGGGGGGGGGTCGCTTTAAATAATATAAATAATATAGCATCTCCGTATTGATCTCAAGTTGTACCGGGGAAAGAAAACAATGGACTCTCGAGGCCCATCGTCAACTTATTGCTTCTTTCCTGTATTGATCCCACATGGCACCGCACAAGATCACGAGCCCCGCGATACACCCAGACAAGCCAAAATTGCCCCGCTGCGCACGCCCAAAAAAAGAAGAATTGGTGGGGCTCGGTGCTCTGACACGGCATCACCAGTTGAGTTTCCCACAGCGTCAACCTCCATCGACTGAGCTTCTCTCACCAGACGACCGGGAGCATCACCCCGCCTTCGCTCCCTCTCTTCTTTCCCATCCGACGCACGCACAAAGGCTTGACCTTCTAGAGACCCGACATCCCAAGTTCCTGTGCACACGACCTGTCTGGTCATGCGCCAATCCTACCCCGTCACCTTTCCTCCTCCTCCTTCGCAGTAGAAAAAAAAAAAAGACAAAGAAAGGAAGACGGAGATAGACGGATAGGGAGAAGAATACGGAAGCGCGAAGATACAAGATAAGAATACCGACGACGAGACAACGATGCCACAAGACTCGGCCGCCGCGCTCGGCGCCCTCCTGCGCGGGGTATCCATCGACGACCACGAAGAGGTCCTGAAGGCGGCCAACGCGGCCCTCCGTTCCAAGAAGGACGACCAGACGGCCCTTCACACGCGCGCCGTTGCCCTCCTCAACCTCGACCGCTTCGACGACGCTCTGCGCGCCATTGACGAGGGAGGCGACAAGCTCGACGCCGCCTGTCGCTTCGAGAAGGCCTACGCGCTCTATAAGCTAGGCAAGCTTGACGATGCCGCCGAGGTTCTCAAGTCCATCGATGCCGCCGCCGCCGCCGACACAAGCTATAGGGGTCACAGCCACCTGGCAGCCCAGGTAGCCTACCGCGCCGAGAGGTTCGACGATGCCTACGCCGTCTACCAGAGGCTTCTGGAGAAGGACCCGGAAGCCGAGGACAACGATATCAAGATCAACATGCGCGCCGTCGTCGCCCAGGCCGGGTGGCTCGGCGGCAGCGCCCACGACGGAGACGATGCCCAGGACCAGGTGCATCAGCTCGACACCTTTGAGCTCTGCTACAATGAGGCCTGTTCCTGCATCTCGCGCGGCATCCTCGACCAGGCCGAGCTGCTCCTGCGACGCGCAGAGACCCTGTGCGATGCCTCGGACGATCTCACGGACGAGGACAGGCAGGCCGAGATGCAGCCCATCCTCGCCCAGAAGGCCTATGTTCAGGCTAGGCTCGGCAAGGTTGACGAGTCGCTAAACCTCTACAAAACTCTTGGCAAATCCGGGTGAGTTTGGTGTCACGTCTTCTCTTGTTTCTTTCACACACTCACACACACACACATATATATATATATATATACATATATGTATATGTGTGTGTGTGCATGCGTGCGTGCGTGCGTGTGTACATGTATATGCGTATGCTAATCTAGACACAGCGATAACGATGCGGATCTGGACCTGGTCATCGAAAACAACCGCGTGGCATTGACCTCTGCCACAGCGAACCCGTACCTGGTGCAGCGCCAGGCGGAGTCGTGGACGCAGCGCGCCAAGTCGGCCAAGCTGTTCAGCCACCAGTACGACGTGGTGCGGCGCAACGGGCTCATCATCGACCTGCAGGCCAACAAGGTGCGCGGTGTGGTCGACCGCACGGACAAGGTCATCTCGGCGGCGCAGCACCCGTCGACGCAGTCGGACGTCAACGCCATCTCCGGGCTCCACGCCGCGGCTTCGACGCACGGCAAGTCGGGCAGGGAGCTCGTGCGTGCGCTGCAGGAGCTCACCAAGAAGAGGCCCGACAACGTGGGTCTGGCCCTGACGTTGGTGCAGACGTACCTCGACGCCGGGAACCAGGGCGCCGCGCTGTCGACGCTCGAGGCTTTCCTCGGCCGTCTCGAGAGGCCGGTCGGCACGGACGAGGACGAGGCTCCCTCTCCAACGCCCGCCCACGTCACCGACGCCCGCTTCAGTCCCGGCCTGGTGGCTTTGGTGGTCTCGCTCATGCGGTCCCAGGGCCGCCACGCCGCCGCCAAGTCCGAGCTCTCCAAGGCAGCCAGGTACTGGCAGGACCAGGATAGGCCGGCCATGTCGTCGCGCGCGCTCCTGCAGGAGGCGGGCATCGAGCTCCTCCGCTCCTCCAACCCACGCGACCTGAAGCTGGCCGGCTCCGCATTCGAGAAGCTCTTCTCCCAGAGCCAGGGCTCGCACATCGCCTCGGCGGGGCTGGTCGCCTCCCTGGCACCCTTCGACCTGGCCAAGGCGAACGAGCACGTCGGCTCCCTCCCCGAGGTGGACGACCTCATCGCCGACGTCGACGTCGGCACACTCCTGGACGCCGGCGTCGCCACCATCAACCCCACCACCACCGCCGCCGGGACCAAGCGCTCCGCCGAACAGGACGGCAGGAACAGGGCCACCCCCTCTGCCAAGAGGCGCAGGCCCAACAAGCTACCCAAGAACTACGAGGAGGGCAAGAAGCTCGACCCGGAGCGCTGGCTGCCCCTGCGCGACCGCTCGTCGTACCGTCCCAAGGGGAAGAAGGGCAGGAAGAAGGCTGCCGAATCCACACAGGGCGGCCCGGTCAAGGACGAGGAGACGCTCGGTCTGGTAGGCGGCGGCGGTGTCAAGGTTGAGAAGGCTGGCGGTTCTGGCCCTGGCAACAACAACAGCAACAAGAAGAAGAAGAAGGGAAAGAAATGAGCTGTGACTGTTTTATTTTTTCCCCTCATTCATCTGGACTACACTTGAACACGAATATTTGAAAAACAAAAGCTGTGCTGGTTTATCCATGGACTCTGAGTGAATGTGAATGTTCCTGTGCGTAGGCACCACAATCCAAATATGTATACATATGAAACAAGACAAAACAAAAAACCAGCGAAAAAGAATGTCTGAAAAAAGGTACTGATCCATACACAGACAAAGAAAAAAAGAAAAAAAAAATCCCAGCTTTTTTTTATGCCCTCCCACTAATGTATCAAGTAGAGAAAAAAGTAAAAACATACAGCAACCACCGCTAATATTGTAACGACATGTAAGTTATATAAAAAAAATGAAGCAACCCCTTTCCTCTTCCCCCTTCCTTCCTTTCTCATGAACAAAACGAACGCCTTCGTCGGAGTATATATATGTGTGTAAGTGACGTATCCGCCCTTTTTTTTTGCTTATCAAAAAAAGGGTGAAAGACCTCCCCTCCCCTATTTCTCTTCATGCATTAACTGGTTGTAGAGAACGACTTTCAAGCGTCGCCGTGTCTTGAGATGGTGGCCTATCCGTCGAATGTTGGACCTGCAGCTCTTCCACCGATGACTCCCCCTCCGCCAGGAGTGACGTCTTCTTCTTCACCTCCTTCTTGGACGGTGGGGTCGTACTGCTCGTCTCGCCATCGTCCCCCACCGCCGCCTCGTTTCCGTCGCCACCCTCATCTTCTTCCGTCTGCATGGGAGGTAGGGGCGACCTGCGTCCTTCGGAAAAGCTGACGGCTGCTTCGCTCTCCCCGTCAGAGGGGATGGTCAGCCGCCCGGCGCCGTTGTTGGATACGCTTCGCCTAGCATTGTTGGCCGAGAACTTCCTGTGCAGCTCGCGGAAGCTGCGGGCCGTGGCCGTGCTGGCGCTCGCCGCAGACTCACGTCGTGAGTGCTCTTCCTCCTCTGGGTCGCCGGTGGCCGAGTAGAAGTCGTCGTCGTCGCCGGCACTGAGAGCGGGCGACAGGGGCTGGTGGAGCTCTGTCGACGGCATCGACTTGCGGCCGCGCATCTTCTCCTCCGTGGGTACGTAGTGCAGCTCCGAGCCAAAGTTGATGACCGAGGCCTTCTTTCCGTGTACGACAAAGCTGCCCGTGCTGCGGGGCAGGACGCTGCTCTCGCTGACAGTATCCTCAGTGGGCCCGATCGACTGCCCTTCCCTGCCGCGTCTGCTGCTGCGGTGGTGGGACAGGTGGCCAGCGCCTTCCCTAAGGGTGCGCTGCAGACTCCGCCGGATCTTGGTCCTGTCGACCGGGGATCCGAAATCACCGCCGTCGACCGACGTCGACACGGTGCCCTTCTCGGAATCCAGGTCGGCTCTGTGTTCGACGAGGCCGGCCTGCTGCAGGAATTCGCGTTCGTCAGCATCTACGTCATCTTGGTTCTCGCTGGACTTGGACGCGCGTCGGCCAGCATCGGCCACGACCGATCCCCGACGGAGTGGCAGCGGTGAGCCCGGCGCGCTGGCTGTGGTTGTGTCGGCCGTCGTTGAGCCATCTCCCTCCGTGGTCGATCCATCACGGGACTCGCGACGATCGCCGTTGGGTTCAACTGCACTCTGCGGTGGCGTCTCAAACTTGGCATCCCCGGGGGACTCGGCAGAGGCCTCATCGTGTTCCGAGGGAACAGCAATGTGCAGCCCTCCGGGAACCTCCGGCGCTTTCTCGCTGCTGCGTGATGCTGCCAGCTTGGAGGTGTGCCGCGAGGTAGACCTTGTCGGAGACGATGGCCTCTCGCGAGACGACATATTCAGATCCGATATGAGCGGGCTCGCCCTGGACAGAGGACTGGGGTTGTCCTCATCCAGGTCCTTGCTGAGGATATCACGGTGACACTTTTCTCTCCAAATCTCCACCCGCGACCACTTGATCCGAGCAGACAAGTTGACTGCCGATGCCAAGACTTGCTCCCGCGTCCTTGGCTGGATGGGAGCCAGAATCATAAGATGACGTGCATTCCGGAGCTGATCATCCAGCTTCTTCTGCGACACCTTGATATTCTCTTCCGTCTCCTCAATCTTTTGGCACATAAAAGCTCGCCTCGCCGTCTGGATGTCCTCGGCTTCCTGGTGGTTGATGCGACCTCGGACGACTGACACCTGGCCCGAGGGCGTGTCGATGAGGGCCTCGGCCTCGGCACCGTCGAGACGGCGCATCCCCCGCCGACCCTGACCGTCGTAGTTTGCGCCTAAGACACCTCGCATTCGAACACCGGACGTTCTAAATGCCGCTGCGTAATTGAGTTTGGCCAGCCAGTCGTTGAGCTCGTCCTCGTCGTCGGCGAGCAAGACCTCGTCAAGTCCGCCCTGTCGCACGTAAACAAAAGCATTCTTGTGCTTCTTGTACGATGTGTCATGCAGTGCCACCGCTCCGTGTGTCGACATGAGGGCGTCTGGCTTGAAATGTTCCAAGGGTGGTTTGAAGATGATGGGCACGCCGTCATTGCCAGCTTTGACATGGTTCTCACGTTGGTGCATCAGGCTCTTGACCCAGCCCGTGTTCCTGAAGAAGTAGAGCTGCGCTCCGGTGAGGATTGCGCCCCACTCTTGCCAGGGCGAGCGCGTTCTGCGCTTCTTTGGATCCTTCCTCCACAAGAGGCCGACCTTTGTGATCTTTATATCAACAATTCCGGGTCCGGCATCTTCAGGATTGGTAGCCGTCTTTTCCGTCATGAAGGCATCGGGGCGCGAGCGAGCCGACACAATCTGGAGGACACCCGTCCTGAAGAAGGTCTCCTGCAAGTTCCTCAAGTCAAGGCTGGTGGCAGTTCCTAGGTAGTTGTAATGATCCTCGAGGGGCAATATTTCCTTGAGGTTGGGTCTGAGGGCATCGAGGTTGCCGTCGATGATCAGGGTGTATGGGTCGATTGGTTCCTTGACGGCCCTTTTGGCGGGATCATTGGCTCCCGCCAGTATGTTCTTCCGTTTGTTCTTGATGCTGGCCCGTTCACCAGCAGCGTCGAGCTCGTCCTCAACATGTATGAAGGGTGTGTAGCTAATATTATCGTAAAAACATTCCAGGACATCGTCAAATACACCCTCTCCCTGGGTATTCTTTAGGTAATCGGGCTTCTGCATCTTGTATTTGTTGTTCTTGTTGAAGACATCGGTGTGGAGAATGAGGAGGGAGAAGGCAATGAAGTAGGCCTGATCAGGACTGGTGTAGATTCCCGGGTTGCACTCGTGATATCGATTGGCAAAAGCCTGCAGATACCTGTCGATCTGCTGTGTCTCCTTGGGAAGCTCAGCCTCCATCAGGAGCTTGCGGATGGCCATGTCCATAGGGTCTTCGAAGAAGCTGAAGCTTCGCATGTAACTCCTCAGCACAGCGGCAGAGAAGGGGTCGGAATGTTTGGAGAGGGCCGCCGCGATGACGCCCCTTTTAAAGATCTCTTCGACGCGACTCAGATACTTGGCGGCGGATTCGTCCTCACGTTTCTCAGGAAGGGATATCGAATCCCTAGCGATTTGGAACGAGTTGCTCTGGGATGCGGCAGAGGCAGGGGTTGTGGGGGTCATGGTGCCTTGACGGCTCAGCTCCGAATTTTGGCGCAAGCGTGTCAGGCCTAGGAGGTCGCCAAAACTCTTACGTCCCGTCGAGGATGATGTCCGGGTGGTGGGTGCTAGATGATGCTCGTCGGCGGAATCACGGCCGCCGCCCAACGAACTCATAGTAGACGACCGGCCCCTGAGGAAGCTCGGCCGCGTGGGCGACGATTGCCCAGATCGCGACCCTCCACCGCCATGGCTAAACAGGGCAGCCGCCGGAGAGGGGCCGGCACGATCTGTAGGAGTCCGCGAGACGTTGCTGCTGCGGACAGACGACGGTCGTGGGGTCGTAGTTTGGTTCGATGTTCCTGGCAGAGACGCCTGGGAGGCGAAAGGAGTCTTGTCCTTTTGAGGTAGGTGCGAAAGGGGAAACATGGGTTCGGGAGACTTTTTGGCCCTCCGCATCTTGAAGAATGGGTTGCTGCTAGGGGACTTCCTGGGAGTTGTGGCAGGACTCTGATGAGAGAGACGGTCGTTGGAGCTGGCATCGGACCGGGAAGACTCCGACTGCCTATTCGTCAGTGTCGCAGGGGTCGTCGAGGGATTGGCATTGGTTCCAGCGGTAGGTTGTAGCGAGGGTAGGGGAAGTGGTTCCTCGAGGGTGGCGAGGGTCGGCCGGGCTCTCTGCTCTGCGAGCGACTTTCTCGGTTGCCTGTGGGAGTTAGACAGGTCGGGCGACTCGATGTGCTCGCGTGAGAATTCGCTGGAGACGCGCAGCCTGGCGGCGACGAGGCTCATCCGCGACGACTTCTTCTTGGGGCCCTGAAGCTCGCCGGTCGGGGCTGTAGTTATGATTTCCGGAGCTAAACATGATTTAGATTTGATTAGCATTGGAGCCCATCCCCTAATCGAGGGGCAGGGGAGAGGGGGGGGGGGGGGGGGTTACGATGGGTATCTCGGGAGCCCCTCCTTGCCACCCCCCCTTTCCCTTGAAGTTGCTGTACTTACGACGCGGAATAGGCGGTGGTTTCTCAGCCTGTTGCTTGGCCCTCAGGGAAAGCTGGGGATCAGATGCATTACGGAACCTCAGTAGGGAGAAGCGCTTGTGTCTGTTGGTATCTTCCTGAGCCGGCGGGGTCTCGGGGAGGTTGACGGTAGACGCGCGGCTCTGGGGATCGGTGGAGGTAGCGGCAGCGGCATCATCATTGTCGACGGAAGTCTCGCTTTGTGGTGGCGGGGACCCGACATCCTCGCATCCGACAGGATCTTGGGCGCTGTCTTCGTACTCTTGGATGTTGGGCTCGCTGGGCGTGTTGCCGCGACGTCGTAGGAGTGGCATGGTGACAGCCGAGCATGATACACGTACGCGGACCCTCGGTGATGAAGGCTACGCCGGGGGGTCCGGCGTGTGTGCGTGCGTGTGCAGGATGACGATGAGAATTTGAGATGAGAGAGAGGAGGGGGGGGTATAGAGCTGCAGACGCTGGGCATGCAGCCTAGCGAAGCATGTCAGGATCTCCGGGACACATTGAGTACACAGCTCGTCGTCACGCCGTTTTTCTTCTTCCGTGGGGGGGTGCGGGTGGCTGGTTGAGTCGGTTGAGACGTTGGCGTTGCAGAATGGGCTGCGAGTCGTTACTAAACTTCTGGACCAGTTGTAGTACGGGAGCGTGAGTGAACGGTGGTACTACTGTATAATACTAGTAGCCTTAGCAGTAGCAGCAGCAGAAGTGGCAGAACCAGAAGCAGGACCAAAAGCAGAAGCAGCAGCTACTCGTACATGTAGTGCTACTAGTCAGTGGATCCCAGTGCTTATTGCTGGGCTGCCTGGGCGCTGGTCCCAGTCCCGACCAAGGGGTTGGATTGAGGTTACGGCCGGGTACTTCCCAAGAAGTAGGAGCAATACTTGGAACTAGGAGCACTTCTCAAGGAGTCTGGGCTTGTCAGGGTCAATTTTAGAAGTATTATTACTACGAGTAACTCCGTACTCCGTACAGATTAATCTGTACATGCAAAGAAGTGGCTGGTGGGGCGGGGGGCTCTTCGGACTCTTCTTTCTCCCCCCATTCTTTCTCTCCCCCCCAAGTGGGCCTGCTGTAGGCAGACTATTATCTGTATTACAGATTGGACAGTAGTAAGGAAGCAGGAAAAAAAAGGGCAATAATAACAGGGTCTTTAAAACAGCCGCCCTCACAGCTGGCCCCCGCCATCCCAGACCGCATTTTAAAATAAATTACGACTTTTACGGGGTTGATACTGGTATTATCACGTCGTCATACGTGTGCTATTAGCGACCGTTGATGAACACTGTACGAGTACGGACTTGGAAGGTTGGAAGCACATGAAAAAGGGACATCGATGAGGGGGAATTGTTATATCCCGCCATGAAAGTCCGAGCTGTTTTCTACAGCAAGCTCAGTGCTGCAGGACCAGTGCCGCGGTGCGTGTCAAACGCTGGCATCCACTGGGAAACCTGCTGCATTTTCGTTGTAAAAATAACTAACCCCCCTGTATTGCGACTGGTATTAGTAGCCGTAATAAGAGTAGGACGCGGTGCTGAGCAATCATCACACGAGGAATCTCTGCCGCAACTCAAAATAATGCGAGTAATTCGGCAGAATGCGAGCATGCTACATATTATCATAACACGAAACTCGTGTTGATCGTAATAGTACTATCTCCGCAAACGTGAAGTTTATTCGCACATACAATAGTAGCATTACCACGTGCTAAAGTAATACCAGCACGTGCGCCTCCTGACTTTTCTTATCACCTGCTTATCGATAAGAGAAACATGGAGCCTGAATAGACCCGGATGGCTGCACTAAGAGGTGTTACTATAGATATGAAGAGCCTAAGGATAACCTATAATATGCTTGTGCTATAGGCACAGCCCGTCGTCACCAGTCACCGTCGTCTCCCCACCAGCTTCTCAAAACGCCCAAGGGCATGATATTATCCCCCCCAATCGTCAGCTCGAGAGTGTGACGACAGCTTCTACAAACCCAGCTTTCCTGCAACACAAATACGTGTTTTCAATCCTTGTAACGCATTGCGTATCCCCGCTACTGCCCGGCAAACCCCAAACCCCAACCCCCCCCCTAAGTTACGACCTCGGCACAGCGACAACGACAGCAGCAGCAGCAGCAGCACGGCGTGCGCCCTGACATGAAGGCTAACCTCGTCATCGTCTCGACGCTGCTGGTGTCGGTCGTTAACGGAGTTGGCATCGGTCCCCATCCGCCTCCTGTGCATGACCATCACTACGCGGGTTCTGCCGTGTCCGACCGCCGCGGCGGCGGCAGCAGCAGTCTCTTCCCATTTTTAACAAAGGTGCGCGACGACGTTGTTGAATTCATCTTCGGACGACACTCGTCTGGAGATGGGGAGGGTGCCGGTGACGATGACAGCGCTTCTGGTGGCCCACTACCGATACCAGACAGCATCCGGTCACGTTACGCAGATGAGGTGGTGCTGCGGTTCAACTTGACAACGGCGCAGGAGGAGCTGGCTCTGTCCCGGGCGGCGGACCAGCTGTTTCTGGACGTGTGGGCCGTGTCGAGCGACTTCGTTGACATCCGCATGCACAAGGACGAGGTCGGCCCGCTGCTCAGCCTGGTGCCCGAGTCGCTGCGCCGGTCCCAGTCGACCTTGATCGCTGACCTGGCGGCCGCCGTGTACCAATCTCTGCCATCGGACCGGGTGCGCGATCAGCAGCAGGCCAGCACGGCCGAGAGCGTGCACGCCGACCTGTCGGCCCACCTCAACAACGGGGGGGACAACCTCTTCTTCCAGGACTACCAACCGCTGCCCGTCGTGGTCCGGTGGATGCGCCTCCTCGAGGCCATGTTCCCGTCGTACGTCAGGTACCTCGACATCGGCCAGTCCTTCCAGGGCCGCGAGATCCCCGCGCTGCGCGTGGGCGTCCCCGGTGCGCCCGACCCGCTGCACCCCCGCAAGACTATCGTCATCACGGGGGGCTTCCACGGCCGCGAGTGGATCTCGACCAGCACCGTCAACTACCTGGCCTGGTCGTTCATCACATCGTTTGGCAAGGAGCCCCTCATCACCAAGCTGCTGGAGCAGCTCGACATCATCTTCATTCCCGCCACTAACCCGGATGGCGTCGAGTACACCTGGCAGGTCGACCGCCTCTGGCGCAAGACGAGGCAGCTGACGGGCCTCCGATACTGCCCGGGCATGGACCTCGACCACACCTTCTCGTACGAGTGGGAGAGTGCCCATGTCCACGACGACCCTTGCTCAGAACGCTACGGCGGCGAGCGGCCCTTCCAGGCCGTCGAGGCCATGCGCCTCGCCCAGTGGGCCAGGAACCACTCGGCTCAGGCCCACGCCAAGTTCGTCGCCCTCGTCGACCTTCACTCCTACTCCCAGCAGGTCCTCTTTCCCTTTGCCTACTCGTGCGATGTCGACCCTCCTAACCTCGAGAACCTCGAGGAGTTGGCCGCCGGACTCGCCAAGACGATCCGCCTTTCCAACGGTGAGACCTACTCCGTCACCTCGGCCTGCAGGGGCTCCGCCACGGGTGCCGACAGCGCCGAGTCGCCGACCGACTCCCGGCAGCACCTCGAGACCGGCGGCGGCTCCGCCATCGACTGGTTCTACCATGAGCTCCAGGCCCACTACAGCTACCAGATCAAGCTCCGCGACACGGGCAGCTACGGCTTCCTCCTTCCCAAGGAACACATCGTGCCCACTGGCGAGGAGATCTTCGACGCCATGAAGTACTTTGGCGATTACCTCCTGGGAAACAATGGCATCGAGCGCTTCTCAGACGAGGACGAGGACGAACATGTGACAGCCAAGGACGACTCTTCACCGTTCAGCAACGACGATGAGACGGAGCTGTTGGATAGCATGGAGCTCAGGCGACGGAGGGTCCGTCGGTAAGAACGACAACGCACAACCACACACGACAATTCAAGAGGGAGGGGACTTTCTTTTATGAATCGGGGAGTATTCGGGTTTTCACGAGACATAATGACAATGGTTTAACAGTACTATTGTTAGGACCAAAAAAAAGGAGCTGGCCTCTGTTTTCCTCTCAAAGGGTTTACGAAATTTTGGATGAGATGAACTATCATAATATATTGCATATACGCACACTCTGACAACTCCTGGTAGCATATTGATGTCTCTTCTACATCCTCAGAGCGGTCATGACGGCAGTGTATGTGCAGAGGACGTACAAACCAACATCTCCGATGTGAGAGATGCCGCCCCCGCTGTATAAACGTGTCCCAGGTCAGCCAAGAAGGTTTGGGAACGGTTGTCTTGCGAAGTGTGTTGAGAAACTTACGTGAGCCTCCCCTTGGGACCGGAGTCGCTGGTATAGCCCATGGTGTATATGACACGTCCCACACACCAGATGACTCCGAGGATGGCCGAGGTGATGGGGAAGCGGAGTCCGGAGATGAGGAGAGCAGGGAGAACGCTGACGTAGTTCTCGAGGAAATTGCTGTGACACCTCTGGGCTTGATGGAGGAAGTCGTGTGTCAGTCTTTGGAATAGTGGCATGTGAACTGCCTTCTCTCTTTGCGCCAATCGAGTCATGGCAACAGCTTGAGATAAGATATAAATAGGTAGATAGAGCGAGGGAGAGAGAGAGAGGGCGAAGGAGGGAGGAAGAGAAAACCTACCGCAGTTGAACTTGTAGACCTTGGGGTCCTTCTTGGCCAGTTCATCGCTAGCATAGGCGTTTGGGTACAGGACACCACTGGCCTTGCGGTGGTGGCCGGTGACGAAACCGTGGTAGATGTTGACGAAGAAGGTACAGGCAATAGCGACAAGGACGTGGCTGCTAAAGGGTCAGCCTCCTTTCCATTTCTTGTCTCTTGTCTCCCTGCCTTCCCATGTGGTGCTGTGCGCGCGCGCTGCCACACATCATGGAGGGACTCGGACTACATGCATGTATCCCATCGTATAATACTTACCCGTACTCGTCGGGGACTACAATAGTGAGGGCCATCGTGAAGGAAGGATCAGGATTTGAAAGTAAGATATATTGTGTGATTTGTGTAGAAGTAGTGAGGAAACTGAGAGCTGATAGAAGAGTTAGAGTGGTGACGGGAGAGCGAGCCTGGAAATAACAGAGGGCGAGAAAAAAGGAGTCGGTGTTGGCAGCCATGTGGTTTTCCCTTTTTATATCCGGAACAGACAGGGCGAGGGTGCGCGAGTGGCGGGTCCTTCCTTCCCTCTCTCTTTTGATCCGCCCCCAGGTCAGAGAGAGTTTAGCTCCACGTGTGGCCTCTGCTCTCTCATCGTATCCCACCTCCTCAGCTCTTTTCCCTTCTCTTCTTTTCTTTATTCTTGACTCTCGATTCCCACGCAAGTTTTATACCTGTGGTTCCCATGTAATAGTCATGGAAATAAATATCCGAAACACACCTGCGGCGCTCATAGTACGATATGTACTCCTCTTGCTCCGTGCTCTTTTTTCTTCTTCGTTTCTTGTACCTGTAAACCATGTCAATATTTGAACCTCACTATCCTGTCCCGCAATGCTTGCTCATCAACCCAGAGAGTGGAAATCGACCTACCGTCATTCTCGGATGACCATAGACTCTCAAAATGCTGTAATTGGTCAGAGAAGCCCTTGAAAAAAACCGCTAGATCACCATCTACAAAGTCCGCACCTCAGACAGTGAAGAACATGTAAGAAGAGAGAATGTCCGCAAACCGCGGCACAGATCGTCTATCTAACCAATTTGGGGGGGACCAGACTCTGTTCGCATCAACGACGCCCGTTCCAATCCTTCCCTCCCCTTCTTTTCAGCCTGTACAGCGATCATGTGGATCCCTCCAAGCGAGTCCAAGACCGTGGAATACACGCTTCTCTGCTGACTCCATGTCCGGCGCAACAGAAGAAGCATCCTGTCGTGCCTTTTCTAGATCTACCCACGCTCCACTGGAGCGACGCCGCACCCCACTGCTGTCAAACTTGAGTCCCCTTCGCTTGCAGTACCGTCTCAAATCCCTCTGAAACGTAGTTCCTCCCGTCCAACCCAGCACCGTGCACCCGACCGTCTTCCACGGGCTGACAATGATGTCGACCCTGCGGTGCGGCGCTGGCGCGTCGTCGGAGCTGTCTGGGTCTTGCCAAACCACCAGCGCCTTGTCGAGCGTGTCGAATCCTGGGCCGGACGGTGATGTGCCATCAGCAGTGGTACCAGCGTAAGCTCCGCCACCGCCGCCGCCCTTCCACGGCAGGGGGACCTGCCCTCTCTCGCTATTGGCCGTGCTGAGCGTCAGCGTGTGCGTTATGTGCTTTGACTTCTCGAGGCCGGCAACCAGCTTCTCGACAAGTCTCCATGTCCGCCTCTCGTCCTGGTGGCTGATGATGATGTCGACGTCACCACTTTGTGCCTTGCCCCGTCGATAACTCCCGACAATGGTTGCCTGGTAACCGCTGTCCAGTTTGTGCGCCTCGGATAGTATGGTGTTGCCGATGCGCTCCACCTCGCTCCGCGGTATCTTGAGCTGCAGCTCGTCGTAGTATTTGACCCCAATCTGCTGCACGCGGCTGAGTGTCCGCCAGGCGTTTACGACGAGATCGTCCAAGTCCCGCCACCCTGCAGTGCCATCCCCATGTCAGCACATCAATCTTCCAGCCTTCCCAGAATGGATGTTCTCTACCTTTGTTGTAAAAGTCGCGGGCTGTCGTATCTCCGACGCCCCATATTCCATAGAACAGCTTCAGTGTCGACATCCTCGCGTCGGCTTCAGCCTCTGCGACCTCCCTGAGCCTTCCCGTCTCTTTCCACTGCTGGAAGAGATCGGCAATCTTGGGACCGCACCCCGGCAGCCTCAAGATCTCTGTCCACTGTGTCAGTACTTGAGCTTCCAGAATCCGAACGGTGTAAGGCGGTAGCAATACCAAAAGAACTACGCACGTGGTGAGGGTACGCTGCAACCGTGGCAATCGACGTGGAGTACGCCCTCACCCCAATCCCATCACCCTCCAGGACGCGAATCGTCCGCAGCTTCTTCATTTGCTCTATGAAGGCCGCATTAGGCGTGTCGACCGGCGTTGGCCGCTGACACGAGTAAGTCGTATGCAGGTAGTCTGGCACCGGCGGGAGCGGAGTGTCATGCTCTGATGTTGTCTCATGGACAAGAGACGGCGGTGGACGGCTTGTCCGGGGAGATGATGAGACCACCAGAGCTCTTTCCTGGTGTCCAGATACACGGGGATGGGACGATGGGCATGCCTCGGATGACGAGGGCGCCAACTCCGTTTCTCGACGTCCAGTCACGGGGCTGCTGGGGCTTGCAGGGTGATCCGATGCCAAGGAAACGGCAAGGGCCTGGGGCTGTGGTTTCTTCTGCCTCTTCCCTTCAAAGAGGAGATATTCAGCCACAGGGAGGACGACACCTTGCTCGAGAGAGTCCGTCAGCCACTGCAGCTTGACGACCTTGACCGTGGCATCATCATCACTCCCCGATGCCGCCCCCGATGCCGAGACTCTTCGGCGCTTAGTCGGAGGTGTGCCATCATTGCTCTGTTCTTGTTGCTTCGGTGTAGCAGCTGAAGTCTTCTCTTTAGTCGACAGCTTCAGCCGTCGAAGCTCGAACAGTGCACGCTCTCGGCGCGTGATCCTCCCCACAATCACTTCTGCCTCGTGCGTGTCCGATGTGAGAGATGGGACTTTGCTCTCCAGAGAGTGGAGCTCCTCGGGTTTGAGGTTGGTAGGGAGCAAGTATATATGTGGGAGGTTGAGGCTCATGGCCAGCACAGTGAGGGGAGAGAGAGGGACTATGGTGTATCAGTGATGAGGAGGGTAGTGGTGGTGGTGGTGAGTCGTCATCGATGGTTGTTGTCACGCGATACGCCGAGAGCCATTGAAAAGTATGAGTTCTTGACAAGTTCCGAGGGTTCCAAGGCGTTTCCCCGCCCTCTTGCTTCCAATACATACAAATACTAGATGTAAAGTGGAAAATAAGTTATGTGCTACTACTAGACAGAACCGACAGCCGACAGCTGCTTCTTTAATTAGTAGTCTTTACTGCCTTCTCCGTTCTTCCTGTGAACCCCACGGCCACCGTCAATGAATTCAGCCGTACGCGGGCGTAAATATGTACGTATGCTGTGTATATCGCTGCACCAATCAACTCCTATTGCACCGTTGCGAGGTGGTGTGTATGTGTATGCATATGCATGCGTTTATCTACTGTTGTAATGATGCGAGTAGTTTTTCGATGTATCTAGTACAATATTACTCTGAAGCCATTGTTAACAGGCCCTCAGACATCCTCAAATTCGAGTTCTTCATCATCTTCATCCTCCTCGCTGGCATCGCCAGAAGTTTTTGAAGGTTCTTCTTTCACACCTGGCTCAGTCTTCACCTCGGATTCAATCTTGACCCTCTTGGCTGACCTGTCGTCTGAGCTATCGCCGTCCCTCGATGGGTCGCCCGAAGCCTCTCGCTTTATACTCGGGGTTCCCGTCGTGCCCGCGCCGGAGCCACCACCGCCCGTTGCCGGGACATCCTCGAACTCATCCTCCTCCTCCTCCTCCTCCTCTTCTTCCTCGGACCCAGAATCGTCGCCCATTGCTTCACGGGCTCTCTCGGCGGCTTGCTCGGCCTTGAGTTTCTCGAAAATATCGTCAATCTGCGTGCTCGAATTACCGTTCGCTGTCTTGGGCTGAGACGTCTCTTTGGCACCGGGTTCCTTCTTAACAGTCGAAACTGCTTCTGTCTTGCCTGGTGCGGCACCAGCGAACGACTCTCCCGTGACTGTGCTGTTAGACATCCAAGATGGCAGGGCGTTTTGCTTCGCGATTTGTTCTTTGCGAGCACGCTCTGCCTCCTTCTCCGCCTCGGATGGCCCCTCTGATGTTGATATATTGACCGCAATTGACTGTGGTCCTGTGTTGGTCAAACCCTTGACTGCCATGGGGCGGTTTGCGTTCGGGTCGACAGCAATCGTGGCGGCGCGCTGGTGTGTGGCATCACGCACCACGGGACGGGCCTTGGCGAGGGCCTTGTCAAAGTCGCATTCGGGTATGAAGACGGCGTCGATCTTGGGCAACAGCTCCGTGATAAACTTGAACTGGTCGTTGAGACGCGTGGACTGCTCGTGCCCCGTAGGGTTCCGGTTCGCCTCGAATGTGAGATGGTGGTTACAGCGGTGGCATCTGAAGCCCCCATCGTCGGAGTGATCCAGCACCTCCATCATCGTCCATTCGGCCTCGCAGTGAGAGCAGAAGTACTCCTTCTTCTCGTCCGTCTGCACGGTAGTTCCCTGCACCTCCTTGTCTATAGTATACACCCTCCACTTGATCGCATCAATGGTGTGTCGGTAGTTGATATAGTACCATGTTCTGTTACTGGGCCGAGGATTCCCTTCTCGATATTCTGGCCTCGTGTGTCTTCCCTTCAGGTTAGCATGCGCTGCTGCCTCCTCCCCTCAAGATCCCGGTGTAGAAACGCACACTGTGAGGAAGCGGTCCTCTCTGAGCTTGCCGCAGATCTTGTGTAGATCCTTGGTGTTGATAGCCATCAGGTATGCCAGATCATCATCTCTGAGGCTATTGTATTTGTGAGTATACGTGTCTCCCCATGCGGTTGCGACACTCTTGGCAGTTGAAACTTACGTCTCGTGCAGTATCAGGGCATCGATGACCAGGATCTCGCGCGTCTGGTAGAATGCGCGCATCACAGACTTGACCAGAGTCACTGCAAGATCCATATTGTTGTTGGCCTCTTGAAAAATTATGCAAGGGGTAGGAAGAATCTAGAGGCTCGTGTCTGGAGGAGTCGACAAGTCGCTCGAGATGATGTGTTCGCGCTTCGTAGATCTGGGGAGCCTGCACGTAGACACTCCTTGCTCGCGCACGGGAGTTGTATTCGAAAGGGATCTTGTGCAAGGCGCGCTTCGGGATTCGAAGACTAGAGGCTGTCACAGCGAGGACGAAACGAGAGTCGGTGATCGAAGACGAAGGTAGTCGAGCATCGTTCGTTGGTAGGTTAGGATGCCTTCATCACTCCAGGGGATCATAAGCCGGGAGAGGTGCAGGCAACCTTGATAATGAAAAAGAAGAAAAAAGAACCGGCAACCGGCCCTACCGGAAGATGTCACTCCGTCTCTGGTTCGCAATTTCTTGTCAGCCCTCGAGAGATGTGGACGCTGGGTTGAAGGCGGCAAGTTTCTCGTTGGTAGTGATGCGCGCAAGGCTGAAAGCTTCTTTTGCCTTGAGCTGAGGCTGATGGGACGTTAGCCACAGTTCGGTGGGCCCGTGCTGGTCACTAGACTGACTACTTGTAGGTACCCATAATACTCTGCAAGAGTTATTAGTAGTAGTAGTAGTAGACACCTACGAATATATATAACAGGGCATCGTATCTTATAGAGTATTGTCCAGAGGGATAAAGAAGTATCGTATAGTGGCGATATATCAGGACCTTGAGAGGGACTACCCTTCTGTTCACCTCCGCTTTTTCTCACGTTGTGAATATCGTGCCTGAGGCTTCCTTGCGCGTAAGGCTCGCAGTATCTACGAGTATTAGCACTTCCAAGCCCCACACGCTCTTGCTTTCAACGCCTCTTTCTCGCTACAAATATCACGAGTTCATCTTTGACGTTGTTTAAATTTCTATTCATACAACACAAGCGTCCAGTATTCTCCCGGGACTGCTATCTGCTCTAGCTGGTAGTCTCTCTGGATAATCGCTAGCTCGAAGCATCTTTAACGTTGTCCACCATGAGGGATGAGTTCCAGGCGCGGCCCGAAATGCTCTTTGGAATAAAACCACGATTTTGGTTGTGGCCATAATGTTAATTGATTCCACGTATTATTGAATAGCGTCTTTGCCTTCCTCCCTTGAGGAGCTCCGACGCCGTATGCTAATCCCGAACTCAATGAAAGCTACGAGTAAGCCACCAAGTGAATAATAAAGGTATTAAATTCAAATCCCATACTCCTTCCACTTCAGGCACTCGAAGGAAAAGAAGGAAGAACAATATCACCCTCGTAAAAAAAGAAAGAAAAAAGGGTACAATGATGCTAACTAGTAGCGTCAAACAGAAAGAACTTTCCACACTGATGAAAAAAAAGAAGAGCAAACCCTGCTACTCATCTATCCTTTTTTTTCCCTCCGTTTCTCATCTCAAGCATTTCAAACTACGCATATTTCCTCAGCTAGAAGACTGTCAGCATTCCGCAAAAGTGTTCAATGGGAGGGGAGGAGGCAAAGGGGGGTGGTCATCTTACATCCAGTGTCAAAGTCCTCGAGCTATTGACCTCCTGGTCACGGTACACGCCGACCAAGCTCTCACTGTCCTGGAACAGACCAGCCTTGAGACTGATGACGACAAACTGCATGCCTGGCCCCGCATGCTCTCGGATATACTTCTTGATCTTGTCGACGTTGGCGTTGTCCAGGGCGGCGTCGACCTCGTCGAGAACGAAGAAGGGGCTGGGCTGGTAGCTGTGGATGGCGAAGAGGAGAGCCAGGGCGGCCATGGTCTTCTCTCCACCGGACAGATGCTCCATGTCGCGGAAGCGCTTGAGCGGCGGCATGGCGTGGTACTTTATGCCCGACAGGTACGGCATGTCCGTATCCTCTTCGATGTCGAGGTACGCCTGCCCACCGAGTGGGTACGCCTCAGACCGCGTAAGGTCTCGGTACACGTGCGTGATCTGCTCTTGGATGTGTGAGAAAGCCTTGCTGAACAGCTCGTACCGCTTCTCCTTTATCTCACGGAAGCTCTCCTTGGCGTCAAAGGCCGCCTTCTTCGAGTCCTCGTACTCCTGGTCTGTCTGTCGAAGGCGCGTCTCCACACCTTCCAGGCGCTCCATGGCACGCATGTTGGGGTTCAGCTTCTCCAGCTCTATGCCCAAGGCCATAATCTTCTCCGAGAGCGTCTCCTCTACCTCGTTTCCGTTTGACTGCATCGATGAAACATTAGCGCGAGTTGGCAATTGACGTATGCACCATCCATCCTTACCTCTTTAAGCTCGTCGTCGAGCCCCGAGTAGTCGATTTCAATGCCATGGTCGTCCGGTGTGAAATCCATCATGGCCTCATCATCGTCCTCGCCATCGACATCCATGGCGTCAACATCTGGCCGCAGCATGTCGTCTTCCACAGGCAAGTTGTCGAGGTTGCCGTTGAGCAGAGGGATCTGGATCTGCTCGAGCCGACACCTTCGCAGGAGACCTAGCTTGGCCGAATTACTCTTCTGGACTTCTGACTCCAGCTGCGTAATCTCCCGCAGGCGACTATCGATGCCTTTGCTCCTCCGTTGCAGCTCAGCTTTGGCCTCGGTCACCCTTTGGGCGCGCTCTGTGAGCTCCTCCTTATACTCCTCCAGAGTTTCGCGGAGTGCCTCCAGCTCAGCCTGCACCTGGTTGAGCTCTTCCTCGATCTCAGTCTTCTGCTGGGCGAACGACTTGATGTCACGGCTCAGACTGCGAATCAGGTTTTGGACCTTCTTAATACGGGCTTCCGTCTCCTTGTGCCGCGTCATCTCCCAGTTCAGTCGGCTCTCAAGTCTCTGCTTCTGAACCGAGTACTGGCTGCGCTTCTCCGATACCTCCTGCTCAAATTCGCCTTGGGACGCCTCGTACGCTCGAATGTCGCTGTAGCCTAGCCTGGAGCAGAAGCCAGCAAAGACGGCATCCTCGACGCGCGCAATGGCGTCCTTGTGCTTCTGAACATTCTTTACCAGCTTCTCCAGCGCCGAGGCGCTCTTGTCGTACTTAGGACGCAGCTCCTTGAGCTCCTTTTTCTGACTGTCGAGCTCACGCTTCTTGCTAGCGTAGTTCTTATTCAGGGCTACCAGCTCATCTTTGACGATGACTAGGCGTCGTTCGAGACCGCTTAATTCGGTTTGCAGCCCTTCTTCAACGGCTCCGCGCCTGTCAGCGCGGGGGAGACGATCGATGTCTTCAGTGAGCTTGTTGGCGATACGCTGGAGATTCTGAACGTCTGCTTCCTCGAATCTCCTCTTGCCATTCTTGTTCTCCGGGCCACGACCTCCAGTCATTGTTCCACTTTCGTGAATGACAAATCCATCCAGGGTCACGGCCTCGACAGGAGTCTTCTTGTCGTAGCAGATGTGCTTGGCAACGTCCAGAGAGTCGCAGACCACGGAGTTTCCGCAAGCGTAGGCGATGGCACGCTCAACGGAGGAGTCGAAGTTAATGGTGTCAATCGTCAGTCTCGCGCCGCTGAAGCTCTTGATGACTGTATTGACCGTAGGGACCTTGATGTTGTCCAGGGGAATGAAGCTCATAGTCGGGAACCTCTGCTCCCTGAGGTAGGCAATACAATCGCTGCCAACCTTTTCCGTATCGACAACAACCGAGTCAAAGTTCCTGCCCAGGGCCACGAGAACGGCTTCCTCGTACTTTTTCTGTTTCGGCTTACAGAGGTCTCCGACGCGACCGTGGATACCGGGGAAGATGCGTTTTAGCGAAGTCACCATCTCCTTGATCCTTGTCTCCTTGTCGTTCTGGCGACGGCCGTCATCAGCCTCACGTAGCTTTCGGGCAACATCCTCAAGCTTTTCCTCCAGCTCGGTACGCTTCTGGTTAGCCTCCACGCGCTCAGACTGCAGGCGGTTGAATTCCTTCTTCTTAGAGGCGATACTGCTAGACAGCTCGGAGGCAACGGACTGTGCCGTTTCTTTCCTCTCGTTGATAGTTGAAAGCTCGGCCTCGCTCTTCTCAATGGCAGCAGAAACGCTCTCCACCTTTCCCCTGAGGTTGTTGACCGTAACCTCGTCGGCCTTCCTGGAGCGCTCGAGATGCTCCAGCTCGGCCTGGTTGGAGGAGGCCTCAGCCATGACTTGGGCATGGAGCGAGTTGTACTCCTTTCGGTCGGAATCACTGATCTCACGGCCCTGCTGCTTCATCTGCTCCTTGATATCCTTTTCAAACACCTTCTCAGCCTTGTCAACACTCTCAATGTCCTTGTTGACTTTTTCGATGACAGAAACTTGCTCATCTCGCTCCCGAGTTATCCTCTCGATTTGTGAATTGAGCTGCTCCTTACGGCGTGTTGTCTCGTTGATCTTCTCGTCCAGGGGGATGATGGAGTTTTCCTTGTCCTCGATGCTCCTCTCCTTGTTCTTGATTTCCCGTTCAATCTGCGAGACCTGTCGTAATGTAGTGCTCTGTTCTTTGCGGGCAGCTTCCAGGCGCTTCTCAAAGGTTTCGATATCACGTTTCATATCCTTCAAGTCCTCCTGATGGTTCTGAATAGCGGCCTTGGATTCGTCAATGGCCTTTTGAGAGTGGTATAGCTTCCACATAGTCTGGGTGACAATGGCGGCGTCTCTCTCTTCCATCTTCTTCTGGAAATTGTCCGCTTCCTTCTTCTGCTCGCGGTACTGCTTGATCTCAGAGTTGATTCCGCGGCGACGGTGGAGCTGGAAGTTTTGATTCTCCACAGCCTGTTCGGCTAGAGACTGCAACTTTTCATATTCAGCCTTATAGTCCAGACTGCCAGAGATCTGCTCCACGAGACGGGTCAAGTCTTGTGGAGATTGCGACGCGATAGCCTCGACATCACCCTGGAACACGAGGAAGTTTCTGGCCTTCATGAGGATATTCTCGGCCTCGAGAGCTTCGTTGTACTGCTGGGCAGTGACAATGCGGTCATTGATGCGGTACTCGCTGGCGCCCTGGTTCGTGATAGAGCGCTTCCAGCGCTGCTCATCTCCGGCATCGTCCTCGTAGACGGCCATGACCCAGGCGGTCTTGGGGTCACCCCGAGAAGCTTTTTCTTCGCCATCGCCGCCGTCATTTGCATGTTCGGAAGGGTCGACTGAACCATCGTCGTTTATCTTGGACGTCTTCAAGACGCGGCCGCGGTACACAAGGTCTTTCAGGTGAGCAGAGCGGAGGTGTGAGGACTTGATACCGAGGACGAAGGAGATGGCATCCATACTGCGAGGAATGCCTGGTCAGAAATCCGGCTGCGACACAGTGACGCAGAATGGGCGACTTACGAGTTGGACTTTCCCGATCCATTGGGTCCAATGATTGAGGTAAAGTAAGAATCGCCAAACAAGAGTGTGTGGTGGCCCTTGTAAGACTTGAAGTCTTTGAACATCGTTAGCATCCTCTCTTCCTTTCACGTCGGAGGAAGGGTAGATTCCTACTAAAGAGCTCGAGGCGTATGAGCTTTCCCATGGTGACGGTTGTCCTGAGCGCTATGCGCTGATCGGGCGCCTAGACGCGAGCCTGGTTGTTTTAAGGGCGGTGGTCCCTGTGCCAGCTGTGCGACAAAGGAAACGTGTGTCTGCTCCTCCGAAGCTCAGAGGAGGGGAGACAAATCTGATATTGGGTATGCGAATAGATTCAGCGCCGCGTGTTATTCAAGGTGCCCGGTGGGTGCGGTCGCATATGGTGGTCAAATGTAGTCGCGTGGATGGCGGGGCATAACGGGTGCGGTTCTTGCAATTCAACAAATCGCTGTTGAGAGAGCGATGCGGTCGCACAGCCAGTAGAGCATCGAATGCCCACGTGTGTGAGGCAGTGATCGACTCGGACGAGCACACGAGGTTGGATGCGGGATGTACGCTCGGGGGGGTCGTGGCTACCACAGCGTACCAGGGTCGAACTTGAGGTGGATGGTGATGATGGGCGTGCACTGGTAAGTACAAGTAGCGGTCCTCGCGTGCCTGGGGAGTGGGAGAACGCGACGCGCGAATGGCTCGGTACTACAATTGTGTACCCAGTGCAGTACCGTCTAAAACGGCGGTGGTCTCGATAACGGAGAGGGAGATGTGCAATATGTACCTATGGAAGCACAGGTACATTGAGTGGCACTGAGGAGTGGAGACTGAGTGTGCTCCATGAAGTACCTTGTGGAGGAGGGGAGCTACCCCGTGTCAGGCTGCCTCAGTGAGCAATGTACCTTCAGATCCGAACCTGTGTTTCCATGGGAGGCTCCACCTCGCAGTGGCCCTCCAAGCCACAGCTGTGGCTAGAGCACTCCATATATGGATACCGTAGCACCCCGAGCCTGTAAAGTACGAGTATTACATGTGCAGCGTAGCTCAAGGGGTCCGTAAGTGAGCTCAGGATGTGTCGATCATACTAGAGCAATGGGCAGTACCAACCATCTACCCCATCACCTGGTGCATCGTATCTGATGGCTTTGGCGCGCCCACATGGCCTGATGATGGCATCTGATTCAACGGCAAGAGATGGCGAATGCCAAGGGGTAGTATTATAGTGACTGCGCGCCTGACCTGCTAACTCTGCACAAAAGGAGGCACAGTTCAGCTCAAACGCGAGGGATCCACTGCCATATTAGTTGAGCAATTCTTATATCTAATGCCGTGAAGGGCAATACCAACTCAGGTCAATGAAGGACTTCATACACGCATGTCCCTTTGATCGCCCATAAAGCGACTCCTAGGTAACTTTTCTATGGTTGAGCCAATAATCCATAGAGGTGAGTCCTATACTACTAGTACTGCAGATTTAGTCGGTATAGAGGTACCAAAATCTAGCTAAGTACACATTACTACATCGCCACCTACTTCATGGTGTGGATATCCCTACTTGTAATGTATTTGAATGTTACTCGGCTTGGACCTGAAGAATGGGCACTACAACCTGGGGCCGCCTTATGGCAACAAAAGAGATACTATTTTTACCACTGTACCAACTTGCTCGTACTGTAGTGCCCTCTGGAAGGTATCAGTAGCGGCTAGTAACCTTAGTACTCAACACTGCATCTTCGAATTATACACAGTGCCAGTCCTTCACGTCATGTACCCACAATAAAGTGCAAGTCGACTTGCAGCCCAGACGCAACCTGATCACAACGTGTGTGTCTCGGGTGGTGGATGACCAGCTGGCCGTTATCAGGGTTTCGCGCCTAAAGCCCTCTTTCTGTGTTTCCCTCCTCTGTTTCCTTCCCTCTCTGGCATTCCACGTGTACCGTTGGACCCCTCAACTTCAGCAGCCCGCGCGGGAAATCTGGCAATACTCTCGACTCTACCGATCATGGTACAAGACGACGATTCCTCCATGCCTACGCCAGGCGACGGCGGCTCCCTTGATGCGGTGAGCCCCGACCTCTTAGCCACGACACCCGGACTCGAAGCCTCGCCGCTGCTGAGCGCGTCGCCGCCAGACGAGGCTCTTCCCGACACGCCCTCCCTAGGGCCGACGACTCCGGGGCTCTCAAGAAACCCATCCTTCTCCGGCAGCAGCCATGACAACTGGGATGCCTTCCCGCCGCTGGACAGGCTGACGGTGCTGGACATACTGGACAACTTTGCGCTGCCGCAACAGTTGGAGAAGCTGCAGAGGGGCCTGTCGGCACAGACAGAAAAGGTTCGGCGGTCCCGGGATGCCTTCAAGACTAGGACGCAGGGGGCCCGGGAGCGCGTCGTCGAGGAGTGGAAGCGCCGCCTACCCGACGCCGACGAACAGCTGGAACGGTACAAGACTCGTATGCGCCGCCGTGTCGACAAGCTGGCGGGCCGGTGGAACGACACAAAAGTCATTACGCTGCGCGAGAAGATCTCCTTCATATTTGGCGTCATGAACCTCTTTATCAGCGGCTACCTTATCGGCGGCTACCCCCAGCACTTCCATCTGTGGTACACGTCGCAGCTTCTCGTCTTCATGCCTGCTCGCCTGTACACCTACCACAAGCGCGGCTACCACTACTTCCTCGCCGACCTCTGCTACTTCACCAACTTCCTCGTCATGCTCAGTTTGTGGGTCTTCCCCAGCTCCAAGAAGATCTTCACCGCCGCCTACTGCCTTGCATTTGGCAACAACGCTGTCGCCATCATACTGTGGCGTAATTCTCTCGTCTTCCACAGCTTCGATAAGGTCGTCTCCCTCTTTATCCACATAATGCCCTGCGCGACACTGCACTGCATCGTTCACCTCATCGATGCGGATGAGCAGAAGGCCAGGTTCCCCGCCATCTGGCACATCCGCAACCCCGAATCCGGCTCATACACCTCCTACACCTCCTCCCTTGCCATGGTTCTGTGGAGTTCCCTCCCCTATGCCTTTTGGCAGATGGCCTACTACCTCTTGATCACCGTCCGCCGCAGGGAGAAGATTGCGGCCGGTCGTCCCACCTCCTTCACCTGGCTGCGCCGGTCCTATGCCAAGTCGTGGATCGGCCGCATCGTCCTGGCCCTACCCGACGCCCTCCAGGAGCCCGCCTACATGGTCATCCAGTACCTGTATGCCTGCCTAACCATGCTGCCCTGCCCACTGTGGCTCAAGTACCGCTGGGCTTCGACCGCCTTCATGGTCGTCGTCTTCACCTGGAGCATCTACAACGGCTCGACCTATTATATTGATGTCTTTGGCAAACGCTTCCAGAAGGAGCTCGAGGCCATGAAAGCAGAGGTGTCTAAGTGGCAGAGCCTCGCTGAGACAGACATTGACGCCCAGTCCCCCACCATGGGGCCCCAGTCCGATGATATCCACAACGACGCGGGAGCTTCCCACGAAATGGCCGTCGGTGCCTCGGCCACCACTCTCAACCAGGAACGCCAGGCTGCTGCTGCTGCCGCTACTGCTGTAGACGAGTCCCATCCCAGAGTCAATGGGAATTCGGTACCTAGCATCGACTCGGCTTCTATACCCATGCTTGACGAGGAGGTCAAAGGCACATCTACTAGTATCGAAGCCCAGGGGACTCAGACCCTAGAGGAAAGGAAGGCCGGTAAGACTGGCATTGGCTCTACATAGTTCACGGTTCTCCCCTTTGTTTGCCTCCTATAGACAGAACACACATTCACACATGGTTACCAGTTTGCCACATTTGAAGCCCCTTTGTTTTTTGTTTTTTTGTTTTTTAGTCAGTGATCATTTTCTCGTTGGATTTCGTTGTTAATTCTTCTACTACTACTATTACTACTACTACTATTACTACTACTACTACTACTACTACTACTACTACTACTACTATTACTACTACTACTATACGTTATTTACCGAGAGCGATCCAGGTAGCAACTAGGATGGAAAGGAGTCAGTCAGGTTGGTTATTATTACTTATTTCTTGCCCTCCTATTTGGGGCTAAATAGTACAAATTGCAACAATGTGATATATATTTTTCCTTCTTTTGCCCGTGCTATGACGGCACGTGCCCTATGGTTATTGATGCGAGCAGCGACGTTGAATACATCTCAATGGTGAGACGATGTATTTTCGCAGACCTTATATTGTTGCTATGTTGTAATATGTGCATTGAATAGCCGAAGAATAATCAACGCTTGATACGCTTTGTCTCATAACCTGCCCGCCTTTCTCAGTTCGAGTGCCCCAGAGACATTATAATACCGAGTCCCAGTCCAGAAAATAAAAACAGAGGGCACTTATGCCATCCTATGTTTTCCATTCCTCCCAAGCCAAACCTCCCAGCTCCCAAATGCAACCGTGTGAAAGAAGATATCTGAGAAAATATTTTAGAAAACAAAATCCATCCGTTGAAAAAAAGAAATAAAGAAAGAAACCGCCTCATCCCCCTTTGCCATTATGCTGCCAACATGGAAAGAGAAAGAAAAAGAAAAGCCTTCAGTATTGTGGTGGGTTAGACCGGATGCCTTGCTCTCGTCTGTTGATAGGTCCTGCACCGCATCCGATGGAAAATTCAGCAGACCTAGTAAAGCAGAAATAGGATGGGCATCATTAGGAGGAAGAGATGACGTAGGCGAAACGGTATGCCGTGTATTGTTGCATCGCGTCGTGTGCAATATGGGAAAATCACCGGATCACACCCCAGTTTCCGAAACGACCGCCCGCGTCACCTTCTTCTCGCGCACCTGGTCGACGACCAAACAACGACCAGAACCTCAGTGTTTCGTCCCCAGCACCTGTGACGACGACGCGGCCGTCAGGGCTCATTGCCAGATACAATACACGGTAGGTGTGTCCGGTGAGGCTGGCAACCTGAGTCATAGACGGGTACTTCCAAACCACAATTTGGTTCTGGCTGTATCCGTGTGTCGACACAATCTCATTCGAGTTCTTGGACCAGGCGAGGTTGCAAACTTGGCTGCCAGTGTCGATCTCGTTGATGACAGTTCCCTTGACCGTGTCGTGGAAGATGATGCGTCTGTCAGCCGTGCCGCCGCCCGATGCCAACAGGCCTCGCTGATGCGGCGACCAGGCCATGGCCTTAACGGCGGCAGTGTGGTCGGAGAACTTCCACAGGGGCGTCTCTGATAGCTTGTCCCAGACCATGAGCTTGTTGTCATTACCACCGCTCGCCAGCTGACCGTCTTCGCAGTTCCATTTCAGTCCACACACTTCCTGCTTGTGCCCGACAAGCTTCCTCATCCACTGGTCCGGTGCCCGCACATCACGGTGATAAATGAGTCGGTCTCGTGATCCAGAAGTGAGAATGTGTGTGTTCCATGCGAGGGACCCAACACGGGCCGTGTGGCCAGTCATGGTTCGTAACCTCCTCGTCTTTTCCGCGTCCCAGATCTGAACAAGCCCCTTGCCTGTACCGATAGCCAGATGTGTTCCTTTCTGAATCCAAGAGACACTCGTCACGGTATCGTCTTCCAGTGTGCAGAGCTTGTTAACCTTACTCGTCTGAGCGTTCCACATATAAACACTAGAGCCGAGGCCGACGCCAAGTACATTTGCGCTCCCCCAATCCACCAGGTTAAGGTAAAAGTCATCGGCCAGCTCTGGGGCATCGAGGACCTTGTAAGGGACCTTGCTGACTGCTCGAGGCTGACGACGTGGGCTTAGAAGTATTTGTTGGCTATTCAGCCTTACGGGTGATAGGCTGTAGATCTCTGCCCGCGTGTCCAGGTTCGGACCATGACGGCTCTGTGGTGTCTTTGTTGGTGTAGGGTGGCCAGCGATGTGGTTGTGGTGACGTGGTGAGAGGTAGGAGAAGAGATTCTTGTGAGGTGTTGAAGGTGTCAACGAAGACCGAGCAGCGTTGTTGGAGCCCTGGGGCGGGGGTGTTCTTGACCTCGTCCCATCATGTTCGTCGTAATGAGAGACTGAGTGGAGTGTGTGGTCGGGGGATAGCGTAGGAGGTGTTACTTGAGGTACTGAGTCCTCGAACAGCTCGGCACGAAGCAGAGTTGAGAATGTACGGTTTGCTTCCTCCGCTATTCAAAGGTCAGTATTAGGAGCTCGCGGGGCGGCATGGAGATGGGACAGTCGCACTCTTCTGAAAGTGAAGCTCCCCTTGAGGAGTTCGCTTCTTCTGTTTTGATGGTGTGGCCGGTGAGCCGTCGTCATGGAGCAAGCTGAAGCTAGCCTGCAGATCCTGGCCAGATCGCGTGGGGATGAATCTAGGTACTTCGATCAGTTTTGAGAAGGCAGGATGGATGGTACGAAGACTTTGTTGCACTAACCGATCGCCGTTTATGCGTTGACGCTTCCTATGAGGGCTTGCGCTTGGCGTGCTCTCACGATGCGGGCGGCTAAACTCTCGCAGCAAAGCACTATCGACAGCCTCAGGGTCGAAGGGACTCGGTCGCGTGGGGCCCTCACTCATCCTTGCGGAGCTCCTTGTTCGACGGTGCATGTTGGTAGCGGGGTTTTTCTTGGCCTCAAGCCTCCCACGGTCGGACCGGGGCGGTGGAGTTGAGTCTCGAGGGGTATCTCCGAGAGGAGTCTGCTTTGCCTCATCCATGGCTGGTCACAGCTCTGAGGGTAGCAGAGAGGGGGCAGAGTCGTCAGCCCTTAGTGGAAAGACAAGATGCCTCTGGTTCGGTCGCTCGGCTTCGCAGGCGAGATGACACTTTTGAACAGTGCGTCGGGTGGTTGGGGTTGAACTGGAATAGAGGAGGGGGTTTCGCAGTAAGGTAACCGAGAACAAAGAGTGGAGGGTCCAATATGGCTGTAAACGTAACAATGATGGCGATTGAGAAGACGAAAGCTTTCTCCAGAAACTGGAAGGATGGCAGTCTTGTGCCCGCGCTTGGGTGCTCGACGTCGTCTATCGCAGGCTCTCGCTGGAAAAGAGGAGGGTGATCGAGATCGAGATCGAGGATGGCGAAGGCAGAATCCGCAGGTCGTCGAGATGCTTCGCTTTGAACTGTCCGACCCCAGAAATGATGTCGATATAATTAAGGTTACGGGAGAATACAGGACGTATTGGTTCGGGCGACGTGGTGGCAAAGAGGACAAGCGAGGCGGTTAGTGATGCTAGCGTTGTTATTGTTGATGTTGCCCTTACTCCTAGATTAGCAGTATGAGGATAATAGTACGAGTAGTACGTTGGTGAGGTGAAGGCAAAGCATGAGTGCAGGTGGCCGGGGGGCTGAGGTACCTACCTCCCAGCGCTGGAGGCGACCCGGGATGAGCATAATACCCACACATGGACTCTACTTGAGCAGGCTACCCACCGAAGTGCCCACCAATACAGGGGACAAGGAGCCCTGGGGAACCTCTGGCGACTCACCCCCCAGTCCATACCATTTTGGGCTCTGATGGCCCACTACGACGCCAACCCAGAGAACCAATAAACGCGGTACGACTACAAGACCCGCGCATCTTGACGGGAAAGCCGTTTTGTTTATCAAAGATATCAATACGAGTACCGCGCCTGTTTACTTATAATACAAGCTACATGTCTTACCACTGCATGTACAGACTACATATAGTAGTCCTCTACACATACCCGTACGTCGATAGCTCGCAGCAAATAGTAGCCAACTGGCCAGCTGGGAGATGGGATGATGCTTGCTAGTTCCCACCGACTATGAGTCCCCAGTACCCCGATCCTTGACCGTTTAACACTGGCACACTGCCGCATATTACCACCTAGATGCCGAGTGTAGAGTGGCACTACGTAATATTACCAGCGATTGTGCAGTATCATTGATCTCTCTACTTTGCTCCCATAGAGTCGACTTGAGCTGCCGAACGGCAAAGAGGCTACGCCAGCTTCTTCTTATGTTTACGCCATGGGAGCCAGTCTTGTCCAGTAGACATCCTAAGAATTATCCCTCTCTTCCCTCGCGTCCTTTCTGGGCCCATGGGTTGGTTTCCTGTCGCGTTCGCGAATGGAAAACAACACGATAATGTTATTGCCCCCTTACGGCAAGATTGCTTGCTTTTTTGTTGTTGTTTTTTTGTTATGTCAAGAGGGTCAAACCACCAAGGCCGCCTTTGTGGGACGTGTGTTGGAGAAGTGGCCGAATTGGTTGGCTGTCAGGAGCGCGTAAATGACCTCCTAGTCATTCTATGCTTTGCACAGTATTAATATTAGTTGCATGTTTTATTAGTCATTGCCTGATATTGGTGAGATTCGCACAGTGTGTAAAACCTCCTCCGGAACTCCCAGCCCCTCATGGCGCGAAACAGACGCGTCAGACTGGCGTCGTCAACTCAACTACCCTTGCTCGGGCCCAGCCGACTCAACAATTCATTGGCGAAAACCCCAGGCCTTCCTTACATGCAAGCCACGCTATGCTCTCCCTAGTTACGAATGGGGCAATGCACCCTTTATTATGGTGATCTAGCAATGCACCGTGATATGTTATACGGGCAAAGCAAGGACCCATTTAGCCCTTCCCCGATTATCTACTTATAATACCACAACGACTGACATCAGCTACTCGGTACTAGAATCGCAGGGCTGCGATTCAGGCGACCGGATATGGTCTTGCAACCAGCGACCCAAATGTCTGGTACATATGACAGCTTTAACCCCAGGTCCGCGAGTTGTAACAATATGCAACCTGTAGTATTACTGTACTAACATCAATTGCACACACACACATGAACTGTACTTATTATGTACAACAGCAGTTCTTTTAGTAAAACTGTCAAACCCCCTGTGAAAGAAAACATACCAATCAACACGTACAACAGCTATTAAAAGCCTGTGAAGTATCATTGCAATGTGCAGATTGTGGCCACTCGACATGTTGGCTCTTGACGCAATAGGTAATAGAAGGCATGCGAATGGATGTTATGACATGGAGTTGATATGCCTGCCTAAAGTTGCGCTGTGCGTCGGCGTTACCTTCCTAGTAGGGTCACTACGCAGAACACACCTGTCAGTGTGAGGCTTCGTACAACCCGAAAGCGGAAGGATAACTTGATGTCCTGTAGTCGCTGGAAGGTGAGGCTTCCTGCGATGATCTAGCTATTATGAGAAGGTGTGTGTCCGGCGGATTGTTCCGCCGGACCCGTGGGTCACGGGATCCACAGCGCTACTCGCTTGTGCTTTTCGCGGCATACATAACATTAGCTCATGTTCTTGGTAATACAAGTAGCGGTGGCCCATAGCTCGCTACGCATATCTATCAAAGTACTCATCTATTATTACTTGCTCTCTTTCTCTCTCCGTCACTATCCAGTCTCCTTTTCCTAGATCTCATCCAGTTGTTGCAACTTTAATTCGCTTCACAAGCGTTGCTCCGCCTCATGATAGACCGACCAGAGGAAGTCAACGCCTCGTCTGTGTAACCATTGTACATCGGCACTCATTCTTTCAATGTGAACTGATCGACTGATCTACTGACGACAACATCCACAGGCGTCATCTGGAAGCTGTGAGTATGTGAAATACGCTGTGGAACCGCGGGGAATGGATTGGGGAAAGATGGCGTATTTTGTGTTGCTGGAGGTGATGGTGTAAGATGGCAATGGGTGTCAAGAAATCGCACCGCAAACTTTCCCTAGGGTCTGGGGATGAGAGAGCTTGATTCGAGTCTACGTGTCCTACAATACTTCCAGAGCGTGAAACCTCACACTCATATAAAAGCTGCGGCAAATTCTAACATACAAGTATTATACAAAAATTCTCCCCCAGCTCCTACCAGGCCCTGCCACTTGGTCTCATTACCATCAACCATCCACCGCACGTCGGCAAGGGCCAATGCAACACCGTGAGCTTGGCCATCTGGCCGAGCCTGTAGCAATAGCGGTGGTTCCTCCCTAGGGACCCAGTTTCTGAAAGAGTGGCAGCACTGACAGATGTACAGAAGCATCCTAGAAGATAGGCTCCTGGCCTAATGGATCCCATGCAACTCCATCGTTAGACACTACTAATCCATCCTCAAATATCCGGCATGGGGAGCGCAACATGGTTACCAAAAGCGATCGTGTCCAGTTTTCGAGAGCCTACGTGCCAACCAAAGACCAGGCCATAAGAATCAGCAGCCCCGCCACAGACATGATCTTGGGCTATTCTGATGAGATGAATGCCCTAGTCAATGGCTCTAGAGCGCGTACCCTCCAGGCCTATATGATTAACCACCAACGACGGCCTATACTTTCCTTTCTTCATAGTCCAATGCAAGTCCAACGCCCGGGCCGGGTCGGAGAGCGACATTCATGCCGCCACAAACCAGTGTCAAGGGGGAGTGGTAGGATGCTGACGGGTTGTCACCCAGCTACCCACAAGTAGGGAACGACACCTGGTCCCTGGCAATCAATAATGTTAAGGCCTGCCTCTACCTCCCGCGGAAGGCCGACGACAAGTGTTAGACCAGCTGTGTAGACGAGTTCCTCATTTAGAAGCCTGAGAACTACCAGTTTTCTCGCAGGTCCATCAGGAATACTCGACTGGGGGAGGGGCTCCAGGCTCCAGGCACTCAGGGGTAATCTTGACTTGCTGGATCGTCAGCATTCTGCACATCGCAGCCAAACATTATCTGGGAAGGAGTCCTACAGGTGATTTTCCCTGAATATCGGCGTTCTCAACCCCGAGCAGGTTCGGTTGCGAGTATTGGCGCTTGGGGAAAGTCCGGTTTGAGATGGAGTTGCTCTCGGGCAGTGTTATTTCAATGTTGCGATATTAGAGTACATCCTAGATGGCTTACTCAAGTCCTCATCTCCCATCCGTGTTACATGTTGTTTACTTAGCATGTTTGGTAATCAGGGATCAGGTCGTCGTCAACTCGTCAATTTGTGTCATCTCTCGCCGCGCGTGGTATTATATGGAAAGAAACAGATAATACATAAAAGAATAACGCTTGGGCTGTCATAAAAGCGATATTGGTCCCTCATCGTGGTTCCCGACCCACTGGCATCGGTATAAAAAAAAATACATGTTTTTGCGGCTCAGACCGTATGCATGCGGGGGATGTGCGGGGGTCCTTGATAATAATCCTTGGTGGTACTCGTAATATCACCTTTTCCTATCTTATGCCTGAGACTCGGCTTGGGCAAGAAGGCGCTCCCGCCAACTGTTGCAGACCTCCTCGAAGCCTCCGATCACCTCTCCGCAAACACCAGCGCATTCCCTCTTCTGCAGACGCTCTCCCCAGTTGCCCCGGGTGAGCCACAGCTCACCTTCTTCACGCAGCTCGTCATCTCTCCTCACCTCTGCCACCAGTTCCTTAGCGCTCTTCAGACGCCGCGTCGCCGTAGCGGTAGTCTGGCGAGACATGTGCAGCGTGTCGGACAGGTAATTCAGAGTCTGTACCAGGTCTGCGGTAATTGCGTGCAGGCCCGACAGTGAGTCCAACGCTGCTGTTGATGGACGTGCCATTTCGTCGGACAAAGAGACCAACAGGGGAACCAGCTCTTCAATAGCCTTTGGGTCCGGCGCCGCCGTCATATGCGACAATATGGGGAAAGTGAGACCGTGCATTTGCCTGGTCTGGTGAGTGAGGTGCGTCGTGAGGGCAGAGTGCGCCGTGATCAATCTAGAAAAAAAAAGGTATGTGTCAGTCATTGCCAAGTAATAGATGCAGCTGTGGGGTGGACGAAAAAGAAAAGAAAGAGAAAAAAGAAAGCATACCTTGAGGCGCTGCCCTCGACAGTAGACTGAGACCCGAGGTGTCTGAGTGCCTCCGTAACGCGTTTGACGACATCATCTGTCTCCCCGCCGTAGTTCTCTGTGCCCCGCCTTGCTAGAGACTCGATGGCATCCACCTTGGCCACAAAGCTGGGTGCCATGCCGGAAGAGTCCAGATCGGACTCTGAGCCATAGTCACTGCCATCGTATGCACTCTTCTTATACTGATGGCCTTTCCGCCGGGTCGGTGGGACCGACAAGCTGTCCTCGCGGTCTCTCGATATCTTGTTAGGTGACGGGACGCCATCTTGTCCCGAGTTCTGGCCATCGGATCCTTCAGAAACGTTCCCATTGTCCTCATCGTCCTCAGCACCGTCGTCCCCAGAGTCTGAAAAGGCATCAGCAAGCTCGTCGGCCAGGTTACCCATGCCATTTCCTCCCTCTGCACCACCGCTCCCGAGCTCATTCATATCGAGAGTGCCTTGCTGGTTGAAGCTGCTGCTGCGGTGGCCCATGCTGGCGTCGTTGTACGGTCGCCTCTCTTGGGGTGAGTCATTATATGCGTCGACAGTAGATGAGTGTCGCGAGCCTCGCGGGGTTTGCGGTGAGGACATCGTCGTGGAACGTAGCAGTGAGTCAGGGGATGATTGGTCGGTGGGCAACCGGCGGCGGGGGGAACGGTCCTTTGTTTAGTGACCAGTTGTCGGATGGACCTGGAAGAAAGGAAAGTCGGGTGCTGGATTGGCTGCAATCAGAATTAAACGCCTTTTCCAGATCCCCAAGCTTTGCAGGGTCAGTCAAAGTGTTTATTATGAAAGTTGGAGGTGAAGCCTTCTGGCGTGTCGCTCTGCAAGGTTATTCATGCCTGTCTGGTCCGGTCTCCGTAGTTCCGTAATAATAGTGGGTGGGCCTACACATATCTGCCGAGTCGTTGAAAATCATGTGTGTGCATTTCCTTGGCGCAACCCGATGGTGCCCCTTCTATTACTGTTGTGTTGCACAAATGCATAACGCACACAAGAACCTCCCCCGCGACATTTGGATATAAGGGAAAAAGTTTATCTGATTCCCTTGCCTTTGATTCCTTTTATCTTTCCCTTCTAGGGGAGGGAAGAGCAATCATGGCGACCTTTAGACGATTCCACCCTCACGATGTCGACAAGTTCTCCAAATGCAATCTTGACCCGTTGACGGAAACTTACGAGTTGGGTTTCTACCTCCAGTACTATGCCAAATGGCCGTCACTGTTCCAGGTCTGCGAGGACAAGGATGGTAACATCATCGGTTACAGTGTGTTTGGCATGCGATCAGCCGCCCCCCCTCGCGGCGTGTGTTTTGTTTCTTGGCTAATTATATGTGTTTGCCCTTGCAGTCATGGGCAAAGTCGAGTCATCCCCCGATGCGTATAAATTCTCAGAGCACTACCTACCATGGCACACACACATTACCGCCCTGACGGTAGCTCCCGAAGCGCGGAGGTTGGGTATCGGAAAGATCCTTAGCGAACAACTCGAAACCGCCGCCGATGCCAACGACTCCTGGTTCGTCGACTTGTTCGTCCGACGGAGCAACGAACGAGCGATTACATTTTACAAGAGCATGGGCTACAGCGTTTTTCGCGTGGTAAAAGATTACTACGGTGATAATGCTCTGGACCCGAGCAAAGGCGGCGAGGATGCCTTCGACATGCGGAAGCCCATGAAAAGGGACAAGAAGCTACAGCATATCAGGGATGACGGCGAGAACCACGAAGTCAGCCCCGAGGACGTGTGGTGAGCAAGAAGCCCGCACTCTAGGCCACGGAAGTGATGAGAGGGGTCTGCTTCTGACAATATCGGCGCGACATTGCTCTGCGTTAAATAATAAAAATAAAGGTCATGTCCCCATATGCATGTTTCTGTATCTGAATTACTGGAAATCTGCGATAGGCAAGGGGCAAACGAGCGGCGAGTAAAGAGCCCAGCAATTAATACAACTACAACAGCGGGTCACATTCACATGTCCCTCAATGGACTGACAAGTCGTGGACTCTTATTCAATCATGCATGCTGTGCCGGTTAATTCGGCTTCGTCCCACTCGACCTCTCACAACGCGCTGGGCAAAAGTCGGGCATATGTTAGATGGCAGGTAATATGAAGCTTTGTTGCAACCAATATGGAGCTACCGCTGCATAATCATGCAATGGAAGCGCGTTGACTAGCTCCCTCTCACGGCCGACGCATCCAAATACTCCGTATACTGTCCCGGACAGCAAAAGCTAGCTTTCCCCAAAATATTGGAGCTCTAGTGGATATTTGGCAATACTTTCTCCCTTAGCTCGATGCCTTTCACATTCCTATACGGCCGTATCGTTCGATTAGTTTGATTGATCATGGTGGCATGGGGTACGAAAAAGGCTCTCTGCCTCCCGACCATTATCATCGACCATCTTGTCTTTTTTTGGGTGGAATTAGCAGAATCAGTTCTAAGGTTTCAGGACTGTGTGGGGTAATCCTATCAGGTACGACGTACTTTTGTATGAGTACACTCTCTGGGTGCAAGCGAATTGCCCTTGGTTTTGTCACGTAATGCGAGGTGGTGGGAAGGGGACAACCCCAATGCGAGAACGTAATTCTTGTCTTCGGTTGACATCATAGCTCTGGACCGTCTTTCCGTAGCTTAATGCCTTCGAGCTTGACGTGGTTTACATCGCCCCTTCGCTCGAAGACGCCATACACATACACAATCTATCAAAACGATATCATTCATATTTTTACTAGGTGCTTTCCTGTCGGACAGGTTGGATAGCCCTCAATGGGGATCACATATTTGCTTCTCGCCGTCATGGCAATGGGCACGAGCGCTTCTACCCTGCGCCCACCAGTCTTGCCGCTCCTCGTTCGCACCCCGTACCTCAGCACATGGCTTCCGAATGCGCGCAGCCCTCCATGGGAATCTTGGCCTATTTTCTGGACAGGTGAACAGGTAAGTAGTTATAACCTCCAGTGGGGTCGTCTACGGGTCATCAAGGCTAACTACTTCTATTTACCACCAGGTTGGATTGTCTGTGATGGTCTCGATCCCCGACAGTGGCCAAGTGTTCCCACTCCTCGGCAGACCACAAGACTCGCTCCCGTCCGACCTGCCGTACGTATCCTCCAGCTGCAATATCTATCATCGCTGCGGCAAGACTAACATGATATGACAATTCAGGCTGTCCGAACCTAAACATCACGACATCTCGTTCGATGCATCCACGACGAACATTACTTACCATCTGCAACTGGGTTTTGACGCCAGCGCGTTTGCCTATGTCACCTTGTCCTTCTTATCGCCAGTTACGCCTACTTCGGTTTTCCGCCAGTCTCTTCCCGCAGCATATGTTACCATCTATGTCGAGGGTCCGGCCAGAGTTAATGTGTATGCAGACCTCAATGGAAAATGGATCAGCGGAAAGGATGACAGTGCCATTATATGGAATTTCGATCAACGAGGCCAATCTCAAGCCTCCTCGGCCATCAAATCCTGGAAGGTCTCCCGAGAGACAGAGCAGTTATTCACCGAAACGAATGACCGGGCCGAATGGGGAACATTGTACTTCAGCGGTCCAGAAACTGCTGCTCATCAATCTGGACCCTCAGATCTCCTTCGCCAAACGTTTGCTCGACTTAAACAGTTGAGCAACACGACCGACGAGGACTATCGCCAGATCATGGATCGTGAACCAGTCTTTGCCTTCTCGACATCCCTGGAGCCAGGATATTACGAAGCCAGCGAGAAAAACTCTGTCACGTTTACCGTTGGCTTAGTCCAGGACCCTGTAGCGCAATTCGCTGCAGCGCGCGGCCTTACAGAGATGAGGCCGTTCTGGAAGTCGCTTATACCTGACGAAGCTGATATGATTAACTTCCACTACCATGATTTTGGCAAAGCTTCGTTTCTTGCTTCCAATTACTCGGCTCGGCTAGATTTCGACGCACGCTTGGTGGGATCCGAGAGCTACCCTGATCTCGTCGCCTTGTCGGCACGCCAGGTCCTCGGGGCTACTACTTTCTCAGGAACACCACAAGACCCGATCCTGTTTCTAAAGGAAATATCCTCAAATGGGAACTTCCAAACTGTCGACGTCATCTACCCAGCTTTCCCATTTTTCCTGTATACGAATCCGACATGGTTGACGTATTTACTAGAGCCCCTTCTCGAGTACCAACTGAGTGGACAATACCCCAGAAATTACAGCATTCATGACATTGGAACTCACTTTCCCAACGGAACTGGACACTCAGACGGAAACGATGAATACATGCCTCTCGAGGAGTGTGGAAACATGCTTATCATGGCGTTGGCGGTTGTTAATGCCATCGGGGAAGAACCTGTGCTCATGGAGCTTACTCCTTCTGCTAGCTCAGAAGCAGTCTTTCATCAGCCACTTCTAGCGGGTATGCGTTTTCTATATCCGCGTTTGTGGTCAAGGAATAGCTAACAAGACTATAAACAGGTCAATCGGGACCCAGGTTCGCGCGCAAGTGGGCCAAGAAGTCGTACAGTCTGTGGAAGTTGTGGGCCGACTACCTGGTTCGAGAAACTCTCATCCCCGAAAACCAGCTGTGCACCGACGATTTTGCCGGGCTGCTCCCGAATCAGACGAATCTGGCACTCAAGGGTATTATCGGGCTTCGGGCAATGAGTGACATCGCAGCCATTGTGGGAAACGAACAAGATGCGGAACACTATAAGAACATATCCGTGTCTTACATCAATAAGTGGCAAGAGTACGGGATCTCGCGTGACGGTACACATGCCAAATTGGGCTACGAGTGGTTTGGCTCCTGGACAACTCTGTACAATCTCTTTGCCGACACTCTTCTCTGTTTCCATAACCCTGCCAATGATCTGGAGGACGGAGAGGATACTACACAGTCGCCTATTGGAGCTAAACCACAACCTGAGCACTTCATCCCGGACAAGATCTATTCCATGTCCAGCCAGTGGTATCCCAACGTCATGCAAAAGTATGGACTGCCCCTAGACAGCCGCCATCTCTACGCCAAGAGTGATTGGGAACTCTTTGCCGCTTCCGTCGCGAGCACCAAAACCAGGGAAGAGATCATTGAAAGGGTTGGTCTATGGATAAACGAAACAATTACAGGTAAGCCGGTTTTCATACTTACAACACCAGAGGCAACCAAAAAGGCACGGACTAATTCCGCTGTAGATCGACCTTTGACCGACTTGTATGACACTGAAGGCGAGGGAAACTTTGACCCAGTGCCGTTCAAGGCCAGACCCGTTGTAGGTGGCCACTTTGCCCCCCTATCCCTGCAGCGAGCGTGCAATGGCAGGGCCCTGAAGGGACTTCGTTTCTTGGATGTAGAACAGCGTATAGAGGAGACCTCGACCGAAGGAAAACCCGTGGGGGAGAAATCAGCATCTGGGGAGCTTTGAGTACGCTGACTTGTAGTGGAGCCCATCACTCAACACAAGCTCTGCTTTTCTTTTTCTTCAATTCTTTGTTTCTGCGCGCAATATTAGAAAGCATCTTGGAAAGATGTTGGCATTCACAAGGCCAGTAGATAACATGTGGAAAAGGACATTGGGGTGGGATACAGCGTGTATAGAACAGTGCTACTACTTGCAATGCTCTTGGGTTCTATACATGTATTCAGTCCCCAGGGAATAGATGCATGAAGTCTTCGTACCCACTGCACTGCAAACCTCATGCGAACATAACTATCATACATTTGGATTGTCAAGAATGCATGCAATGTTTAGTGTAAAGTGTAAAGTTCTCCGCCCAGCTAACGCAATGGAATTTATCCAAAGTCGTAATTGAAATCGCATTTTACAGTGATTGAGATTGGATGCAATCGCTTGGATACCCTTGCTAATTAATACCACTTGCGGGAGAAAGATGTTGTGTTTCAGCTCAACAAAGGCAGGCTTATTTCCAATAATACGTGTACCGTTATTGCTCCACGAGGTCCTGTTAGGTGGATCAGTCAAGATTCACGCAATCCGCCTAATCTTCGGCTTTATTACTCATGTCCTTTAGCCGCAAATGCACTCTGCAAGGCTGCGTCGCCTTGATTTTCTCACCCCTTCTCAAAGCTTCTTCCCATCAACCTCAGCTTGGCATTGGAATCTTTCATCACCGTCTGAGACTACCGCAACAGTACGAAACGAAGCTGCCAATATGGCGACTACGGCTATGGACTACGAAGACGCTAACGGCGATCGCTACGAAGGTACGCCATTGCACCAGCATCCTGACTCTTCACGACAATGGCGACGGGCTATGAGCACCGTGACGCGTTCCCTTGACCTTCCATCAAACTGACAACATCCTTTTCCTTGCAGACGACGCTCCCCGATACGAGCGCGATAACAGGAGTGCGTCTCCTCGTCCCGCTCGTGACGAGGGTGATGGCCCCCGTCGTCGCTCTGCTTCCCCCAACGGCCGCGGTGACAGGTAAGTTCACGACTTGTTTACCGGACAATGCATACGACTTAGTTCGATATGACTGACGTTTGAAACACTGTTCCCCAATAGCGCTCCCAAGGAGTCTGGCCCCAAGGACGAAGATGATGACGGAGCCATTAACCCTGGGTCGAACCTGTTCGTGACTGGCATTCACCCGCGCCTGGTTGAGGAGGAAATCATCAAGATGTTCGAGAAGTACGGAGATGTCGAGAAGTGCCAGATAATGCGCGATCCTCACTCCAAGGAATCCCGCGGCTTTGGTTTTGTCAAGATGGTCACTCCTGATCAGGCCGAGGCTGCCAAGGAGGGACTTCAAGGTGAGCAGTTCGAGGGCCGTACTTTGAGTATTGAGAAGGCCCGCCGTGCTCGCCCGCGTACACCTACGCCTGGCAAGTACTTTGGCCCTCCCAAGCGAGGTAAGTCTTTCAAACCACCACAGCCTATGCCACAAGCACTCCGTTAACATTGTTGGTAAGACCCCCGTCCTCGCTCTGATGACCGCCGCCGCGGCGGCGGCAGTGGGTACGGTCGTGACGATTCCTACCGCTACCGCGGCTATGATCGTAACTACGACCGTGGCCACGAGCGCCGCTACGAAGACAGGAGCTACGAGCGCGGTGGCTACGAACGTGGAATGGACCGAGGATACCGCGACGACAGGCGCTACGAGGACCGTGGTGGCTACGGCCGCGACTACGATCGAGGCTACGACCGCAGGGACCGCGATGATGGCTACAGTGGCGGCGGCGGCCGTGACCGCTACGCTGGACGCGAGGACCGTGACCGCTACGCTGGCGGTGGTCGAGGTGGATACGACCGCGACCGCTATGACCGTGCCCCCGAGCGTGATGCCCCCCGGTCTCGTGAGCCTCCTGCCGGAGGCTCAGGCTACGGTGACTCTGCTCCGCAGGCCCGTGAGTCATACGGAGGTTCGGGCTACTACTGATTGATCCGCCTACCGTTCCCGCTAATTTTTGTAGGAGCTCCCGATCAGGCGATGGGATGAGTCGATGACCTCCCCCATTCGCACTCGCGTCAAAGAGGCCCCCCCGACTTTGTTCTGTATTAAAATCAGAACCCTCCTTTTTTCTGTTTCTTATGTCTCGTGTCTTTCAAGGAGGGTTCTCCGGGCCTCGCAACCATTCTATCTAGGGTCGAAATACTTCCGGAGTTGAGTTGCGATTTGTCTTGAGTTTTTAGGGAAAGGATAAAAAACTAGGGTTTCGTTTCATCGCCGATTTGCATCGTTTTGGAGGTCGGCATTTACGACAACGAAAAAAAGAAACGAAGGGTTTCATATGGACCACAAGTATGACAGCCTTTCGGGTCTTTGCAGAATCAAAAAACAACATCCATCAAACTCGTCAAATTTTGCGACAGCCCCGTATATGGAGGAACCGCTACCATCATCATCAGCCCGCTTCAGCACACACACACTACACACCCCTCCAGAAAATTTCGCCTTTAACCCGAGTGACGCCTCCCCTTTCGAATTTCCATTTCCTTCCCTTATAAACGAGGACGACCTTCTCGGACGTTCCTCGCCCCCCTTCTCTGCACACCCCACGGCTTCAACCAATTGTCTGGGCGTACAAAGCAGACAGCCTTTGCAACACCTACAGCTGGACACGCAACTTTGCGACTTAAGCACGTCCTTGTCTCCTTACTAGTTACGCCTTCAACATTCCTCTTGCAAGCCGCCTTGATACGTCACCACCACGCCAGTAAATTTGTCGCCTTCTCTTCCTGCCGCCGTAGCACCATCTCTTCTGAAACACCGTTTCCCGCTACTGCCGAACGTCACGCCTACCTCAGAACAGCCTAACCCTTCTTTTCTAGACTCTTATTAGGTTTCTTGGGAAGTCTACGAAGCGTATTGTCGGAACGGTTGGACACGACAGAGCCGAGTTCATACGAGACTATCTTTTTCTTCAGTGCTCTTCATGTTCAGTTTTCCGAAATTGGCCATCTTGGAAGGAGAGTGTCGTCCAAGATACAGCCCCGGCAAGAGTGATTCGTTCGGCCCTTTCCCGGTAAGCTCTTATGGCGTGACAATAGTATTAATATAGAACGGCGGCGACAAGTGGCTGTTGTCTTCATCAAGAGACAGAGGGTTCGAGGGGATCCTCGAGAGCAGGGAACGCCAGCCTGAGCCTGGGTTTCTTTCAGTTTCACGTTTTGGTACTTGCTTCATTCAAAGGAGTGTTTATCCACCCTTCATCTCCCTGGTGGTCTAGTCCCCTCGTTCTATTAACTTTCTGCAGGATGTCACAAGCATAACATGAACCTGGGTTTAATCAGGTGGACAATAGAGGCCTACGTAGAATCGCTTATACTGTCTCGCTTGCACTTGTTTATATGTCCATTTCAACCCGACTCCGCCCCATCGTTGCGGCTGACGTTGGCCCCAATCAGCCACCCAACCCCAGATACCAGTGTTCCCGTTGCCGCTTCTCGAAACTGGTCTCTCCTCCTCACACGCTCCTCCCTTTCTTGGCCCAAAGGCTCAAGGGTCTTGCTTTGTGTGCTTCCATGAGCCAACCCTTTAAGGCTAGACAACGATGTCAAATTCCTCTGCGCTATCCTCGCCGTGGCTCGCGACAAGTCGAAAAGCGACATTGGTGCTTCCTCTGCCTGACGGGCGGCGGCTGATACAGGCTTGTTACGTGACGGGTAGGCCTTGGTAGAAGTGGGCATATCGTAAGATCCGGGTAAATTTTGCATGTCACCGGCTGTATCCCATGCCGCTTCCCTCTCAGCTTCATCTGCAATGGCGGAGTCGAGCTGCTCCTCGCACCGTCGGAAAACCTCAAGAATGGGTTGGAGTTGGGATGCAGGGGCAACGCGTAGAGCTGTCGCCAAACAGTCGAGGCGCTGCTCCAAATGACGAATCTCGGGGTTTGCGCTTGATGTACCCAGGTGCGTGGGCTGCCTTGTATTCGACGTGCGAATATACTCGCCAGCCTTAAGCGCGGCTTTCCACGACCACTCATCTGCCGTCTGGTCCAAATCTCCTAGGCGACTAGCCACGTAGGAGTATGCGGTCTCGAAGTCGTCTTCTCTTAATGCAGCAAAAATGCACGCAGCCACAATTCGCTTCTCTGCCTGTTCCATTGCCGCATCTTGCTTTTGGGGATCAGGAGAGACCCCCAACTGCTTCTTATCGTCGTTGAAAAACCCAGCGATGATCATGTTCATGCCGATTTCTAGGAACTCTTGTAGTCGAGTGTAGGCACCGGCGTTCTGTTCGAGAACTTTGTCGATAATTGAGATTGGGTCTGAATGTACCCGAAGAACGACGGGCCGGAATGGTTCGCCCTTCTTCAGAACTAGCCTGTAACCACTGAGGGAATGCGCAGCGCTCATCAGAGACTCAATTCGCTTGACTGCCGGAAGTGTCCGTGGCACCATCCTCGGGAGAGCATGCATGCTGTCTAGCGTTAGTTACTGTCAGGCTCAAAGTCGTGGGTTCGGACAATCTCACATGTCATTGCATTTTCGAAGGCCACCCTTTGTTCTGTTCGGGTTAGATGCATGGTCAAATGCGTCCAAGGCTGCGTGGTAGACGGCATCCTGGACACTCTCGTCCGGAAGTGGCAGATCTGTCACATCCTCATACAGTGACTGGGCCAAAAAATAACCTGATCCTTGTCAATTTTGGTAGGCCTCGCTATAGGTAATTGGTACATACGTGATTGAGAAAGTATAGCCTTGAGAAGTTCTACTTCGATGTCGTGTTCGGGTACGGCACCGAACACCCCTTTCCCAGCAGAGTGGGATTGGATGCTATCGGCATGTACGCCCCAGTGATGAAGCCAAAGGACATCGCGGCGAATGCGAATCCAGTAGTCATCTCCTTGGCTTAGTGCCTGGTTGCATGCGAAACGAACAAGCCTCACGAGCTGGGATTTCTGGTCTCTTTTGTCACCAAGAAGAGCTAAGTCACCAGCCTTCTTCACCGAACAAGGGATGCCGAGTTTAGTAAGTATGAATGCGCTCAGAACGAGGCCAGTCAAGAAGTCGACAGCTTGCGGTGTCGGTTCTGTAAATGGGTTATTTGGTTGGAGGAGGTTGTTTCTCAGGAACGAAGGTGCCAGTTGTGTTGCCTTGAGATTGCGTATTCCCGCTTCAGAAAGGTTGGGGAGGTCTTCGGCTTCTTCTTGGGCTGACGATGACGAAGGCAACCCCAGAATGAACCTTGCCTTTCTCACAATAGCGTAAGCACCTTCAAGCGATTCCATAGTAGATTCCGACAGGGAATATACCGAAGCTAGAGCAGCCTTGGTATACGTTTGGTCGAGATAATGTAGTTTGTCTTCCTCCAACTCTAGCCTGGCTTCATCTTCGAAATCAACGTCTCGAGGTCCATTCCACTGTATGATGGCCTGAACTGCAACAGGCCATGACCGAGAAGCCTGGAGGGTCAGCCATTCCAAGACCTGTTCCCATCCAGCACACTTAAAACCAGGTTCTCCAGTACCCTCTTCCAACCATCTCGCGCTGTTGTAAAGCCACGGGCTCAGGAGGCCTCTGAGATCTCTACCAATAGAATCATATCTGTCTTCTGAAAGTCCTGTCTGTGACAAGAGGTATTGGACAGCAGAGCGGTCAGAAAGGCCCTCGAACGAGGCCAGGGAATGGGAGCCCTGAGTGTAGTACTCGGAGTTTCTCCTAGAAAGCGGAAGAAACGTAGAGGCCATCCATATTTTGATACTGGGGGCGTAGTCGACAAAAGGAAGAAGTAGGTCGGCAACATGGTTAAGCATACCAGCCTCTTCGTCCATCCGCAAAGCACGAGAATGAAGGAAAAGCACAAAAAGATCTTCTGTATCGCTAGTAAGAGAGACAGATTGGGAGAGTTTGAGAAGGTGAAGCTTTCGTGCCCTCTTGGATGCTTGGGCGTCTGTGATATCTTCAACAGCGGAGGTGTCAAGAGAATACTCTGGTTGCTCGTCCGCCGAGACATTACCGCTAGCCAATTGTTGTAAAAAATCGGTGTAGGAGTGCGGCGGGGTCGTCTCAGGAAGATAAGTGAGCAGGATACGCAACACAAGCTCTGTGCTGAGGACAGACCTGTGCTGCGATACGAGATGTTGTAGTGCAGCGATGTCGGCCCGCGAAGCATAGTGCGCTGCAAGCAGCACCGCCTTACTAGGCGGAAGAGACAAGCTCATTGTTGTTGTAGAGTGTTTTCGAATCCGTCGAGGATCAAACGGCAAAAGGCCGTGCGTTGGACTGGGCTGGTCCCTTGTCCTGCGACTTATAGCTGGACACGTTGCTTAGCTGCTGTTGGCTTGATTAACACCAGATGACGGGTTAGACGAACTATTTTGGCATTCAATGCCAGAAGTATGCGCAGGGAGCCAGCGCGGCTTCAACGAGCGGGCAAATCAGCATGGAGGGTGTACAGTTTGTCGAAGGTCGAAGGAACGTGCAGTTGCAGCTGTCATGGATTTGTCCCAAAGCTATCGTCGCCACCTTGCGCGCCGCACAACAAGCATCACAGGTCGTCATATGGTGGTCCCATCGCTTAACAGAGATATGAAACAAGCGGGGTTCAATCTGCCCCAATTATGGGACCATGCTGCCCCATAACTGGTAGTATGCCGAGTATTAGCCGAAGTTTGACCGTGTGCTTATCGTTAGTAATTGCCAGCTCATGATTGATGATAGCCGACGACTACCCGCTCGCGACCCATCATCATCTACTTAGCGAACTGAAGCATTGCAGGACGCATTATCTTCTGTTGCATCATGGCGTCTGGTTATGGCATGAATGGCGGTGAGTTTCATTATACCGAACAATTGGCTCTGAACTAGTCGCAGAATAGTCAGATCGTGGATGGGGACGTACTAACGATGGCACCAGGCGTTGGCCGCTGCTTTCCCTTCTGGCAGGAGGTTCTGGGGTGTTACGTCGTAAACACCTCGGCCGAAGACGACTCCGGAAAAAAGAAGTGTTCTTTGGCCCTCGAGGACTACTATGAGTGCTTGCACCACAAGAAGGAGGTCCGTTCCTCCATCTCGCGTCGTTGACGCGCTGCTCCAAGTCCCCAAACCATGACCTTCGGGAAGCTGACATCGAAACTATAGCATGCTCGAGCTGTCGCAATTCAATCCGCCTACAACCATCGCGGCAACACGGCCGCACAAGAAAATGCCCCGAGCGTGAGCCAGATACGAAACCTGGGGTTATTGGGTAAGGAGGATGACACGAAAAAGGTGCTTGGAAGCTCCTAAGCTGGCACAGTCATATCGACCAGTTGCTTTATTGTTATATATCGGAGACTATGCAAGCGGAACACCAGTTCTTACCATGTGTTCTCTGCGTGATTATTGCATCTCTTATGAAGGACGCCTGATGCGCATCCCCGAACAATTTGCTAAGTGGCACAAATGTTTTGAAGGCTTGCTTTTGTCTATTGAAATAAAATCAGCAGGGAGACACTGCATGTGTTTTGCCTTCCAGGAAGTGACATGTCCTTGCTAGATACCCGTGCTCTTCCTTGAACAGGAAAGAATGTATCTACGAGTGTCGCCCCCATGTAGACCATGAGTGTCCATCTACGCCAACATCGCTCCATACTCAAGATATACTCATGTAAGTCTACGGGAGTTGGCAGTCTTTGATGTGTCTCTGTCACCAGAAGAGGGGCGACTCCAGAAGAACGAGCTGGATCAGCAAATAATTGCGTATCTGTATATAACCGGATACATTAGTCCTTCAGCCACGACATGAATCATCACTTCACTCTCTTCCGTTAGACAGTTGGCGTTTGCACATGGGCATTCAGAAGAGCCCATGTATTATCTTCAATATTCCCAAAATGAGCTCATGGTCTCAATAACTTCTATTCCCGCACGTTTGAAGTCTAAGTATCCAGAAACGGGCCGATTACCGTTCTCCGCGGACCCAGTTTCTACACCGGGGCCATCGCTGATTTCTAAAATAAGAAAGATGGCCACCAGATAGTGCACGGTTTCTAGAGAGGATTAACATCACGAGATCATTCATGGATAAGCTTCGATATAAGTCAAGCGTCCGAGTACTTTGATGTCGTCGGATATGGCTGATCACTAGCTGTCCACATGCCACACCCTACAGGCTTGTTAACATCTCATGATACCAGTTCGCACGAATGGACAAAAAAGCAAGAGGAAGGAAGAAAGCCGCCGTCATCTGTTTGACTACGTACTCTGAACAAGAGAAAGAAGATTAAAAAAATACAAGAGAGTTATTCCCAGACACCTCACACCTTTGTTGCTCTCCATCGTCCCGCAACCAGACCACAAATGTCACCGGACAGGTTGCACGTCTTCCTTGTCCGTCTACTACATATTACTATCTTCACAGAGAGGCTCCGAAATATACGTCCCTGTCTATTCAATGGATTCATTGATGCAATACGAGGCTACTTCCTATGATGATTAACAACATTCCTTGACAGATGGGCGACAGGACACAGGGAATGAAAGTAGGCCATGAACGTTTGGAGAAGGCAGTCTTCAGATTTTCAACAGCAACGTGATCTGATTTTTACCTTTAATCTGTACCAATTCCAACAAGAAACCTGGGGGAGAAAACCCATACCCGGGATCTTTCTGGGTATTGAAGTCTGCCTCAGACACTGAGTCTTTGGGCCAGGGTAGGCAGCTCCAATTACTCGAAGTTTGCCCACTCACTGATGGCTTGACGCACATAGACATGTAGACACGGTGACTCATTGCATATATATTCAGCCAGATGTCATATAGGGTTCTCAGACTTTTCTAACGTCTTGTTTGCGACATCGCTACCCCCTCCCTTTCGGTTGAATTATGACTACAAAAGTACCCGAGCATATCCCAGGGGGGATCCCGTTATCGAAAGCTATGAAGTACAGTCAAGTCAAAGGGCGTGATGATTCTAGCAAAAGAACCTGTGTAAGAGTTAAGTTGTCGTTAACCTCGTTGAAATACCACAAGGGATTTGTTGCGGAAACGTTGTTTTATCAAAGGTTAACCCACACTGGCAAAGCTGTCCAAAAGGCGTATACTCACATGAGCAAGATATATCCATGTACGAGAAGGTATGGGTCGCTTGGCTTCAAATGGCCTGAATGATTGGCTAAGCCTCTCTATATTCCATCTGATAGCCCCCCTATTACTTGTATACTGCAAAAGCTCTGTGTGACCTCCTCGTCATTGCGACGTTGGTGTGACTCGAAAAAAATAAGTTACCAAGCCAGTTTCCACAATCTGCACTCTCGATGACCGGCTCCTCCTCGGCGGTGGCCGGGGCAAAGGCATTCAGAGGCGGGAATACATTTAGCTTAACTGTGGGCCATAACAGGTCCATTCGACATCAATATATGTGTAAAGTGGCGGGAGCAGAGGATAGGCTCGTGGAGTTGCCTGGATTGATGGGAAATCGGGGGGACACGACCACAATCACTAGTAGGCAGATAATGATTTACAACGGCATACATGTACATTGTCCTCCCAGGTTAGTTTTGATGAGCCTTGAGCTTTAGGTATCTCGTGGGGCAACGTCCGCTAGCCCCTTTTACCCTTCCCCGAGCTCGTCATCTGCCGGGGGAAAATCAGCATCAGCATTCGGAGGTGGCCACTTGGACGAGTTTGATATTGACGGTCAGTTGAATCTATTCGGTTTCCGCCATGAATGTGAATCAGATAACCTCCAATAATGCAGTCGCTAGAGATGAAGAAATGTCTCCAGCGCCGCCACCAATAGCCCTATGGAGCAGGTAGAGGCATCTTTTTGGCTTGTGCTGGTTCTGAGCCACTGACTCGCAAACCTACGATAAAAGCATTATTACGAGACGAATTAAGGGCCTGCGCTGTTCTACCCTAGTCTGTGTGCGTGCCCTCACTCTCCTCGATGAGCCATGTCGTCACGGTGTAAGATGCCCGATACTACTTGTCGTCTTGTACTCGTATGCGTTTTGATGGGAACAAAGCTCCGGCCACTCTTGTCTTCCAGTCGCGGCAGCACTATTTTCTCTTCGCGTTCCCTTTCCTGGTCAAGGGTATGTCGTTTTCTGTCACATTGTGTTCTATGAATTAAGCTTCCGTCGCAAAAATGAAGAAAAGGCCTTAGGTGATGGTGTGCACGGCCCGGATGATATGACATTCTTTTTAGCCACCGGGTTATATGGATAATATCGATTGACAGCACGCTGACAGGAGTCGAAAGAGCCATTGTAGTGACCACACAAAAATATTCTCTTAGACTTGTACTGTTAGTATTTGCTAGAATAATGGTTTAGAAGGTTGGTAGTCAGTCCTGGAGTTGGAAACAAAACAATGAGGTGAGGCAATCAATGCAACAGATTCATCAACATTGCTTCGTACACGCGCATATATGTACAAGATTTAGCTGTATAATGCTTACAATGTGTGAAGTATACGGTTTAGTAATAGGAGTATATTTTCTACTAAAAAGAAAGAAGAAAAGAAGAGAAAAAAGGAAGGGGGGTAACAGGGTCCAGCTGCATGCCACGACTACTCCGTAATCCGTGCGTACACCTGTTGGGCTTAACTCTTCTCAACCGCAAAGCCGGAATACCGAAAAGACTCGACAATACCAGCCAGATGTAGTCCAGTCCCAACAAGAGGGGGGGGGGGATTATGACAGCCAGCCCAAGATCGACCGAAGTATCCCAGCTAATCACCCAAAAAAAAGCAATGTTGTTAGTACGGGTGTCCATGTTATTAATCTATGCCAGGCAGGCGATTACAGCGACAAGTTACAGGCAAGACATGATTCACCATGAACACAGGTATCTAGGACCGGCTAGCGGGCCGGGATACAGGCCAAAAGACTGCTCGATGCGTATAGAATGCATTCACTATCTGGCCCAATTAGTCCAAGCAAAAAAGAAAGTGACCACGGAGTGAAGTTCAGTGCAGCATGCAGGTCACTTCGGCGACCTGAACCCTTGGCGAGACAGCGGCAGCGGCCCCTCGAGCAGGAACGAGTACGTATTATTGCACAAGTACGTAGGTACTACGAGTACTACGCTGTGCTACTACCAGGGAGTAGTAATCCTGCGAGGATATGTATGCAGCAATATCAACATGGGCTGAGATGCATAGAGCCAGTCAACAACGCAAACAAAGAAGCCGCCAACGGAGTGTGTGACTGAGGATAGTCTTCGAGTACGTTCGACTGTGCCAATCTCGAGGCGATTGCTCAAGGCCAATATCGTTTTCTGAGTATGTAGGACCTACATTACGTCGTGCTCTGTAGGTTCAAATCGACATAACGGAGCGGGACAAGTTTCGTCCTAGTGATATGATACACCATGCACGGTTTCGACGTTTCGCCCACACTGGCCGTATTCAGCCTAGGACTCCCGTAGTCCAAGCCGACTGACTTCGTGGAGTGCTCCACAGCATGGTCAATAATCAGTATTGACCAGCAAGCCCCGCAATACTGCCTATCCCTGGGGTTTCTTGCCGCCGCTGACCGGTACGTAGACACCCTTGCGACACAATGACGGCGGCCTTCCTTCCTTTCGTTTATTTCTCTTCTTTCTTAGGAATGCCACAAACACACTGCTGACGAGTATTTGGGTTCGCACTTCTGCGGAGGGGGGAAGGGGGGGCCTTGAGCTCTGACAGGTCCGACGAACATCAGTAACATGTATGACGCAGAGTAGAAGACGGAAGAGAGGACGCCATCAGGGGTGGCCGATCGTTGTTCAAAAGCACCGCACGCCAACGCTTTCCCAAACGCCACATATCCCTACTTGACCGTGGCATGTACCAGTAAGTAGTGTCCCGGAAAAAGGAGGGAAACAGCGTCAAGATGTAGGTGGGCGCGGATTTGAGGCATACTCGAAGCTGTGACTTCTTTCACCTACCACAAGCGTCAGCGTTACATTCCGTGACGTTTTAGTGGAATTTGAAATCACCAGTGCGAATAGAGACTCCTGAACAGGCTCATCACCTAGTGGCCAGCTACTAGTACCTAGACAGCCTAGCTTCTCTAGTGGTGTGCACATATCATACTGCGACGTATGGACTTTACGTCGTACTAGTATCTACGACGTACTCTGTAAATACTACAGATTAGTCGTTATAGTATTTGAGAATGGCGATGCGACGGGGGTGTTGCTGGCAATACGTTGTAATAATGACAATAATATGCAGAGGCTGGAACGGTTGGCATTACTGGGGATCAGTCACTTCCACCAGTTCACACCCCCCCCCCTTGCACCCTCCCTGCTAAGGGC